GTAACTCCTAAGTCCGTACATAGGTCCGGTCGCATACCGTTTCAACTTTTAAATTCATCTGCTGCACGTAATCGCTTCGTGTAACATGTACAAAATCCGTCATAATAGAAAACAATAACTTTGTCCACGGCCAGTGGATCGGAAACCACGGTTAATTGACGCAGCCGAACCGGAACCACCGTTAAGTTCCCGCCATTATTCTGTTGTCATGTTACCAACATGGCCGCCAATTGATTTGTTATAAAAGGATTGGACAATTCTGGAATCACGGCTTTGCAACGTCAATTTAAACTTTCCCCAAAAAAAGGTGACGTGTTTAAATTTTACCAAGTAAAAAATAAACCTAATAGAGCTAGACTAGTCGTAACACAAATATTAGTAAACTCAATAAAGCTAATTTTAGTATCCAAGTCAACATAATAACACGGTGTTCAAATATACACTTTAAATATCAGCTATTACTTTGACCAAATAAGTAACCACCTACGTATTTACCTAAATAGAAGTATGTAGGTAAGTGCTTAATAATTAAGATTAAACCATTTATTCCTTGTATGGAAAACTACTAATCTACCTACAATAAAATTGTCACCAAAAAGTTTTAGGTATCACGGAAAAAGGAGGTCTTAGTTCAAGTCCCAGGTTAGAAGTTCAGAACAGATACAAATAAGAACACTTAAGTGACCTTAATAGCAACAAAAAAGAAAAATAACATCACCATTTGTTCTCCCAAATCCCTTGGTCGAGTCAACAGTAAATCACAATTTATTGTATGTGTATATTTAGGTTGGAGACGTGCTACAAGATATTAGGACAGCTTTAGATCTTAAGAAGGAAAGTCAGGAGGACGCGTCGCATTGCTGTCGACGTAATCCTAAGAAAACTGCGTCAAACAAATACTCAAAAATAACCAGTTACAGACTGGCATATCACAGAAGACCAGACACATTATTTACAACGATATTATTCGTTCATGAATTTTAAACTGTTCGAAAGGAAATGACGTAGGTACGGCCGGCTACGGGTGTAACATTGTTTAATAACCCTACGTCCAAAATTAGTATTGTTCTCCTAATTAATAAGGACCGACGGCTTATATGTACCGAGGACAGACCAAACGTTGCGACAGACGACAAAGAATGTATAACTACAAAGAGAACAATAATTAATGAAGTACATCTGTGCGTCCCGTCAATGTACCCTGACGTACTTACGTACACTGTATTTTTTTGTATTCTGGCAACTCTCGTGATGTCGTAAATACTGTATTTGTGGTCGTTCTCCGATTGGTGAAATTAGTTGTAGATCTGCTTGTTGATAAGTGTTGCTGTTTTGTTTTCATTGTCCATCATTAATTGTATTGACGTTTTAATTGTGTAGTAGGTACCTATTGTCGGTGATTTAGGTAAACCAAATATGTTTGTAGTTTTATATTTTATACCTTAAGAATCAAGGTATAGAAAACACGCACTACCTGTGTGCATACAACGTCAACGCTACCTTTAATAAATCTATCGATTGTATGCAAAACGGTTAAAGGCCTCTGACTGTTAATCAACTTCGCCATATAGAAAGTGTGAATTAATATAATATATTATAATAATAACAATAAGCAAATACTTAGCCTTAATTTGTACACCATAAATATGGTTGGAATTATTCGAATTTTGTGGCTGGAATAAGAAACAGTTATTGTAAGTTGTAGCCAATAGCTACACTGTATTGCAATATAGCTAACTTATATATGTACATGCTAGTTTTTTCCGCGAGTTTGTTCGCGTGGAATAGTGACCTCTTGCAGAAAATCTATCCTATGTCCTTTCTCGAGTTCAAAACAATGTCTGTACCAAATTTTACACAAATAGGTTTAGTAGTTTAGGCGTGAAGAAAAGACAGACAGATATACAGAGTTACTTTCGCATTACGAACTAATATTATATAGTTCGGATATCTAACAGTCATCTAAAATTGATATTTCTATGTTTAATACTCGCATAGTATCACTTAGTTTTTACGTGTACTGATCGAAAATGTAATAACAAAATAACACAGAACCTTAATGTGATCAGTTTAAACGTTAGGTATTATTAATTTTATGAACCCTTTAAATGGATACATAATGGTACAATTATTAAGTTATTTTATGGTTCTATGTTGCCTCAATAATCTTTTAATTAAAATTAGAATTAAGGACTGATATTTTTACTTACTTATCTAACAGGTTTTTATCGACTAAATAAAAAGTGTCTTATTATTTCGTTCGTTTCGTCAATTATCAGCCTGTGCTTTCCATGTTGGATGAAGTTTCAATCCAGTGGCACGTGCAACACGACCGCACTTGAGCGTCAGATGACAGTGCTAATTCCCCTTAAATAACTAAATAACGCATTCACGTGCCAAAGGCGACCACTTTATTAATAAACCACGTTTAATGACGATACAAATATAAACGTGTAGGTATGAACTAAATTATATTATCGAGTTGGCATAACGTCATAATAAACTCCAATAAATAACAGTTCTGTGAAAACTTTTGTCAGAGATTGTTACAAACGCTAAAACTGCTCAACTGATATGGATGAAACTTTCCACACGTATAGTTTATATTATAGGGAGAGCTAATGAAATGTTATAAAACTTTTAAACAGTGACACACCGTTATAATAGCCATTGGCTCGTATAATACGGCACGGGTTTAGTGCCAAAACACTTCGCTAATAGCACACGACCACGTTTCGTGGCACGTGTGTCCAGAATTAATAGAAAACTTTTATTCTTGAACCGAGTTACAACCTGTAGACAATGTTTTGTCTGAATCTAGCTCATAGAAATAGATAAAAAATATGTATAGGAATTTCCAAAGATTATGCCAAAGGACGACGGGACAGAAAAAAAAATAGGCTACTTATAAAAAAAAATATAATAGAAACGCGACAATATTGAATGAAATTTAAATTGAAAAATAAATAATTCTATTCTGTGTCATTATCGTTAGTGTTGTTCAAACAGAATTAAGTACCTAGTTTAAAACTTTGGTAAATGTAAAATGTTTTATAAGTAGTGGTTAGTAGTATTTTCATAAAATAAATTGATATATAATTTAAAGACGTACGTACTTGAAATTTCATTATATTTATCAATGAACGTGCGTGTTTATGACGCCATTGTCTTCCTCGTTGAAGTATTTTGGTAACAGCACTAATTTTAGACCCCGCGTGTGGGCGGGTTGTTTGGTACTTAAATCCAAAATATAGTTGTAAATATTGAAACAAGGATTTCAACCAAAAGTTATTTTGATTTGCCAGATCAAAAACTTTGTAATCATTCATCATTCATATGAAATATAAACACAACTTGAGTGATTTCAATAGAATTTACAACGTCATAAATCCTATGACGATCTAGATAGAGTCCAATTTGGCTTTTATTTTAGGAAATTGGAATGATTTAATGTTTGTTTGTTTTATAATAACCTTAAAACTGAATCTTTTGGGTACCGAGGTTAACCTCAAACGTGAACTCTAAGACTACTATCCTTCTGTTATTAAAGACAGGCGTGGTTTTGCGAGGAGAAACTGATATTTTGGTGCAATTTATTGCCTAGATAATCAATTTCAATCCACTCGTATCTTTATTTTATAGATACCTAGTTAAAATCTTCTCAATTATTTACTACAAATACATATGTCAGTGTTTACATAAGGGATGGAATTTTATTCCATTACATTTTTACACAACGCGCTTAAGTGAAATAACCGTGGCTAACCGTGACCTAGATTAACGATTATTTCGAGATTTCTCCCTAGCCAGTCTGATTAAGTTCTTAGGAAAAAGGTACCTATATAACTATGCAAATGGGCATATTATTATGGACATATGTATACATGCATAGCCTACAGTTTCCATAGATAATACGCGCCATTTTTGTTGCTCATTTGCACTCACTCCTCGCGTTTCAGATGTTTCAACTTTTTTAATGATTGTTCCAAGTTTTTTTTTTTATTTACGTCTTCATTGCATCTGGCCATGGTTTTACGATCGGCCCAACCTCATAAAAACCAAACGTTGATAGGTTGGCGGTTTACTGTTTTTTGTTCGTTTTTTTTTTAAATACTCCGTTAGTTTGTAATCGTTCTTTTTGTTTTAAACGTTTGTTTGACGTAATCAAAATAACATTGAACTGTGTAATCGTAGAGAAAATGTTATCATTTCGTTCAATCAACGAATTTAAGACAATATAATTTTCTGTATCCGCAAACCGCAATCTCGTATCGTTTATTGCTGTAGGTTATTGGTTTATGAAAATGAACGATTTATTAACTTTAAAATCCGAGGGATTTATAGGGATTATCTCCATTATTCATTTTAGAATAGAAAGAAAATTAACCTCGTAAAGTAGTTGAGAGGAAGATTTGAAGTTCTAACGAGATACGGAGTAGATACAGTTGTTCTCGGGAACTTTAAAAAGATGTTATGCCCAGCCAGATGCACTGTTTGACATACCTGAGTATAATGAAAGTGTTAATTATCACGAGACGGTAACAGAAATAGCATGGACCCTGCTCGACGCTGAACCCTCAAGGTTGAGCCAAGATTATATTAGATGCTACTCAACGCGCCAACAAAATATTTGCTTTTGTTAAATAATAATTAGTTTTACTAGCAAAATATTATACCGTCGCCACAACTGTTTGAGAACAATTGTGGAACGATGAACTAGAAACCGGGATAAAATAATTTTATTTACAATTGTATTGTTGTTTGAGTTCCGAATTATGTTATGAAAACAGAACATTAATTCAATTTATTTCGTTATTCGCACTTTGAATGAGTTGCGTATTGTATAGTCACGACCATGTAGCATTTGGTTAGGCTGGCATTTATTTGTTTTACACATCAAGTCATTAATCATAAGCATCTGTAGACGGGCTGTATCTGTCACTGCACTCATTTTGAAATAAGAATACCTAAAGACTAAAGTTTTTTTTTTTTGTTGACAGGACGACGTCGCCTCCCGGCGAGCCCTTGGTGCGGGCCCCAGTAGGAAAACCAAGATGTCCGCCAGCCATTTCTCGGCTCCGTGTGGAGAAAGTGGAGGGCGGGCTAGCGGTTGCCGGCGTGGTCGTCGCAGCCAACTGTCAAATAGTACTGCCTATATTCGGATTTCTGTTCATGCTCGTCGGATGTGTGCTTACAGGTAAGATCTTAATTTGGAGCAAAACAAATCATTATTCGCAATAAATAAAACAAATCAGGAAGCTATATGTTGCTTGTGTAGTTTAATGAAGAATGTTTAATATACTTCAGTGTATATACGTTTTTACATCATGTAATAAAATACAGCAGCTAGTTTACTTACCAATAAATTACTGTAAATACTTAGGTACCTACGTAGAAAATCCTCCGTATTCTTCCCTAGACGAAAAGCAGACAAAACCAAAAAGCACCAATAATAAATTTTCCCGTTTCCGTTTCTTCATAGTCATGGTCGATCCAAATCAAAATAGAATTGTTTTTATTTGATTTTATAGCGAAATTGGGAACTACTGAGCATCGCCCACGCTCACTTTATTCTATGTAAACTGTATCTAACGAACTAGAAAACGTATTTAAACTGAAAATTGGTGTCCATTGTGTGATCTAGGTCCCACGCCCCTGCTCGCTATATCAATAAAGATGGCCATGTTTAGATAGGCACTGACAAATTCTCCCTAATTCCGATTCCTCATGTTACATACTTAATCTTGCATATTTTTTTCCCGCGGATATAGGCCTGTATACATATATAAACACTATCTGCTCTCGCGCGGTTTCACCCGATGCTCAGCTCCATTTGATCGTAGCGTGATGTTTTATAGCCTATAGCACTCAGGAACATTGTAGATATCTATCAGTGAAAGAATTTTGGCAATGCGACCAGCAGTTCCAACCATTACCCCCTACATTACAAACTTACAAATTTTACCTCTTTATAATATTGGTATTGAAGAGACGCTCTCTGATTAACTTAAACTAAGATTCAATTTTCAGCGACCTCCTTTCTTCTTGCCAGGCGTCAAAATTATGGCATACCAAATCTACATAGGTTCCCGTCAATGTGTTGTAATGATATACTTATATTATAAAGAGCAGTAATCTTCGGAACCGTTAGTCGGATTTCCAAAATTCTTTCTGATAGATAACCCTGCTAACTATAGGAGCCGAGCAGCTAGTATAAAATATAAGGTAAAATATAAATTTACAACTTATTCGTATTCTTATATTATATTACAGCGGCTTCGTATCGAGGTTGCGGTGAGAATGAGGAGCCGGACCACTATGCGGCCCGCATCGCATTCACTGGCAACTCGCGCGTGCTGGGCCCTGTGTGCATCGTCGCAGGAGCTCTTATGACTATTGCTGGTATGTAATATTTCTTTTTAACACTAGTTACGGGTAGTAACAAATAATTGCCGTAAAAGTTACCAACACCAAAGGCATCATAGCTTTGGTAGGTTCCTGTTTAGGACATCATAAAAAGTATGTGGCATAGGTGAACGTTTTCTCGCTCGTTGTTTGCTCGTAGGGAGAAGAAGAAAGAAGGAAAAAAGAAAAATGCATTTATTCGCTATTGGAAGTTAAATTAATATCTTTTAATTCTAAATTCATTAACACAATGAACGCAAATTAAATGAATGCAAGTATAACTATAACTTGTTCTGAAGTGTAGATACTTAGGTGTGACGCTTATCGCAAATTACGTAGTCCAAAGAAAATCGTATCTATATATTAAACACAATTTTGTCCTTATAAGTACATAAAAAATTGACGATCGCAATCACTTTTAATGTTAAAAATAATGTCTTCATTTAAGCCTAATGTATCACCAATCCACTTAGTTCTCATTCCAGACAGAAAAAGTGCTTTAATTCGAGTGACAGTTATTAGTTTTATATAGTTAGGTACGACCCGACACACCTTACTAAGCAATATTAAATCAACCTAGGTCAGGTTACATTGAGTCGCGTGAGAGTTAGACATCGTTAAAAGACCATCAATCGTGTTGACTTGTTAATTAACGAATTAGAACTTAGGTCTTAGTTCATTTCATGTGCAGATATAAAAGTAAAAGGTAGTCATAAGTGCTAAGGATAACTGACTGGTACGATTTAATATTCAAAAAAGGCGCAAAACAGTTAAGTCGTTCTTTCTACAGCAACGATAAAGCTACATAGGCCACGCGCCTAGACGGGTTGCGATTGCAAGCGTAATAAACTATTAATGTATGTACCTTTCGCGGCTATAGCTTGGAGCAGGAGAAGGTTAGGAACGGGGTGATTATTAGTCAGTGGTCTGGAACTCCCTGCCGCCCCATCAAGGGTGGAAAAAGTCAAAAAAGCAACTAGCTTGGATAATACGAGAATCCTACCTAAACCTACATATGTATAAGGATCAATATTTTTAGGTAAGCATAGTACCTACCTCAACTGCCCATTTTTTAATAACATCAATATTTTTTTCTTACTTCTTCTGACTAGGGTTTCTTTGGCTAGTGTTGAGCTAATAAACTAACGGAAAGGTTGGAATTATAACTAGCACTTATGAGCTATAGACATGTCTTGATTACACGTCAGCGACGGCGTCTCTGGCGTCATACGTTACGTCAAACGGAACGAGACAGACAGACTAAATAATCACTGCAATGTCCCCGTTGACATCGTCACATTTCACGAGACGGGGGGCGCTATAAATACGCTTTACGAAGTAGCCTAATGGTTTGTTTGCTTTTACACATATTAAATTAAATACCCAGTTGTATAACGTATTAAAGTTCTTTTTTTTTCTTAAATTTTGTATGAGTTTAGAAGAACTGTATTTCATTTATATTTTTAGAGCTGTATTTCATTCATATCAAAGCAAGGATCTTAACCTACACTTATGAAAACTGGATTGTATGATATTTTAATCATATTCAACAGTCTTGACTACAACTTTTTAGATTACTGTTTCATAAAACGGAAGCCTTATATTTGATAGGTAGCGGTACAGTTTTTATCACAGATTCGCTTTATCTTGTCAAGGGTCGTTCTCATTGAGGCTCTCAAAGACGAGGTCGCGACGAGCCTAAAGGGTCATATGTCAGATATCGATCGGCCCCAAGGCCCGTTTTGACGAAACAAGGGGTTTAAACGATGATCAACTCATTATTTACAATATTTGATACCTTCATTAATTCCGGACTGCATGGTTGGTGTCAAAGAGGATATAACCAGTGGTTATATCGTCATTGGTTGGTGCTATGGCTGGGCAACCTGTTTTGATTCATGCGCGGAACAACTCTTTATATGATCCACAAATTGTTGCTTCGGGTCTGGTTGTAATGTGTATATGACATCGTATGGTTGTAAACGCACCCACGACATAAGGGAAAACCCAAGGGTTGGGCATCTTATAAAAAATCGTCTCACTTTTAAGCCGCTAAGGTATACATAAACCACGTTTGTTATTTCTTACTTTACGATTCATTAATTTGATGTTCCTTTATATGTATGCAGATTATTCATTCGCTAATATTGTATGGCGATGTTGCCATACCCAGAAAAAAAAACGTGATACGAAGACATTTGAATCCATGCCCACCATATTGAGGTCTAAAGAACATTGAATACGTATTTGAACTTCCTACGCATCGGCTATTCATTATACAACAGATAAATAAATGATCGTATTGTCTGTTCCAGGCATCGTGTTGTGCATGTTAATGCGAGCTGCTCAACGCCGGCAGCGTAGGCTGGCGTTCCACTGTCCCATTCACGGAGACTTCTACCCACTCAGCCCACAAAACAGCAGAAAATATTCTCGTAAGTATCAACAATGTACTAAATATACTATAACGTTTCAAACTGTTTGTTTACGCCTTCAATAAAGTATTAGCAGACAGCATTATAGGCTTTGTAGCCACTCTCGAAATATTTATCGATTTGTGCTCGAAAATAGATGGCTAAGTATATCTAGATTGTTGTCAGTGAGTAGATTCAAAGGTATTTAGATAACTTAATACATGAGAATGAGAACAAATTTGAGGTTGACTAGTAGAGAATACCTTCTGGCATTAAGTCCGCCTCTGTCTGTATTTTTTGTATGTACATAAAGTGTTAAATAAATTAGAACTTGTAAAGTCCTACTTGATGAGAAGAGCTGAACATTAAACTCAGTGGTGTACAATTCGGGAAGCCTAGGACGAAATCAGGCAGATGATGATGATGATAGTACTTAAAAAAAAACTTAGACTTGAGGTCTAAAACCGGCTCAAACAAGCCAATTTTTATAAGCATGCATATAACTAGGTTCCTGAACAATCTTAAGGTTTAATGGTGAATGTTGCAGGCACTCCGGCGGGTATGTGGCGCTGGATGCGCAGCTGGCTGGGGCTGGTGGAGGAAGGCGAGGCGGCGCGCTGCCCACGCTCTGCAGAGCCAGCCTCGCCAGCACGGGCAGATGCCCCGTGTCCCCCTCCATTACCTTTCTTGGTACCCTCGGACTCTGTAGTGTAAGTATATTCATATGTTGTTAGTTCTTTAAGAATCACAAGATGTTTCATATGCATATTTTTATAGTGACTGTTGTGTTTTAATATTATATTATTTAGCTTTTTAGTTTTGTCATTTCTTTTCTCACCATTTTTGCTTCATGTTGTCAGTTTGGCTGGGTCCTAACTATTTTGTTTCTCCTTACAGAGGTATGGCTTCAGTACTGGGAGCTCCTCTTAGTCCGGAACAAACGTTCGGCTCCATCAAATCCCTCGCAATATCGAGGGAGGTCGCCAGTTTTCCGCTATCGCGCTCGCCGACACCGCCACCATTGAGGTAACTACAATTGTTCACTAATATCCCAATTCGATATACAAAAATCTAGATTAACGACGGAACTGGATTAAATAGCACAAGTACCTATTTAACATTGACTGTCTTTTCGCAGTTGTCCCCCATTCAAAGAGGAGCCCAAGTGTCTGGAAGACATACCGAACGCAGTGATAATACGGCCGGACTTCGACTGTGGCTCGCCGACGTGCAATTACCGTATCGTTGAGTGCAAATTGACTACCACTGAGGAAATACACCGCAGTGCCCCACACAATACTAGTGTACATAGCGCGGACAATAAACAAATGAGACCCAACACAGTCTCCATAACGATACCCGACGAGGGGAAGGGTTAACGACACGTTTTAAATTAGACAATTTTTTAATTAATATTGTTCAGTGAGTTGGATCGCTACCCGATATATATGGCGTAAGGTCGAAGACGACCAAATTGGGCGTATGTGTGTATTGCTAGTTTTATTGCTCACATTTGTTTAGTAGTGAGCCACATACAGCCACGATACGCCTAGTGTGGCCGCACCCTCATAAAATCGATGTACATAATTTGTTTTATTTTAAGGATCACAATATTATTGTTTCTTAATTTTCATCTGCTCAAACGATCACGATTTGTCTTCCGCTACTGCTCATTTGATTGGACATTTTAAAAACTGATCACCGTAGTACACAAATACTGATCCTGGCTGCATTTACGTTTGTGCAAGTTTTCAATAGAAACACAATTTATTTGTTGTCTGTTTGCAAACACATTGAAGGCGTGGTGACCAATTCTGGGCGGTCGTGTGCCGTTGAAAAGGACCATGTTATCAAAAATATTCAGTCGAAATATAAGACTACAAATTGAACGTTATACCCTAGTTAGTTTTACTATTAGTTATTAAAAACCCACTCTTTGTTAGCAATATATTGCGCCAAATATATTTGTAATAAAATGAGAGATTGGATTGAGAATGTCTATGTCAAATGTTATAAATGGTGAACTGTTATAAGTAATATAAATGTTATTTTTATTATTTCGCTTCCATTTATTTCGAACTGAACTGAGCAGAGCATTTCGTTCGTTTAACAGTTACACACTAGTTATGCATGGTAGGTTAAAATGGTCTTATTTATGTGACACTGAAAGGCTTGGGTGACATAGCACCGAGGTAGATAGCTGAATTAACAACAATGGACTGTCTGGCACGCTTTGGTGTTGTCGTGCATTGTGTTCGACAGATATAAATCCTGTAAGAAGTATAGAATGCGTGCTCTATCAACCGCAAAAGAAAATTTGTCACACCTAGGTACAAATTTTATTAAACCGTGGATTTTTTTAAGGACTTGAGCGTTTCCATGTTGTCACGTAAATAAGGCGATCTAATAGTTATCCTAATGCTCATATGTCGGCATTCTAGTCGTATCGTTCTATCTAATATTTTGTTGGTGTAATTAATATACCTTACTCATATAAATGTACGCGGTAGAGGAAATGTATTGGCTCAGTAGGATTACCGTTCCTTATTATATTAATATAATATTTGTAGGAAATTGTCCATTACATTCGTTTACACGTAATACTAGTGTAAGTATATATATGTAAGAGTACATACAAACACGTGCCCTAGATTATAATTCCGATTGTGATATATTGTTTGTTTTTTTTTTATATAATTTTTATCATTGTCTTGACATTTATGCAAAGGAAATCGCGATGCGGCCGTAGAAAATGTAATGAATAATTTACATAAAATATTTTATTGTAAGTTATTTTTACGGTCATCGTGGTCATTATTGAAAATCATTTTGTATATAGGTACCTTATTGATTCATAAAACATTATTTTGGTGTATGAGCCAAAAGAAAGATGCCAAAATAAAGTTCGTCGCGTCCATGTGTCTCGTATATTCATTTGTTTTCACAATAAATTAATTAATTATGCTCAGAAAAGACAATTGTATAGGAAACAAGGATGTTCGTAGGTAAACGTAGTCCGCGTTATAATTTAGAGATTATTGGTACGTAGGTACTGTATCAAACTATACCTAAGTTTTGTGATGGAGGCATTTATTGGCCAAGTTGTTCGAAAATATTATATGGAGTGTAATTTTTTTATAATCTGTAGGTAAGTGCCACGCCTAAATTATCTATTATAAAATTGTATTGTATACTTAAAATAAGCTTATTTAATATTGTTATAAATGTAAGGATGAAATGAAAATACAAATTTGAGTTAAAAATGAGAATGTGTGTTGTTTTAAAAATTATATTCCTTTATTAATACTTATCAAAATGCTAATTAGGTAGTAAACCTTACCCTACCTACTTAGAAAAACCATCAATTATCTTTTCTAAGTGGATAAATCCTATTTTCCAAGAGGGTTCGAAACCTGATATTACCAATGTGACTTTTTTTAAATTGTAGGTATGTGCTTTCTTAGTAAATTAAGACACCAAAGCCAAACGTTGAAGGAAAACATCGTGAGGAAACCTGGACTTATAAAAATTCTAGTTAAGTAAGTACTTAGGTACAAGTTTGAGATCACAAATCCGCCTTGAGCAATTGTGGCGAATAATAGGCTGATGATGGCTAAGTGGAACACTCTCTAAAGCTGTTTTAAAAAAATAGAGTTACCTACTATTTTCCCACAATGTACCTAAGTAGATAGATACTTAAAACATCGGTTAAAATGTGGGTAAGATAAAAACATACGTACAGACCTACCAACATAGGTAGGTACTGCCTGTTGATGGGCGCCAGTTATAGCCAACACTCAGAATACAGAGCCAACAATACCTATTTATCCTCATAATATCCTGTACGTGATAGTCCAAAGGTTAGACTATGAGCCTCCTTTTAACTGCTCTAGTCCTCAAAAGCTCGTCAAAACGGTTATACTTACATACAGAAGCGAACATAAGGTACATAGTATGAAATAAATTCGTTTCCAGTCTGATAGTCCCTATACAGTGCTTAGAGCACAGTTCTGAGGGTGTTTGCACTAAAAGAGGCAAGAGACTCCAACTTCACACCTTGGCGCCCCCCAGAATTTGTCGCCCTGGGCCATGGGAAACGATTTTTTACAGTAAGTTCAGGGCGGCTAACGACATGATCTTCTTATGGTAAGTAGGTAATCACAATCAGGGTCGCCCATGGGCACATGCAACCAGAGAAGTTAAGAGTGTTTCGCCGGCCTTTTTACGTTTAGCGATTTGAGGATTTTAAGCTGGTATTCTGTGAGAACTCCGGTCGAGGTAGCTCAATCGTAACGAAGCATTAAAGAATGCTGTGAGTAATAATACTTATAAAAATAATAGGTTTAGCCACCCATCACCCAACTGTTAATTCCTGACGATTTTTTGTGAGGGTTTATTTGGTAAAGTAGACAAGACAAAAATATGATTGAATTGATTGAAAAAATATGAGAAAGAAAGAAATAGAGAGAGAAAGAAGACATTTATTTGTTAGAATGTAAGTAGTACAAATATATAAATGTTTGTGTTAGATGTATGGAATCTCACACATTTTACAGAATTGGTGTACAAAATATTTATAGCTTAATATCTAGTTATAACTATGCACTACCTATTCTAAATCTATAATAAGTAGGTCATCTAAAAAATCTTTAGTGCAGTAATAACATTTATTGAGCAAAAACTCAAACAATTTTCTTTTGAAAGACATTAAGTTAAGATTCTTTAGATCATTTTGAAGTTTGCATGCAACATGAGTTTCTGCTATTTCTACTAGTAACACTGTTCTACGTGGACGAAACCTCAGGCAGAATAAGAGACCTGCTCATATTATTAGGGACCTAATGTAACACGTAGCAAGTACTGCGGCACTTATTTACTTGCCATCTTTACCATAAAACAAACAGGGCCAGCGACCAGGTCTCCCATCTTCAATGGACGAAGAAGAACACATATTTTTTCATATTGTCGTAGGTGTCCTATATGAGTTCGTAAAAGGCCCGGAACTTTCTACTAGACATTTTTGTTTACTAATCCCAAATCAAAACTGCTTATATCAAAATGCCTAAGGGTGCGTAATAATATGACCGGACAGAAACACCCAGCCTTCTTGTATTGCCATAAGATAATTTTCAAAATTGATTATTTACATGAACACACGCATTTGTGTTGACTCAAGTGTTTATTTTTTTGTTGTTTACCTGCTTTAGAGAAAGGCTGGATGAAAGATAAAGCTCCTACTTTTAAAAAGCAGTTAGCTAGGTACGTAGGTAACATTGGTACAATTCAGTGATCAGAACTGGCAAATGATAAGATAACTATAAGCTTCATATATAAAGGAGTAAAAAGAGCTAAATTATTTATTTAATACACACCTAGCTTGAATAGATGTAGTTAAAATATTTTTGAAAATATTTTCTAATACGAATCTTTTTTCACCCTGGCATTTTTTATTCTCTTTGTACGCAAGTCGAGCAGCGCCAGCGAGTTAAATGTCGGCCATCTTGAATCAAATCTCATAATGGCATGTGTCTTTCCAAATATCAAGTGATAGCAATTTTATCAATCGAGAAAATAATTAAAACCTGCCATAAAAAAATCCATATTTATTAACTAAAAATAGTTTATACCAATTGGTTTTAAACACTTTAAAAAATTAAAAAGATCACTAATAAAACAAATCAGCTGTTATCCGTCAATCGATGTCAACAAAATTACGTAATTTTGTTTAGAAAAACAGTGCAGCCTCCGTTTTTTAGTGTCATTTTGAAATTATCAAACATGAGTATTCGATCTATGTTTAATTGGACAAATTGATAAAGTAAATGAGTACCCAGCGGCTCACAACATTGGCGACTGTGATTTTTGTATAATGTAGTCCGCTGAAATATTTTAGTTATGGATCAAAACAATATTATAGAGTGCGGTGGCTTTTATTTTATACATAATTTTGACTCTGGAAATCTCGGTCATGTAGAAAGGGTGCCTACGGAGCTAATAGGTGAGTGGATATTTTGTAAATTGACGTAAAATCGCAGTGTCGCAAAGTCATACAAGGCAATAATTTTGGTTGTTGTTGCCAATATAATGCCCTTTTCATGGACTTTTTGTTATTGTCGAGTGCTCGAAATAGATTTGAGGACATTTGAAACATTTATGCGTGCCCAGATGCACCAAGTTATTCAATATTTACTTGACACAGATAAGGTGCTCTCGTGACAGCACAGCAATGAAAGTTAATTTAATCAACTGGAATATTCCAGTGAACATGTTTCGTATTGCCCCATAATAAACCATTAGGTTATTGGTTGTATTATAACTACAAGTTCTTAATCATACAAATAAGAAAAACAAAAAAAATGAACATTCACGCCTTTCCCTTATTCACAACACATATATTATTATTTATATGGCCTTTATTATTTCATCATTTCTTTATGGAAAGAAACCATAATTATTAAATAGAGTTTATGTGAAAAAAAATCTTTATAACACAAATAATACTCAAATAATTTAAAAGGAAGTGAAAAGCTCTACTTATTTGTTTTGAAACTAATAGGTAGAGCTTTTCTCATTCAATTTCATAATTATGAGAGAAAGCTATTATTACCAATAAATTTATTAGGTCTCAACAATAGTTTGTATTACAAAAAAAAATAGTTTAGTTTGGAATTTAATTTGTGGTGTTATTTCACAGCTCCATCTGTAAACCCAAAAACGAATTTATCTGAAACACCTGATTATGAATTCAACTTGTGGACTCGTCCCGACTGTGCGGGCACTGAGTTTGAGAATGGAAATCGCACCTGGTTCTACTTTGGTGTGCAGGCCAGCGAAGCTGGAGTACTGGTAATTCATTTTCGTATATTCTATGCTTCACAAAAAAAACAATTTGCAATGTTTTTTTTTCATTGATAATGTCAATGCTCTATAAAAATTCTAGTTGGAACTTATGGTGTTAATTAAAGGCCACTTTTGATTCCAATAAGAACAAATTCAAGACTAAATAATGTTTATTCTTCTAATTTTAAACAAGATATGCTTTTTTATTGGATTTGGTTTGTTTTATATGTATATAATAATATATAAATATACATAAAGCTATGTTATTGTTTTGTATTGTATGTGTTTGTTGTATTGGTATAACATCTAAAAAGCAATTTTATATCATTAGTGTCATTAAAAAACATTTCTGATAATATTAACTTTGGAATGATGTGAACAGGTGCGGTTAAACCTCATAAACCTGAACAAGCAAGGCAAGATGTATAACCAAGGCATGGCTCCGGTGACGCGCACACTGCCAGGCAAGCCTCAGTGGGAGAGGATCAGAGACCGTCCTGTACATTCGGTGAGCAGCACCACAATTTCTTTTGTATTCCACTTGTAAATGGTTGACTGAAAAAGTCGCATCCTACTTATATTATAAACGCGAAAGTTTGTAGGTATGAATGCATTATGTTTGTCAATCAAATAAAAAGTACTAAATGGATCTGAATTAAATTTTGCATAGAGGTTGACTAGAATCTAGAATAACATATAAGCTACACGTGAGTAACCCGCGATTTTTAGTTAGCATATAAGCTACTTTTGAATTTAAAAAAAGGCTTCCAAGTATCTAGAGAAACGTTTTAAATTTCACAATTTATATAGCCAATATAATAAATAAATACGAAGAGAAATAAGCATTACGCCTAAAATGTTAAGCTGTGCCTGATGATTTTATCCCATTATAATGTGGGAGTACATAGGGCTATCTACTTTGAAAAGTATAGAAAAAACCTCTGTAAACTATTTTCTGGATACAATAAAAATACATGGTGTCTTAGATAGAAAGATTTCTTTCAACCCGGGCAAACTAAAGGGAGTAACAGACTCTGTTTAAAAATCTCCCCGTTCCTTCACCTGTTCCGGGCCGGAGCGGAGTCGCGGTTCATTATTGCGCTTGCACTCGCTATCCCGGTTGATAGAAACCAGGGCCAGAGATCGGTAACAAAAATAAAATCAGTTTTACCCTTATGTCAATCTTCGAAGTCGATTAAAGAAACTTCTTATCCTGACCGATTTTTTACTGTGGAGCGCGCGGGCTTAAAATTTTGGTAGTAACTATTACTTTTTTTTATGTAATAGGTCGGCAAACTGGCAGACGGATTACCTGATGGAAGGCAATCAGCGCCGCTCATGGACACGCGCAACGGAGGAGTTACGAGTGCGTTGCCGACCTTTCAGGGATTAGGGATTTGGAGATTTAGGGATTGGGGGAGCGGAAAGATTGGGCCTCCGGTAACCTCACTCACACGACGAAACACAACGCTGTGTTGTTTCACACCGGTTTTCTGTGAGGCCGTGGTATCATTCCGGTCGAGCCGACCCATTCGTACCGAAGCATGGCTCTGCTTTGAAGCGTTACTAATTCAAGTGCTCTGTTTCAGACGGACGACAATACATTCACTCTGAGCTTCAAGTACAGAACGTCGGAAAACCTGAAGGCGACTACGTTCTTCGCGTTCACATACCCGTTCTCGTTCGCTGAGCTGCAGATCGCGCTAAACTCCATCGACCTGAAGATGTTGCCACTTCCCCCGCCGCAGTCACCAGACGATATCTACTACGTTAGAGAATGTCTCATTTATTCTTTAGAAGGTAAGAGCGTTACTCAAATTTTCTTCTTAACACTTTAGAGGATTTACCTTCAACAGTTTTCTGTCACAGTCAAACGCTTAAACCCATTGTGTAATGTAATTAAATTGCTATTTCATTTATAATAATTTTCATGTATTATGTGGCTTAGTTATTTCCATGTCCCAAATCCAATTATAAATAGATTTTCTATTATAGAACATTGCCTTGCATAAATAGAAAATGAAGCCAAGATCCTTTCAACGCGTGTCTGTCAGAGGCCTCTTGCGCAACTTGGGCAAAAAGGATAGCTCTGAAAAACAGATAGAAGACTATCAAGGCATCAAAGATACCTTTCCAAATGCGTAAAACTAATTTTAGTCAATGGTATTACAAAAAAACTCTTAATATGTCTACTTAAAGTCCATTTTTCTTTCCTACAGGGCGGCGTGTAGATCTTTTAACGATCACGTCACATCACGGAATCACATCAGAGAGAGAGGAACGACTCAAGAACCTGTTCCCAGACAACCAGCCGAGACCACACAAGTTTCTCAATAAAAAAGTATGTATCATTTTCCACCTTATTGTAATAGTGTTACGCTTAGTTTTGAGAAGATTGGAAAAGGGTGAATGCGAAATATGTCATGATGTGTACTGTAAATCATGATTGAATACTTATTATCAAATAAATAGTACGAATAAACACGGGATTAAATAAAAAATCATAACTAATCTCAATCAAGTCGCCTGTATAGGTAAACCTAAACAAAATATTAGTATTAGGTATTTAATAAAAATACAATGCTGCCAGACTAATAAAATAAGAGGAAATAACAATAAATTGAACCGATTTCGTCGCACGCTATCTTGATAAAGCATTGTAAATTGGCTGGTTCAAATACATAGCTCCAAAATACATATATTTTTTACGACTGTGTCTTTTTATTTTCTTAAATATTTATGTTATTGAAAGATCTAATGACAGTCACAGAAATTGTTTTTCATATTATAATAGTAATACTATTAGTATTTTATATTTATGTTAGCTTATTCCATAATTCACAGACAGGCAGACGAATTTAAAATATGTACATACATCTCTTTGTTCTACGACATTTAATACTTGTGATTATAATTGGTTTACTTGACATCAGTATAAAAAAAAAGTAAAAAAATAACGACAAAACCAATGCACACGTTGGCTACAATACCACGTAGATGCTTTGTTTTCTAGACGTTGCAAAGCATCATTGCATTATGATTCCTCTGTCGAACAAAATTATACTACTAAAGTCGATTCTAAGCAACGATTTCTTTCATTAGCTATTTGAAATAGACATGTAGTCAATGCAATTTACACCCTACGTCAAGATAATTAAGTCAAATATTCGATGCACGAATTAACAAAAAGTTTTTCACACAGGTGATATTCATATCAGCTCGGGTACATCCAGGAGAAACTCCTTCGAGTTTCGTGTTCAATGGATTCTTGAACCTTCTTCTAACAAGGAATGACCCCATAGCAATTCAGTTGAGGAAACTCTACGTTTTCAAAATGATCCCGTTCCTTAACCCTGATGGGGTCGCTCGGGGTCACTACCGGACTGACACTAGGGGGGTCAACCTGAACAGAGTCTATTTGAACCCCTCATTAGCTCTGCATCCTACTGTATACGCTTCCAGAGCCTTAATTAGGTATGTTGATTTTTTAATATAATGTTTTTTACTAAAACTTTTGTTATTATGTTTCGGTACCTTTAAAAAGGCATGTTATGCTCGGGGCATAACATCATAACATGCCTTTTTAAAAAAAAACCTAGATATATTGATGTTTCGTGAACGAAACTATTTATGTACTACTCTTCATCGAAATAGTTAAGACGTTTAGTAAGAGCCTGCGACATATTTTTATAAACAAGTATTGCTCATTTAAAGATACCATTAGAAACATACCTATTATAGTATCGAAATACAAAGTTTGCATTCCAGTCTGCTAACTTATAAAATACAGGTGCATGATTAATATCGAATGATAAACAAATAATTATCATTCTATAAAAGTATCACCTTAGTATATTTTCATATTAATTAACTCAAAAACTACTTCAACACCATCATCATCATTAGCCTCTAAGTGCCCACTGCTGAGCAAACGCCTCTTCTCATACGGAGAAGGTTAGAGCATTCATCACCACGCTTGCTCAATGTGGGTTAGCGATTACAAACTTATAATAAGAAATTATAAGTCCAGGTTTCCTCACGATGTTTACTTTCACCGTATGTCAGTGGTGTCTAAATAGTCATAGAAAGTTCATACAACTCGGAAAAAGTCACATTGGTACTTGCCAGGTTTCGAACCCACACCCTCATGCATGAGAAGCGGGCTGCTTCAACACCATATTGATTCCTAAAGATATAATTCGTGAAGATTTAATTTCTGTATACTAGTAAATAAAATTATTTTCCAAAGGTATTATCACTATGGCACTGAAAAGGAAGACTTGGTTGACGACAGCAAGAGCTACACGACGCGCAGTATACAGAACATCAGCGAGAATACCGAGGTACCGGCACACAATCAAGTAATTACTCCTATTATTATAAGAAAATTTATTCAACACTATCTAGATTGATTTTTCATCCCCTTTACATTGAAAATTTCATCGAAATCCTTTGAGCCGTTTCCGAGATATACAAGAAGAAATAGAGAATACAAGTATAGGGATGTCTCCTGGGTTAAAACAACAAGATTCTAATTAATCCGTCAATTAGATTATAGAAAAATACTCGATACGTATTTTTTTTATTTGTCCATACGAATAATATTGACAAAAATACAGCACATTCAAATGCAAGAGAAGGGGCTCGTGACGTGACTCTTTCGTAAAAAAAATACGAAATAATGACGTAGCGCGAACTTTCGCCGCTCTGTAACTTTGTTATTTTAAGTTTTAGAAGCAAAAGAAAAAATAAGTATCCACTATTTTCTGGCGTTCTAAAATATGGACTAATTATTATTTTTTTAGTCATCATCCCTATTGCTCATTTTTTACTCTATTAATATTTCATCTTAAAAAGTCTTCAAAATTAGTTTTTTTTTGAATAGCTTTCTTCATAATATTTTCCATATTCAATTTTATCTGATACATAGTGGCTAACCAGACATTTTGAAACAGGTCCAATTTTATTTTATTAAAAAAGGCTAGCCATAAATCATGTTTTGAAATATATATTTGTCTCTTTCGTACCAGGTCTTAGACACAAAAAAGAAGAAAGGCAACAGTAACCAACAACCATACAAAAGCGGTGATTACTACAAGAGAGAGAAGCACCCGAAATCTATGACTAACAATAAGTCGTCGACCACAATTAAACCTCCTTCGACCTCCTCTGACAATTCCAAGAAGGAGTTCAAATCACTCAGTGGAGAGGCAGCTCATTTGGCTGAACAGGTTAGTCCTAAGATTTCAATATAAAATTCTATAGGTACATCAAACTCAAACTCTTACAATCAAAGGGGCAATTGGTTGTAGTGGTGATGCAAGCCCAAAACGAAAAGTAAAGCATGTTTTATTTTGTGAGGGGAAAATCATCAAATGGCTTCTCCCGCCCAGGGCCGGGCAAGAGGAAGTGTCAGGCTCTTACTGACTAAAAATCCCCCTGTTCCTTCTCCAGCTCTGGGCCGAGGTCGCGGTGTCTAATTGCGCTTACCCCGCAACCCCGGCTGAACATCAGCCCTATGGGGCCCCGTCTATGGTGGTCTATTGCCTAAAGTAAAGCCTGGTTAACATTAGCATTAGGGCAATGTATGAAGTTTGCATCTAATCCCAAATTCCTTTATCTTGAATGTTGTTTATTGTATAATTTAGACCAAATAAGAGTTGTTTGTCTCTGATTTTGTCATTTAAAATATTAACATTCATTTAGACTGTTCCTCGCAGGTGATTCTCTTGCCTTATTCAACATTGTCATAGTTTAACCATGCCAAAGATTCACTCAAATAACTAAACAAATCATAAAAAACCTTTATTACTTTATAAAAGTACCAAAAAATAAAAATAAAATACCCCAAGTTATGAAATTTACGTTACAAACATTGACCTCATTAACAAAACTTAGAAATATTGCCTTCTTGCCGGCTCGCCTGTAAAAATCCAATTACTGCTTCGCGTGAGCCGCGCTCACTAATCCTTGCTATCGTGGCAATGTTACTTCCAGTATACTCTGCTATTTTGAGTCACAAATCTTGGGCAACGTTAATGCGCTTAATAGCTACCTAGATGAAAAATCGTTGTCTGTCGCATAAACACAGGATAACTGCAATATTTTTGTTTTTTTCCATGTCGATTTACAATAACTATAAATATTATGGTCTGAGTTAATTCTTTATGATTGCTTACAAAACTAAATTCCTTGTTGAATACCCAATCGTATAAAATTCTAACCCTTTTATATGTGTGAACTATAGGTTTCTATAATCAACAACGTATATTAAAAAGAAGATTTCAGCATTTACTCTTGAATTAATTTGTGTGCAGTGATCCGTTAAAAGTTTATTCATTAATCCGTCGTGTGGCTTATCGATTTAATTTCGAAAACAATCAGCGAACCGACACTAAAGCGGATTAATATCGAAAGCTTTCATATCCTCCCATATGTTTATGAATTAATTAAAATCCAATCGCGTCACCTTTTCCTATTAATCTGGAGGTAAAAATAAATTATTCGCGTTCTGATGAATAACAATGTTCTCTGTCTTTATCAAAACAAATATTTATTCCGCAGCCTTGTGCCATTTAGAATAGCTGAAATAAATTGTCAAAATGATTATGGGCTGATTTTTCAATAGTCAGATAATTATCTGATGAATCAAATTGTTGCTGTCACTGTCTTATACAAACATTTTGATGCTACAGCATCATAATTATTCCCCGGATAACTTTTACTGTATGTCATGTCTGCAGACGAAATATTTAATTCAAATCGTAACCTTCTAACAATTGATAGACAAGTGCGACTCCTGCGTATATAGTGCCGATTTCGGTTTTACAAAATATTATTTGGCAATTCAATTTGCTTGGTTAAATACATGCCCAAAGAGCTCCGCATGCAAAAACTTAGTCATAACTATCAAGCTGGGGTTGCGGGTGCAAGCGCTATAATGTACGGCAGCTCGTCCCGGAGCAGGAGAAATAACAGAGTGGTTTTACAGTAAAAGTTTGAAACTTTCTCGCCCACCCAGGGCGGGCGAAGTTACGTTGATGTGAACTCCTGAAAAAAAAAACGTTATCAACAGCTAGTGTCCACTGTTGGATTATATGCCGCCTCTACAAAAGCTGTTTGCCATATCTTAAGCGTTTCCTTCAACGTTTGGTAAGGAAGTTGGATCAACTAAGCATAAACTAAAAAGAGTGTTTTGTCTTACATCTCAGGTATACGACATGAAACTGCAAGAACAGCCTTCACAAACGAGTGACGCATCATCAAAACCATCGAATTCCAACATGGACGACACATCCTCGTTACTGAATGAAAATACGTTGAGAACATGTTTGGGATCCACGGTTCACTTGAGCACCAGTGAAGAACTCAATTTCCAGGGCTCGAACCCACTACGACCATTGCGGGATACGCTCAAGAATAGCATCAGTTTACTCATGGAGTCTACTGGCTCTGTAGCTGGGTATGTTATTTCATTTTTCATTTCATTCCAACCTAAAGAAAAAGTATTTAATCCGCCTATTATACTCCTAAGGCCATAATAACAACTAATCGCAATTCAAAACCTCTGGATTGTAACAGAAATATTTACTGTGGGTTATGGCGACAACTGAGCAAACATATTACCTGATAAACCATCGGCGTCACCCATGGACTCTTACCAAAAAATACACAGTATTTTACGGGTATTGGATATCCAGTGGATGAATTGAGCCTCCCATAACCTCAATCACACGGTGAAACATAACGCAAGCGATGTTTCACGCCGCCCAGTTTTCTATGTGGGAATCTGTAGAATTAGTATCAAAATTCAGTATTAATTCAGACAATTCGGATTGAGGTCGATCATAAAATTATTCCGTTTAAAGATGTGTGTTAGGATCTTTACATCATCCTCATCATCATGAGCCAAAGCAAGGGCCTCTTTTCCATAGGACTAATAGGTAATTGCTTGTTAAAGCGGATTTGCGATTTCGTTCAAGTTAGAAATTATAAGTCCAGGTTGCTTCACGATTTTTTCCTTCACCTAATTTAAGTGGTGTATACATATATAATCTTAGAAAGTACATATAAGTCACATTAATGCTTATCAGGTTCAAACCCTCACGCTACCTCGTGTATGAGGAGATTGAGAGGCCGTGACCTCCAGACCTCCACGGCAGCCATACTAACATAACGTTATTATTATTACCAGGGACAATTCACTGGGCGGCAAGGAGTCTCGACAGTCCAACGTGAAGGTGGGGTGGTGCCAGGACTGCCGCCTGGCCGTCTCCAAGCTCGAGGACACCATGCCCGGCATCACTGACATGGTACCTGGGTACAACGTCTCGCTGGTAAGTTGAACAAACAAAATATGTACTCTAATAAGTCAAAATAAGGTTAAAATTTGTGCTGTCTTGTTTTTAAGGTTTTTTTTATTATTAAGTAATGTGGTTTTTTCTTTAATAAAGACCTCCTCGAATGTTTTTAATTGTTACCAAAAATATTCAATGCATTAAAGCCTTAAGGCATAGAATATTTTTAAGGCAAGTTTAGGATTTAGGACACTTATTGACAAAAATTGATTAAACTGATAATGTCAATTCTATTGTACCTCCATGCAAGATAAAACCTTCACTCTTCCTTTACCTAATATATGATTTTTAATACCCTCTCAACCCATAGTTCCCATCCTTTTATATTCATCCTCATTCCTTTCCCAATCCAGAATCGACAGGACCACCTTACTTATCATAGCATAGAAGAATACAGAAAACACCAGAGACAACAAGTTGACGAGCACTCGAAGAAGGTATTATTTTTTAAATCTTAGGATTTTCTTTTACAAATGTGGGTATAAGTTTTTTTTAAGAAAGGAAAATCATCAAACAACATCTCTCCTACCCTAGGCGGGCGCGATACCATACTCTACCTAGGTTAGGCACTCGGTAAACTTATGTGGCACATAGTTCATACAAATGTTTCAATTTTTATATTCATCTTGGCTCCCAGACATTCTTAAACAGGCAGTAGATCACACTTTACCTATAAGGTAAAGTGTGATCTACTGCCTGTTTAAAGTTCTTTTGTCTTATCACTGTACATGTAAAAAATTCAATCATAACGACCAAGACTACACATTAACAAATAGTGGCTGAGACAGCTAACAGTTGACAATTGACAACCTAGCGATTTTAACTGTAATCACATCTATTATAACCCTTATTGGTGCGAGTACATGGCCGTAAATGCCGTATTCTCTTCTACCATAGATTTATTTAATTCTTAAAAAGTTTATTTATGTAATGTTTATTTCCCAGGACTCGGACGCCTCCACCTCACCTATGCTCAAGGAAGAAAACGTATACTTCTGCACCAACTGCTTTAAGAGATATATACTTACAGATTCAAATGAAGAAATCGTGAGTACTTTTGTTATGCGGAATATTTTTTATGGTATAAGAGGGCTAATCAGCAGACAGATCTTTTATCACCTGATGGTAAGCAATTGGCGCCACCGATGTAATACGTGACACCAAGGACTCTTAAAGGGTTGTCACGGATATAGGGTTGAAAATGGGTGGAAGGGTTGAGCCTCCATTATTCACTTCGGTTTTCCCCATCCATTTGTGCCGAAATCTCTTCCACACTTAATAAAGTCTATTAAAAGCGACCTGTACTAAGCGATATTAAGTAGTCTAGAATTAAACGAATGTGTTGTACATGAGCTGTGTATTGTTGCAGAAGGTATGCAGCGTGGTGTCGACGACCAGCGTGGCGGTGTCGGCCGCGGACAGCGCGGAGCCGCGCACTGACTCACAGTCCTGCGACAAACTCACCGGCACCGGGGACGCTATACTCCAAACTGTTAATGTAAGCTGTACTCATTGCTGCACCACTTACACCCAGTTTCTGAAAGGCTAAAACTTTAATCAGATGTTAAATTATTTTAATAGTGTCATTTAGGTATTTTCCTCGGTATAAAAATATCTTTAATGCAGTAACATTTTCAAAAATAATAATATATTCGTCATTGATTTTTCGATTTACTTTCTGTACTCACTAATATTATGAAGAGGTAAAACTTATAAGTTTGTATGTAGGGGGTTATCTTTAGAACTGCTGGTCTGATTTCAAAATTATTTCCCTGATACATAGCTGCAATGTTCCTGAGTACAATAGGCTATAGATTATAGTTTTAATGATTTGCGGATTTTACGCCCGGTTTCTGAAAGGCTTGTCAACGCTAAAATTAACTAATCTGCTGTTAAATCTCTTGTCAAGTCATCTGATTGGTTGTTGATAATTCAGTCAACCAATCAGATGACTTGACAAGTGATTAAATTGATTTTAACATTGATCGGCCTTTCGGAAACCGGGTGTTAGTCTAGCTATCGCTTACTTTTAATACGCATGCGAAGTTGTGGGCGGAGGCTATTATTTATAAAAATCTACATTCACCCTTTTTAAGTCGTCTCCAGAAAAGTATAGGTTTTATTCTTTTACTAACGAACTCAAATATTTTTTTAGCAGCCTTCACCAAAAGATGACAAGCCGAAGTCTCCCACATCAAAGGCAGGCAAGAAGAAAGGCGCGCCGGTCACCAGCACTTCTAGTAATAACAATAACGCTGTGGTGAAGTCCGGGTTCAAAGAGGTCGAGTCCGGCCTCTATTTGTACATAGACTTACATGGACATGCTTCGAAAAAAGGTTGGTCCTATAATTAAAAAATAACTTCATCTAATGGTTGTTGGCAACACCAATTTATTTTAATTTATCTGTTTAGGTTAGGTTAAATACTAGCTAGAGATAAATCTTGATATGCAACATTGAAGAAGTTGTATAAAAGGCATACGTAGAATATTTAAATTTAGTTTATTAGCTAATATCTATTTAGGTAAATACCTGATTGTAAACATTTTCACATAAAAAAGACATGACAAGATGGTTTTTATATCCATCCATAATAAAAATACAGTCGTAAGATTCCTACAATGCCTGAGTAACAAGTTACAGATAATAAATATCAATATCTTAATACAAAAATTTATTAATTGATTCATTACGTGTCATGAATTAGATATTTTGTATTCTTAATTTTGGTGATTGCTGTCTTTTCCAAAACCGACCTGAGAGCCTAAGACGTAATTTTATTTACTTAAATATCTTTTTAATTAATTTTCAAACCTTATCTCTAGGTATATTCATGTACGGCAACCACTTCGACGACCTGGAGAGCTGCGTGGAGTGCATGCTACTGCCTCGCATCATGTCTATGAACAACCTGCACTTCCACTTCTCGTCCTGTAATTTTACCGAGCGGAATATGTACCTCAAGTAAGTTCTCCATTCATATGAAGTCATAGCAGTAGTGGATTAATTTAAATCTATGTTTTGACTCGGGGCATTAATCCAACCCTTAGAAATTGTTTTCGGAATAAGGGCCATTCCGAAAACATTTCTAAGAGGTGGATTAATGCCCCGAGTGAGATGAATAGTTGCAGTAAATTAAATTTATCTGAGTATGGAAATTGTTTTATTATTTGAAACAGAAAAATATTTAAGTAATACTAGCTTTTGCCCGTGACTTTGTTCGCGTAGAATAGTGACTTCGTGCAGAATTTTGGTTTAAAAACTATCCTCTATGTCCTTTCTCGAGTTCCAAACTATGTCTCTACCAAATTTCACACAAATAGGTTCAGTGGTTTAGGCGTAAAGAAAAGACAGACAGAGATACTTTCGCATTAGTTTGAATTAATATTAAGCCTTACACTGCCGACAAAAGCTGTTGAGGGCTAATCCCCCGCTAACATCAGACGGGATTGTCGGACATGGCGTTCTAAGTGTTAATACAATATAAAGTTTGAGATAACTTTCTGGATACATGTTTGGGAAATAATAAGTATGAAATGTAACTGCCCAACCAGGGACCGCCGCGACGGTATGTCTCGCGAGGGTTCGGGGCGCGTGGCGGTGTTGAAGGCGACGGGTCTGGTGCGGTCGTACACGCTGGAGTGTAACTACAACACGGGGCGCCTCGTGAACGTGCTGCCGCCGGGCGTGCGGGACGCGGCGGCGGCCGGGCCCGCGCCCCCCGCCGCCGCCGCGCCGCCGCCCCCCAAGTACACGCCCCACATCTTCGAAGAGGTAAACCCCTTCCAGGTTTGTGCGCCACCCAGCACCGCACCACTACCTCCACGTCATCCCCTCGGCACTGCGGACGAACTACTCGACCTACCGTATTCTAGAACCAATACTTTTGCATGTGTCATTATTTTAACATACGACATATACATAGACAAATGTTTAAATAAATTTCAAAATAATCAAATTAAAAAAAAGTTCAAAAGATTTTGCTCTAGAATATTGTGTCAGGTTCAACTTGTGTGCAAATAATTAATAAAAATAATGTTTTTTTATTTGAATAACAATGTGTACAGTTTCAGCTGATCGCTCACAGTGTCGATTTATTGTACTTCTTAGTGACATCGTACGTTGACGAAACAAGCTCAAAGTTAGCTCACTTAAATTCAAACTTAGATGTCTTACTATCACACAAAACTTTATTATGCCAACGTTTGTGTAATTCAACATGTTTATTTTTCATTCCCCGTAATTGTTTACTATTCTACACCAAGTCTAAGGCGAAACAGAGTTTATTAATACAGTCCTCAGAAAATAAACACATTTCAGGTAAAACACTATCGTCCAAAGAATCTGGAGGTTTTCCAAGAGATATCTCCCATAGAGGTTTGTTCGGAACCTTGTATAATGCTAGTACACATTACATTTAAACTTTACCAACATTATAAATATCAATGTAGTCACTATTCAGTACTGCTTCGTGTAGTTAATTCTCGCTTCCTAGAACATTAAGCTTTGTAAGATACCTCTTTAAAAATCTCCAGATATTTTTTACACGTGCTGTTGCTTAATAAAAGCACTTATTTTTGTATCGGATGAAAAAATATACTTATTTCAACGAATATAACGACGAACATAATTGTGTATCAATAATGTAAATATTAACTTACTAAAGTAACTTATAAATGTTGAATAGTTAAGCCTACATGTACATGGCTCACGGCTGAAGATCATTGCACTTGGGCACCGTCTACTGCCATTCCAAAATGAGACGTTGCCATGGCCTCCCATGCCCACATACAAGTTACGCACCTACCTGATCTCGGTGTGAGATTCGCACTAAAAACTTTCTAGCTAGCAGATTGCGAGCATCAACAAAGCGGTCCCCAACGATTCCATATGAATATGGGACGGAGCAGACATATGCCAAATACGTTATAATTTGTAATCTTGTACCCTTATACAATGAAGCGTTAAGATTGGAGACTCCTGGGTCTTGTATATGTATAGACAAAGATAATGATGCCTATCTCCGTTTGAGGTAGATAGGAACATTGAAATTCTATTTTAGCACATTGCATTCAACATTTATTAGTTTTTTTACTTTTTACTCAAATAAAAAAGTACAAACAATCCGTTGCACATTGACTCCTACAGAATGTATGTGTGTAGGTGGGGCGCTCGCTGGGCGCGTCGATACTGGACCTGACAGGGCAGCACCCCAACTCGCGCATCCCGTGCTCGGAGCACCGCAACCTGTCCGCCGTCAGGGAGTGGCTGCGTGCCCACACGCGGACCCTGCGCCCCCAGGTACACTGCGGCTCAGCGATCGCTGCGGTTCTATACTCATTCCATTGCGGAACTTGTAACCATATCAGCAACCAGACTAACGTAATCATCATTTTCTTGCCATTCTCTTCCGAACAAGTTAAACTGTGCACGCTTCAATACTTTTCTCTATTGGTAACGCAACGTCTTTAATTTTCAGTGTTAACTACTAAACACGACAAGCGTTTTATAGTCGCGGTAAGAATATTAATTGTGGGAGTGGAAGTGTGCTGTCAATACGATCATTTATTTAACATAACACTAGATTGTACATAATCAGCTCACGGAGTGGGGTTTTACATAGATTAATGTCATTGTTAGTGTGGGATACAGTCAGCTAGCACATCGTGCTTAATAATGGATGTCTGTTCTAGCTCACGATGTCACGTCTCCGCCCTAAGACCACATCCCCACCTCGCGTGCCGCTGTACGCGCGCTCCAAGGGTAAGGTGACCGAGGAGCGCAAGGAGAACACGTACGTCGGTGCCAAGACTGACTCCGAGCGCAAGCGGAGCCCGCCCGTACTGGCGCCGCGCTCCGGACACGACATCATGAACCTCGGCATGAAGTTCAGCAAGAAGAACGAGCCCGTCAAGACCACCTCCCGGACTAGATACTTGAGCGAGAACGAACCCAAACCCAAAACATTATCCACCAAACGAAGAAATATTCTGGCCATCCGGAAACCGAACTCGAGTAAGACCGCGGCGGGCGGCGTCGCGAAAACGAAGGTGAGCCGGAGGTCGGCGGACGACACGGAGAGCCCGCGCACGTCCATCGTGTCCGGCAAGCTCAGCAAGCGCAGCTACTCGCGGTCCGTGCGCGGCTCGTCGGCCCGCAGCCGCGCGCTGGCCTCGTCCTCCTCCGACGAGCTGCTGGCCGGCGCCTGGGAGGACGTGGCGGGCGGCACGGCGCTGGGCGCCGCCGACGGCCTGGCGCTGCCCGCCAAGCGCCGCCCCTTCCCCGCGCCGGCGCCGCCCCCGCACCTCAAGAAGATCCGCCTCAAGCAGGCCATGTAGCGCCTGCTACGCGCCAAGACTCGATCACTGCCGACTCCCAAACATTTTAGTAACTGACCATTTTTAACGTTGGCAATATCTTTGTGTGAGGCGCTATCACTGTAACTTATGCCATTAAAAATCTTGTGTGATCTTATCTCTTGCTTTGGGTCTAGCTAAGGTATCTCTACTATTATTTAGGATTAATATCGTCACCCATTAGGACATACTGCTCGTACACTTGTACGAGTTTCGACATTTGTTGTCATACTACTTAGAACACCCTACTTACATGTATATTTCATTTTACTGTCATTGTTGGTAGGGATATTTTTAATGGCATGAGAACTAACTGGGTTAGTCTTGTAACTTAAATTTTCGTTGCTATATAATAACTTCGGGTATCTCGTGATTATGTTGACTGACGAACTAAATTTTTGTGTTCTTTAGCATAATGTTTTATGTCAATTTTCTCGTTTAAAATTCAAAGTCTGTATATTGTTTTACACTTCTTATTGAGATAGATGGAGATATTTATTTATCGGAAATGTAGATTTTTACTATAAGATTATATGAAGACAAAATATCTTTTATTGTTTGCGGCGAATTGTAAAGAATATACCAACTGTAGTGAGTTATATGCTCATGGAGCAATGTTTTCAAGATGTGCTAATATTGTATAATGTACTATTGATCTCATATATGAAATTTAGCAAGAAGCTGGTTTCGATCAGTGCTCATATTTATTCGATCAGAAATATTTCTGTACCCACGGCTTACAAAATGATTGAGTTAAGCTTTAAAAAAATTGGAAATTGAAATTAGGAACAGAAACAAAGTGTTTGTGTGATATAAAACAGCTACTTGGTTTGTAAAGGGTTTTTTTTAGAATATAATGTATGTATTACTAACATGATAACTTGTGTAACACACACATGGTGTAAGGTGATGCGGCTGCCTCCATGGGGCGTCTCATTACGTCTACTAGTGCAATAATTTTATATAAAGTATATGTACCACGAGTTTTATATAAATACGTGACCTACGTGAAATTCTAAGTTCTTATTAAAATAAAGTGTTAACGGTAGAAATGCGTAGTGTGTATATTTTAAAACAGTAACTATTTATTTATCTGAAATATTAATATATGGTTAAATAACATACAATGTTCTCACAACCTATTGTTTTCGTTTTATACACCCCAATCCTCACATCTACCCGGGTCCTCTCGCACCCGGCCTTAGTCAAGGCCATGGTGCGAAGCGAGAGGACCCGGGAAGCCTCCATTAGGTTGTGGATACTCGTCCACAAGATGTCGCCAAGACGCAGCCGCCGATCACTTCCCTGAGGACACGGCGGTTATCAACCCAAGCAGGGCACATCGCTACCGAACCTTCCACCGTGTCCTCCGGATGGTCCTCAAAATGACAACTCCCACCAGTATAACTGATCTTCATTGTCAGCGACATGTCATAAATATTAGCTTTTTGAAACACTGGAGTCTCGCTAAAAAACAGCGCTACAACCCATGAGTTTTGTCATGAGTCAATAAGAGTCAGACACAGGCGAGAGGCGTCTCATCCTGGAGTAATCATACGATGATTTTTTCCTTATAAAAAATCCTATCCCCGATTCCTAAGCCCCTGAAGGGCCAGCAAGCTAACTATAACTCCTCTAGTGTCTATCGGCGGAGCTTATTGCTTACCATTAAGTGATTCATTCGGCTTATTTGCCGCTCAATCACAAAACACAAATCTATTATTCCTTTATACACCAACAGTGAGGATGTGTCTACATTACATAGTTCATGTTTGAATGTCTGCCAAATCAAAGGTGATTTAATTACTTTGATAAGTAAAAATACTCATTTAAAAATGAAGGCAAATCCACTAACATGGAATGAATTTTTGTGGTTTATTTCTGATTAGGATAATGCAAATGTATTAGGTAGTTGAATTATAAATAGCCTCATATAAAAAAGACTTATGAATATTGGTAAAAATTATAAAAAAAAAGAATGATAAAATGTTAGTAAAACAAATACACAGATTAAAAATGTTACAAAATACCACATGATCACAATATTGTGCACTAATTACTTGGGGATTGTGTGGAAATTATAAATCAGAACACAGAAATACCGTAAACTCCTTTATTCAAAGTCCACAGTATGCTTAAACTAACAGATTACAGCCTGCGTCCTCGTCGTCCACCCTTCCTGCGGGTAGAGTCTGAAGGAACAGGGGTGACATCCTCAATGCGGCCAATCTTCATGCTGGAACGAGCCAGGGCACGGAGTGCGGACTGAGCACCAGGTCCAGGTGTCTTGGTCTTGTTGCCTCCTGTGGCACGCAGTTTGATGTGTAGGGCGGTGATGCCAAGTGTCTTGCACTTCTCAGCAACATCCTGAAATAACACAGTAAATAAGTTAGTGGACATTTTGGGTAAATTTTTTGTTGTATAGTAATATTGTATTTCTTTAAACTCAACTAAGTTTACTCACAATGAAACAAGCTAGCTCACTTCATAAACAAGTAGTTACATATGCGTCGTTGGAGATTAAGTAGAAGTGAGTTATTTTATCCCAAGTGCTTTAAAACATTGAACTACATTGAACAGACAAAACATTGATCAGTGGGTAGCCTTAGGTTAGGTATGAACTAAATGCTGGGATTAGACCCCAGAATTTTAAGTTGCACCTGATATATATTTCATAGATAACCCTAGCATTTCGCCTTATCAATTACATCTAACCAAAATACCAAACTAACCTCAAATTGTCAAGATATCTATTGAAAGCATAATCAAAGTATTGTAAACAAACCTGAGCGGCCAACATAGCAGCGTAGGGTGAAGCTTCGTCACGATCAGCCTTCACCTTCATGCCACCGGTGACACGGGCAATGGTTTCCCGGCCAGACAGGTCGGTAACGTGTACGAATGTGTCATTGAAAGAGGCGAAGATGTGAGCCACACCGAACACTGTCTCACCCACCAAGTGCTGAGGGCCCAGAGTAACCTGGACCTCCTCTTTCTGAACTTTGTTTTTCCTTGGTGCCATGGCTTAGCCTGAAAATAACAACACTTCAGTTCAGAACCACTTTTGTAACCTTAAATATCTGAGTAATCCACACACTGATTCACGCGAAAAGAAAACTAGATAACAATTTAGTGTATTAACTAGTAATATTAAATCTTATTTCACGTTAAATCATTAATTTTTAAACATTTTTACATAAAACTTGAAAATACCTTTAGCTTTGAAAGCTGTCAAAAACTAGAAAGAATTCCGCATGTGAATGTTGCCAGCGTTATGGTGTTAATATTGCACAAAAAAATATTTTTTTCTACTAATTAATACTAATACGAAATTAATACTAATTCCCAAAAATATGATATCCTATTTCCATGCATCTTTATTGATTATAAATTAATCTAAAACATATTTTTGCACCTAAAATATTTTTCGACATATAATAGCAAAGAAATCGAATATTACAACTAATTTTTTACAAGTTATTGATAGATCTATAACAACGAGAAAGCTGAGACCCTGGCAACATAGTAGTTTTTACCTTCCATAATATAGAAAACTACCAAAATTAAATTAAATAAATCAGGTAATTAATAAAAAAATATACATATTTTGATCATATTTTTTATTTCTTTTACATATATAATACATTGATCCTTTCACATAAAAATATTTTGTTTCTTTGATTTCTTTTATGTTCGCAATTTCAAATATAAAAAATGATCAATGAGCTGAATATAAATATTTAATACTTTTAATGTATTTTTAAGGACATCTCTTAATTTTTGATCAAACAATTTAAATATATAATAAACTATGCTAAAGTTAAAAATAACAAAGCAATAGTTTATGGCCGTCCCATCTCTAAAGCAATGTGACAACATCCGGAAATAGCGTACGTCATTGCCAACAGATTCATATTTCCATCGCATATTCGTTGCTGAGAAAAATCGTCGGTTTTAGCGACGTAACATATTGCTAATAAGTGTGAAATATTGTGATAAACTTCCTTTTAGCATTAGTTAATCTAGTTCAATTTTAAATAGTGAGTATTTCATTTTCGTTTTGGTGTAATTAAAGTTCGAAGTTTCAAGTACGTAAGTGACGTTCTGTCATTCATGTTACTCAATTCAATATTGTATTCCTATTACGTTTTCGATGTCTCAACGAGTTTGACGGCATGTGTGATGTGTGGTGGCGTTGCTCAGTGATATTCCACTGGTAGCGACTACGACGTAATTGATAACAAAAAGATTTGCAAGTCATTACTCATCCCATACGTTCTTTGTGATGAAGGTGGAGAGGTTCTGAAATAATATTGTTTCCTACGTTCCAGATTCAAAATGTTTATCTTGGATTGGTTCACTGGTGTTCTCGGATTCCTTGGTAAGTGAAGCTCTTATTGGAATCTTGCATGATCTTGTCATTACTTGTAACTAGAATATAGCCACGATCCCAGCCAAAGTGTATCATTTCGAAGTGCCTATCTGATTGAAGATCATTAACACATAAATCATATTCAAACTTATTAAATTCTGTTATATTTCTGGGGAATGATAAGTCTTTAATTATTGTCAAACATCATCTTCTCAACTTCCCTCACTTAAACATTAGTTTACTGACTAAAAAGGTCCAAATAATGCTACAATTGAATTCTATTTTTTCCTGACTAGTCCATATACAGTCATTGTTAGAAAGTTGGAGTTACAAAATGAAGAACCAAATGCTTGCTTGCACTTCACATATATAAGTCACTGTTAATAATTTATATATAACATTTAGAGTTAAATGGCATGTATCTGTTAATGTTTTATATAAGATTTATAATTGAATTGTGAATTGAGTCAAAGATCAATAAAATAATTCCTATTTTAGGGCTTATTCATACAATGATCATTAATACTAATATCTAGTCAAATTCTTATTAACTTTACAATTTCTAATTGAAGCTTAGGTACCTTACTACATGTTTAATAGAAAGCCATTGAGTTACCAAAGTTTGATCAAACTCAATAGTAAATATTTCATAGCTGTTTCTTAACTGTTTCAAGTGAAGGTCAACATTGGTTACCCAGTGAAGTGACACAGTGACCTACTAAACATCCTTAGTATTTGAAACAACTCACTATTTCCTTATACTTATAATATGGCATCTTTTATTTAAGATTATAACAGTTCAAATATGGTATAAATAAATTGTCAGCATTAAAGGTTCATTCAGTTGCACTATTTTTTTTGTGCATATTCTTAATTCAAATTGCACCTAAATTGTTTATTAAAACTATTCTATTTTTAAATTTATTGGAAAATTGTCTTAGGAGTTGTATTTATGAGGTTTGTTGTTTATTAGGTCTGTGGAAGAAGTCAGGCAAGCTACTTTTCTTGGGGCTGGACAATGCTGGCAAGACCACACTCCTGCACATGCTGAAGGATGACAGATTGGCGCAGCATGTACCCACATTGCATCCCAGTAAGTATTTATTCATTGCTTTTTTTAAAGAAAATTATTCCTTAGTACCAAACAAAAAAATATTTATCCTACTGTTATCATATTTCTCAGTAAGTGCAGTGGATGAATATTATTTAGTGTGAATTGTATAAAACCCTGATTTTTTTCTGAAGGTGATGATGAAATCCTATGTCTTTGTTACCAATTGTAAAATTGCTACATGTTAATTAGATTACAATATTAAATGAGTTATAATGGAATAATTATAAACGACGATAAATTAACATTTATACCTCACATGGACCAAATAATTACAAAGGCTTCAAAAATGTTAGGGTTCGTTATAAGGAATACCCAAAGTTTTAAAAAAAGTAGCACTAAAATTATGTTGTACAATAGTTTGGTTCGGAGTATTTTGGAATACTGTAGTGTTGTTTGGAGGCCACACTACGCTACACACATGTTACGATTAGAACGAGTCCAGAAACGCTTTTTATGGCATCTTGCATTTTCACAAGGTAAATGTAAATGCTTGCCTTCCTACAACTCCCGGTTGCGGTATTTCGGGATGCTGCCATTATCAACCAGAGCCAATGTTACAGATGCATTATTCCTCTATAAGCTAGTGAGAAATAAAATTAGCTGCCCTACATTGCTTGGTCTTTTTAGATTGCGTACCCCTTCCAGACTCCCACGTGGTAACATTACACCTTTTTGTCCACCTCCACGTAGAACCGTCCTTGGTGCGAATTCGGCTATTCCCCGATTATGTAAGATAATTAACAGCTGTAGTAACGTAATCGACATACACCATGACAGCATCGGGAAATTTAGTAAAACAATGATTCAACTGTGTTCTGATGGCTGCCTGAAATTTAAATTAAATTGAATATGTCAACTAAATCATGATAATTTAAATTCAATAACAATTTCAATAATTTATAATTTATTTTATTTTATTTATTTAAAAGAAAAACTGCGGTAGCCAGCTGCCCGGCCACCGCACAACCGTGCAGTTAAATAATTAATTCATTTATTTGTTTTTATAGATTTTTTTTTAATTTTTATTTGTAGGTAGGTTTTAATGCTACATAAGTCCATGTATACTTCATGAATCTTTTATTGTTAATGTCTTTTTGTATTAATTTAAAATACTACTATTATATAATAATTACTATTGAATGTTAATCGTTATTCTGTGCATGTTGTGTTAGCCAGTAAGTAGTTATTGCACTTACAAATGTATTTCTTATATTCTTGTATCTCATAAATGTTACAGTGTACATAACTGTTGGCTAGCCTAATAAATAAATAAATAAATAAATAAATTATTGTTTGTTGAAGTCCATGAAGCAAAGAACATTAGTATTTTCAGTTAATTACAAGATGTTGTATTTCAATTTTATAAGGAGATGATTTTGGATGTAGATTTGCCTCCAAAATGGCATAGATATAATACTGCCTTTCTTCCATTGTGTGATAATTTCTGTACTTTCACTGCTTACCTCAGTCACTGCACGTTATCTAACTTACCTTATCCCTCTCAAAATTAACTGGTGTGATGTTAAACTATCTTAAATAAACATAGCAACTTCAATCAAACTAATTATACAATATGAAAGTCATGCTTATTTTCCTGATAAATAGATAAGGCTCAAATTGCTACCATAACAAGATATGCATCTAGTGTCACTCATCAGGATTAAACAAAAAGTCTATTTTAAAATTGTATTAATAGAGCACAAGGCTGTTGTAAACTAATAATTCTGTTTCTGATCAATACACAGAAAAGCTTAATTAAAGTTTCATGTGCACTGTTTATTATTTGTTCAAATGTTCATTGTGTTCATGGATGTATATTGTAAAATATTTTATAATAAAATATTATGTAACATAATGTTTACATTATCAGAAGGAACATATTAAAAATATTAGATATATTATCTAAAGGAAATCTTAAATGTTATGTCTGCCTCTATAGCTTTGGCACTTAAATTTAGAGCATTTTTATAACATTATTTGTCTTTGGTCTTATCATGTTCCTCAGTAAGTCGAGTGGTAATTGTATAAAACATGATATTTTTCATTTAAATTTGGAACATTTTAGTAGTTGAAAATAGGTGTGTATAATTCATATTTTTTCTCTTATCTGTGCCTACCCATTTTCAGTATATCAGCCTTAATTTTATGTTAAAGTTTTTTTCGAACTGGTTTTTATTCTGCCAGAAAATGATCATCAATTATAATGAGCCACTCAAGGTTGTATACAAGGCAAATTTCCTGCTTGGAATTAATTATCTTCACATATTATTATGTTTTAGGTAACATCATGCTGACTTGTTATGTTATGCTTTTTTTTTATTAATAAGTGATAAGTAATAAATATGAAGTAATGTAGCAGTTTTTCAGTGTTTTTTGTACTGTTAGTGTATCACTGGTTTCGCGTAGCGGTTACGCCCACATTACCAGGATAAAAAGTACCCTGTGTTTTATTCCAGACTTATAGTCTATCTCTATACCAAATTTATTCGTGAAAGAACGACAAATATTCTTCTGTACATACAAAATTTCTTGGTCATAATATTGTTAGGATAAGCATTTACTCACAAGAGTTTTCTCTTCTCACACCTAATCTAGTTTAGTGTACAACTTAATTCTTTCTTTCTGCTATAGTGTATAGGTAGATGTTATAGAAATCATTGACTGTCGCAAGTCCAATGACCTTATTAGCAAACAGTCCATTGGTCAAGATATCGTGCCAACCAATCATGAGCCACTTTTTTACACAGAGATTGCACAGTGACCATATCTTCCTACTTTAGGTTCATGTATATATTTCAATCAACCTTTTTATCTCATTTCCCTACTGATAAGTAAATGTGTCTCATTTATTACCAATATCGTGGAATATTCTTGGTACATAAAAGACTTGTAATTTATTTTATGATTAATATTGTAGGGCATAGGTGCATAACAACGTCTTTAAAATTGTCGTACGGACAGCTGATTGTTGTCACAAATAAATTATTGCTTTTGTGTTCTGCCAAAACTAACACAAATATAACTTGCACTATTGTTGCTCTGAAATTGTGTGTGGCAGATTATTTAAATGTATACTATTATTTATTACAAAAATATCTCCGGAACTACTAGTTCAAGATAGTCATTTATCGAGGAAGGCTTAAAACATTACGCTAATAAATATCTGTAGGCAATATTTTTAGTACTCTTTATGCAACACAATCCAGCATCGAAGTATCATTAAATCTTTTATTTTAAAAGAACCTTTTTCAAAAAGTGAGATTCTTCTCTTTATCTTAAATAATCTTTTCTAACGTAACATATTTTTTGCAGCGTCGGAGGAGCTGTCAATAGGCAGTATGCGTTTCACGACGTTCGACTTGGGCGGGCATCAACAGGCGCGGCGCGTGTGGCGCGACTACTTCCCGGCGGTGGACGCCATTGTGTTCCTGGTGGACGCATGCGACCGCCCGCGCCTTCCCGAGTCCAAGGCCGAGCTGGACTCGCTGCTCACTGACGAGACACTCAGCAACTGCCCCGTGCTCATCCTCGGCAACAAGATCGACAAACCCGGCGCAGCAAGCGAGGACGAGCTCCGTCAGTTCTTCAACCTGTACCAACAGACCACTGGAAAGGTAAGCATTTATTCTCATTATCATTAAGACCTCACTTCTATTCTACTAGCTTTGTCTATCATGTATTACTATTTAGTTTAAAAGAAACATAAGTTTGGGTTCAATGAACCTTGTATTCGCATGTTGAAAACTGTTGATTGTACTAAGTAAGTACCTGCGTTGCTATTAAATAACTTCAGTTATAAATTTTCGTCATTCTACTTAATTGAAAGTAATGATATTTAATTCGTCACGCACTATCATCCCGGTATGCACAGTGCCGTCACGACCAACTGACCCATTTTACAAATATTCTTATCTTTAGCGTTTTTATGCAATGCGCGCCAAATTTTATTACGATAGTTTTTTTATGAATAGTAAAACTAGTCGACGCCACTTTAGCCTGACCTTAGATTTAGATTATAAAAACAATAATAATAAAAATGCTCGTACAAAGTCCAGTTTGTATGAAAATGGATTTTGTACCGTAGTATGAGTATCGTGCTAATTTTAGCATAACTTACGTATAAAGATAACTGGATCCGTATAATCGTCGCCTTGTACCGTCACTATCTATCATGGAACAGCGCTCCCGTAGACTATCAACTACCAATATATTTTATTACTTATTTTATCTAACCTCGAGTCGTATTCGTAATTTATTTATTAATCAGAAAAATATGCACATACACGTATTTCCAATTACATAAAAATAACGGAGAAATACTTGATATGTAAATAAATTAACATAGGCGTAACGAATAGTAAAAATAATATTGTTATTTCTAACATTACTTACAAAATAAAACGTAGATAAAATGTATTTATATAGAGTTATTTCTTACCATTGCATTATGACACGAGAATAGAATAGAATAGAATAGAATAAATTTATTTGTAAAACATAGGTATTGACAAAATAAAGATCTTATAATAAAATTAGAACGCTATGTTTTGTCATTAAGACGTACAAATGTAGTAGAAAAAACATAAAATAATAAACTAACTTAACATTAAATTTGGCAAAAAATAATTAAATAATCGGAAAATAAAACAAACAACAATAAATTCACAGAGACATATCATTCAAATATTCATCCAAAGAGTAATAACATTTTTCGATTAATACTGCCTGAAGAGCCCTTTTGAATTTACTAAGAGGTAAATCTTGGATTGAGGTGGGAATTTTATTGTAAATCCTTGGAGCCAAACCAAAAAAGCTCTTTTTGAGTAAAGCGGTCTTACAATTTACGTGACATAATTTATTTATGTATTGTGAACGCGTGGGCATTTTTTTAGTATCAGATATTTTCAGAAATAGTTGTGGATTAGACTTGACAAACAGTGCGACTTCCAAAATGTAAAGAGATGTAAAAGTTAGGAGTTTATATTTTCGAAAATATGGGATGCAACTGTCTGTAGTTTTAAGACCATACATTGAACGGATACATCTCTTCTGCATCCTAAAAACCAGCTCTCTATCAGTTGACTGTCCCCAAAACATCAAACCAAATCTCAAAATTGAAGCTACTAGTCCATAATAAGCAGTTATCAAAGTTTCAATATTTACTTTTCTGGATAGTTGAAAAAGAAGATATGCAGCTTTATTTAGGCGTTTACAAATTACATCCAAATGAGGTTTCCAATTTAAGTTACTGTCTATTGTTATACCTAAAAATTTTACATTATTAACTTCATCTATTTTAATATTATCATATTCAACATTAATATCTGACATTTTACATCTTTGATTGAAATGCATAATTTTAGTTTTCGTTAAATTAATAACAAGATTGTTGCTATTGAGCCATGCTATTATTTCACTTAGTGAGTTATTTATGTAGTTTTGATAATTGTTGGGATTTATACATTTAATTATAGCTGTGCTATCGTCAGCAAAGAGGACCATTTTATAATCTTTATTTTTAGGAAGATCATTTATATATATGAGGAAGAGAAGTGGTCCCAACACACTACCCTGTGGGACGCCATACTTTGTTTCTCTTGGTTTGGAAGAGTGTATAATTTCAGTTTTCAATGTAGGACAAATTCTAGATATTTCTGTGTATTGACATCGATTACTTAGGTATGATTTCAATAGATTAAGAATGTTCCCTCTTATACCATAGGCATAAAGCTTTTGTAGTAAGATTTTATGATTTACGTAGTCAAAAGCTTTGGACATGTCGGTATAGATAGCACAGACTGGTTGCCTTTTATCTACTGAAGTCATTATATTGGACAGTAGATCATATAATGCCTTGTTAATATTTGTATTTTTTCTAAATCCCTTTTGTTCACTACAGAATAAATTGTATTTTTCAAAATAATTATTAATACTATTATAAATCACTTTTTCAATAACTTTAGAGAATATAGGAATTTTCGCAATCGGCCTGTAGTTTTTTATATCAGTCTTATCATTTTTTTTAAAAAGGGGTTTAATTATAGTTTTTTTTAGGTTTTCCGGAAATATACCATTAGTGATACATAAATTGATTATTTGAGAAAATGGCGCTGCTATTACTTCCTTGACATACTTAATTGCTTTAGTTGAAATACCATCAAAGCCGACAGTAGGAGTATTTTTTAGGCTACTAATTATTTTAATTACATCGTCTTCAGATACAGGCATCATAAACAATGATTGTGAGGTTACGTTTTCGAATACTGGTTTAGAATTGGGATTATTTTTTATATGAATATTATTTTCTATGCTATCTATAAAATAATTGTTAAATTCACGAGCCTAATCTAAAATTGTAATTTATAGAACTAGTTTGCGTTTAATGTTATATCACATTTTCTGTTTAATATAAATTCCTCAAGTAGCCTTATATTGCTTCCTAGTGACTGTATGCAAACTCCCAAGGTGTATTTGTGTATGCTAATCTACTCGACGCGACTTGACTTATTGACGGACATAAGTACTCAGCGATACGGAGTGCGACATGATCAATCTTATCTCACTATGTAGTAATAAAAATACAATATTACAATGTAGAAAGTGACGCAAACTTTCGTCTGTCGTTTCTCAAGTCGTGTGTAAAAACACTAGCTAACTAGGTACTAACAACTTCGTGAATGTTTGTTCCAGGGCAAAGTATCCAGATCAGAGCTGCCCGGCCGGCCCCTTGAGCTGTTCATGTGCTCGGTACTGAAGCGCCAGGGCTACGGCGAGGGCTTCCGCTGGCTCGCCCAGTACATCGACTGAGCTGCGCGGGCGCACGCACGCCGCCGCCACTCGGCTCGCTTATACTCGCGTATGCTTCTCATATAAATGTCAAACAAAACGTAGCCGCCCAAATGCAATAATCTACTTTGTGCCTGTGTATCATTTAATAATTACGTTATAATCATTATCAAGTACTTCAACTTGTTGCTTCGAAGATGACTGGGACTTACACTTCGTGACTGATGCTTCTCTTAACTCTTAGTGTGGACCGGACTCGGTCTCTGAACTTCCACAGCTTCGGCTGTCGCGCTACAGAGCAATAAGCGGCTACGTTCTCTCGATGTATATATGCACGGACGCGCCCGTTTGTAAGCAGCCAACAATCGCTCACTAGTAATGCTTCATTGTAATGGTTTGAACATCTCAAGATCGAGAGTAGACTATAATTCTAAACGAATCCTTTTATTGTTGTAAGGATCAAGTTATTAATAAAATAATAAATAATTTATTATACTGCCTCTTTTTCCTAGGTTAAGTAAGTAACTAATTCGGCATTGCCCTGAGTGTAGCTGCGCACTCGCTGTACGACATACAGCGAGGCGGCCGCCGCAGTTCCATTCAGGACGCAAATATTGAAGTACTTAGTTGCTAGCAATACTAGTGTTAAAGTACAAAGTGTGTGAGCCGAGCATTACTAGTTAGCGATGTGTCATGTACCGCGGTTCTACAATATCTCAGCTACGAATAGCGACTAGCTGTATCGTTCAGTGATTTTTGTTTTTGGCTGTAAACTACTGAAAAACAATATTATTATTATTATTTTACGTAAGTCAAATGATTGCGTCAGGGGTTTCAAGTTTTTTAGGTTTGTGAAACCATATAAATTTGTGTCTATATAAATAAGGTAATGGTGCAAAGCATGGTAATTTCGGTATTGTGTATCATTTCATCGCCAAATATCTTCAACTCCTGAGACAAAGTCGCACTAGCTAGTACAAGCAGCTTTGTCGTCTCTGCCTCTTTTATTACAGTAATCATACCGCTGCAGATGTTCTGTCTCCTGCTCTACACGGTTTTAATTCAAATTATAATATTTATTTTCTTATTCTCATTCCAACTTGAGTGATAATATTGACTCGATTATGTATTTATCAAGTAAAGCTCATTGTGTTGTATGTGTTAAAGTGACGAATGTTATATTTTTGTAAATTATTTCAATCATTTGAATTTTTCGGAATGTTTAAATAGACATTGTAAGAAACGGCTAGTCTACGTTAGTGCTAGCTGAGAAATGAATTTTAATACTTACTCAGTTAAGGTTTATAGTATACTTGTATCTTCCATTTATACTTATTGACGTTTCAGTCAAGTGGAACACAACAGTATTCATGATGTCAGTTTGTTTCAAGCACAATCAATTCGATGTATGTATCAAACACGTATTTTTGTTCAAATCAGATTTGTAAGCATCACATCAGTAAAGGAATATTGTTTTGATGTTTTTGTCAATTGATATGAAGCCCGAGACTTGCTTGTAAGTGCGCCGGTGGTCGCCTCGCTAGACAAGCCGTTTCCAATCATAACTTAGTTGCGATCAACGTGTGCTGGATCTCCAGCTTTACTTAGACAATGTTCTTTGGTATATTATTTGCAGTTTAAGTAAAAAAAACGTTTGTAATAAAATTTATATGAAATAATTTCCTCTTTTATTTTTTTTCATTATTTACCTACACAAAATCTTACTCCAATGTTCTAGTACCAATAGTGGAAAACCAATGAAAACGTACTCAACATCTACGGCTAAGACTCGACAGCAAAAGTGTCCGCGTGCAGAAATAACTTTTTATGGGATAGCGATAATCGAGCAGGTGGATTACCTGATGGCAAGCAATCGGTGCTGCCCATGGACAAACCTAACCCGTATCCGTACCGAATGAACGAGTGCATTGTCGGCGTTATGGGGATAACGATAGGGAGAGGGTGAAGGATTGGGCTTCCGGTAACCTCACTCACCGCACGGCGAAACACAGCTATGTGAGGTTGTTTCACGACGGTTTTCTGTGAGGTGTGATAACTAAAAAAGTCCCTTAAATTTGAAGGTAGTTGGACAATTTAGGCAGCCGGGTCTGAATAGACATCCGAAAAAATATCGCCCATATTAACACATTCTAACATAAGAATATTTTTTTTCGCAACATCACCTGTGAAGATGACCTACCTTGTACGATTGATATAGTGATATGGTTGGTTGTGAATCCCTCAATCCACAAAATATTATCTATATTTGTTATCAATTCGTGTTTATAATTTTGAGACCGTCTGCTGTTGAGCTTTGTAGGAGCAGTGGAGGCCTACGATTGACCAAAGCTGGTCGAAGACTTACAAGTTTCACCATCATTGTGTTCAGTTCTTCACAATAAGCATACCTAATTATGCATTCCGCAGAGGGCGCTCCACGGTGGACGCCATCATGCGCGTGAGGGGCCTCACGACGGGGGCTGCGTTGGCCAGGAGGCGAGTCGTCGTTGCGGTGTCTCTGGACATCGCCAACGCCTTCAACTCGTTGCCCTGGAGCTGCATTTTGGCACTCCGGTATCACCGGGTGCCTGCCTATCTCCGTCGTGTAGTCGAGGCTTACTTGACGGACAGATGTGTCATTTACCCCGGTCACCGGGGCGTGTGGAATCGGCGAGAGGTGTCGCGCGGTGTCCCACAGGGATCGGTCCTGGGACCTCTCCTGTGGAACATCGGGTACGATTGGGTGCTACGCACCGACCTCCCGAGCGGCGTCAGCATTGTCTGTTATGCTGACGACACGCTGATGACCTGATGTCACAAGCGGTTGCGACAGTCGTTGCAAGGTTCCGGCAGTTGGGACTCGAGGTGGCGCTCCACAAGTCCGAGGCCATGTGTTTCTATGGCCGTCGGAGCGCGCCACCTCCAGGTGGGTCCCAAATAACGGCAGGAGGAGTTACTATCGGCGTCGAGTCGGCGATGAAGTACCTGGGTCTCGTCCTCGACAGCCGATGGAACTTCACGGAGCATTTTCGTCGTTTGGCCCCTAAGTTGGAACGGTCTGGGGCCGCGCTCAAGCGGCTCCTTCCCAACCTCGGGGGGCCAAACGCCTCCTGCCGGAGGTTGTATATGGGGATTGTGCGATCCATGGCCCTCTACGGTGCCCCTGTGTGGGCGCCGGACTTGAAGCGGCGGCCGGCTCGTACGCTGGTCGCGTCCCAGAGGGTCATGGCTATCCGAGTAATCCGCGGGTATCGCACGATCTCCGGGGAGGCGGCGAACCTCCTTGCCGGATCACCGCCGTGGGATCTAGAAGCGAAGGCGCTCGCGCGCGTCTACAGTTTGCGCGCAGAAGCGCGTCGCCGGGGCGAAGATCCTCTGCCACGCCAAATTAGTGCGTGGCGGAATGAGCTCCGGCGAGATCTCATGGCAGAGTGGAAACAACGACTGTCGCAACCGAGGGCCGGGCACGCTACCATAGCAGCGGTAAGACCCCTCTTTGAGGAGTGGCTTGAGAGACGCCACGGCGTCCTCACCTTCCGTCTGACGCAGGTGCTTACCGGGCACGGCAGCTTCGGTAGGTTCCTGTTTCGGATTCAGCGGGAGGAAACGCCCGAGTGTCGTCATTGTGAGGACCACCTAGAGGATACGGTGGAGCATACGGTAGCGGTATGCCCTGCCTAGGCTGAGCACCGCCGTATCCTCAGGGAAGTGATCGGCGGCGGCGATCTCTCGCGCCCGGTCTTAGTCGAGGCCATGGTGCGGAGTGAGAGGAACTGGGACGCCGTCTCCTCCTTTTGTGAAGCGGTCATGCTCGCAAAGAGAGAGGCGTCCCGCGTGAGGGAGCAATCCTCCTCCTTACGCCCCAGCAGCCGCAACTGGCGACACTACGGGCGTCGGGGATCGAGGGACGATCTCCGGCCACCGTAAGCACGGGCCTGCGGTCGGCGAGTAAGGGCAGCTCGCCGCCCGACCAGAATCCAAGCCCGAGCGTACGGCGCGTAGCGTTCCGCGCGCGCCTCAAAGAGCCATTCGACCACCACAGACGGGGCCCTAAAGGGCTGATGTTCAGCCGGGGTTGCGGGGTAAGCGCAATAAGGTACCGCGACCTCGGCACAGAGCAGGAGAAGGAACAGGGGGGTTTTTAGTCAGTAAGAGTCTGACACTCCCTCCTGCCCGGCCTTGGGCGGGAGAAGTCATTTGATGATTTTCCCCTCACAAAAAAAAACCTTATTATGCAATTCTACTCGAATTTTAATTTATACATGACGAAGAAAAATGTTTAATTTCTTTGAACCACAAAACAAAACACAAACAAATATTGCAATTTCAAAAGGCCAGTATGGCTAAATGACAATTTTATAGGCATCTAGTTTCATCTGGAGGACGTGGTAGCGGTTTGCCCTGGTTGGGCTGAACTGGAAAGCCGCCTCTTTTTACGAAGCAGCGATTATGAAAACACAATGGAGGCGGAGCGCGCAAGCGAACTATCCTCCTCAACGCTAGTGGGAGACACTCCGGGCGGAGATCACGCAATAATCTCCCGCCACCAAGCGCGGTTCGGTGAGCAAACGTAGCTCGCTCGTCGACCACCAAACCGTACGTCGGCTAGGTAGCACTCCGCGCGCGCCTCAAAGAGCCATTAGACCACCAAAGATGGGGCACGAGAAGACTGTACACATGGGTGGTATGCGCACAGAGTGGCCAGGTAGAAGCTAATAAGACCAAAGTTACCTAATTCCCTAATGCCTACAACCTAGCTTTACGATACGATTGTACACCTAGGTATTTGTATACCTACCTAACTGTACTATCAACCCTAACGGCCTATCCCTAGGTACTATATAAACCATAACACAACGTACAAGTAGTGTTGTGGATAGGATACCTAGGCCTGTTACCAGCGACCTACGGCAACAGACCGGAACGGACAGGAAGCTAAAGTTAGTATACGAGGTACAATGTACACAGCAGCCGGGGTTGCGGTGTAAGCGCAATGAGGCACCGCGACCTCGGCCCAGAGCAGGAGAAGAAACAGGGGGGTTTTTAGTCAGTAAGAGTCTGACACTCCCTCCCGCCCGGCCCTGGGCGGGAGAAGCCATTTGATGATTTTGCCCTCACAAAAAAAATGTACACAGGAGGTGGATTTCTCACTGCCAGTGGAGCAGACTGACAATACTGATCATGGCTAAAAGTGCCTTGGCCACAGTGAGGGCAAACGTCGATGGAGAGGAATCAAATACGACTCATGATATGATGATAATTTTATTTACATATTTACAATATTATATGTACATCTTATTGTCTATACACATGCGTAGGTGTTTGCATTTGTCTCGTAATTTTGAAGTGCCGATGAAGCAGCGATCACCACTAGATTGTTGATTCGAACTGTTGTAAATAGTCAATACAGCAATCAATATAATATCAGCCGCATCATGGTTTCTTGATCCATGGCTCATGTTCAACAAATGCTGATGTTCAGCCAAGGGTCTAGCGCAATACCTAATGTAACGCGGCCTCGGCCTAGAGCAGAAGGAATGGGGTGATCACTACCCTAATCTGGGCGAGAGAAGTAATTTTTCAAATTGTTTTCCTTATATTATGTAATTTAAGACTCGGGTAGTTTTGGCCTCGCTACATTGTATTGTCACCGAGTCGCAGAAAGTAAAGAAATAGCCCCTCGTACGACCAGACTGATATTCATCCCGCTACGGGCATCAAGGAAACGTTTAGAAGTTTATGAAATAAAACAAAATATTTTATACTAATTAAAATTTTAATTATAGGAAAATAATGCAATAAAAATACTTATGTATAGAATATTAAAGTACATAATTTTACAACTTTCAAAATGTTTTATCGTGAAATTAATAATAAACTTGAGTCAAACTATAGTGAAAATTTTATGGGAATGCTTTAAATAAAATCGATGGTCATATATTTAATGAGAGGCGTACAACTGATTTCAAAACAATACATAACACAAATTTATTCCATGATTACAATATAATACACATGTCCATCACTGCGCTACTGTCGTATTTACAATCTGTACTCAAGATATGATATTGCACATTTAACACTTAAAATTACATTGCATGAATTCATAACATTGGTAGAGGGCAACCTGCGTTACAATAATTCCTTGTGCTACACATACATAAATATTTCTCTTTTACCAGATCTTACAGTTACAAGCATGTTGCAACTTACAACGCATTCCATTGATGCTACAACGCGTCATGGCTCCGTCGGCCGAAGCGGTAACGACAAGCTAACCTAGGTTACAATGGCCACTACATAATGAAGTTCACGCGAATTATGTGAGGTAATATCACATTTGGGACTATTCATTAAATTTATTATATAAATAATTACACTAGCTACTCTGTGCACGGTGTTTTATTCACACAATTTATTTGAGATGGTGATGGCTATATGTATAAAACTATTATTCTGAGTAAAATATTCGCAAAATAATTTCATCACTAAATGAAATGTCTTCTCTCGAAAATATATGAAGAGCTTCTTTACTACCACTTGTCTGCAGTTGAACGTGTAATAAATCATGTGAATAAAAGTAGGCACGTAACATTCATACATACACGCATACAGGTATAGTATCAAGTTCGTCCTCCGTGAGAAGGCGCGGCGTGGTACGCGTAGATCTAACCTACGAGTCGTACGACGTAAACAACAAGTCAGGCACATCGTGGCGTCGCGTGCCGCTCCATTAGAAATTATATTACTACCCTGTTACAAGGTCCGCCTAGCCCGGCCCGGCCGACACATAATTTCTAATAAAGAGGTTATTTACATCGCTAAATATATTGTGCTCTATGCATACTAAATGCAGACTCGTCTATATGGTAACTTAACCTACCTAGTAGTCACTGCTGAGATTTCAAGTACACTTTAGAGGTATACGCGAACATGACTGCTAAAAAGGAGCGATAATTTTCAAATAAATGTTCATTAATAAAAGACATTTAAAACAGCGACACAAAACATTCATAAAATACATTGAACATAATAAAATTAAAGTCTTAGCCTACTGTCTACTCTCGTAAAACGTTCACATCTAAAACATTTAAATTCAATAACAACTTCTATATCGATTTAATATTATTTACAAAAAAAGTTCCGATTGATTACCGCGACGGTTAAATATAGTTATAAAATTGAAGATACCAGTAAAACTCTTTTGATATTGTCTTATTCGTAGATCACACGTCAGCTTTATAAGAGTGAAATTAGAAACAAGTCTAACATGATTCATTTACTTACATGTAGTATGATCACTTTGGTACATTAAACTAGTCATCATAGCCTTTCCTAAGCTAAAACATTATCTACAGTCACACTTCGAATTCGATTCAGTAAACTGACCTTAACTAATTCTACTTAGCAAAATATTCATAGATTTGGTTGAACTAAATGAAAGAAGAAAGAAAGAAGATCCATCGTAATCAATAGAATAAGTGGATGTTTCCAAGTATAAAAAAATATAAACAAATATGTGACGGTATCAGTGATAGTTATGATTAAATAGATTATTCTAATATAGATAGATTCGAGTCGATTTTATTCTCGATTCAATTAATTTAGTTGTAACACAATTCAATTTTATCATAATCGTTATAACGTTGCAACGCTGAGATCTGAGATTCATTTTACTGAATCGAATTTAGTCGCACTGTACACACATATACGCGGTGGCCGGGGCTGAGTCGGCCACGCTGTCGTTCAGTCTCCAGGGTGAGGTGTTCCAAGTCTGTGCAGTGTTCAGTTCATCCACTTTCGGCAGTTGGGAGCTCCGCACATACACATTATCTTATGAGCGTCATCTTCTATGTCGAACTTATAATCGTATGCCAACTGTAAAAATAATTTAAACATTGAAATGTTACGAATTTGTTCAATAAAGTTAAATTCTTTACTCTCTCGGAAGTGAATACACCAGACCAGAAACATTGAGAACAGTACCACTTAAAAACAAATACATATTACCAAAATGTAACAATTGTTATGGAATGAGGGTGGCAGAATATTTAATACCTTTCTTTTTAAATAAACTTTCCGAAGAATTGCAAATACCGTATAAGACGGTTCGAAAAGCTACAGGTACAAAAGTAAGCGTTTTTTGACACATCATTAACTACTTATAAGAACAATTACTGGGTAAGTATGAAACGATTCGATACTACACAGATAAACCCTGAGAGGTTTGCGTTGTGTACCTACATTGTTATGTAAAAAAAAAAAAACATATAAGTGTCTCAGAAAAAAAATATTTAAAGGAAAGATAAGGACGGGTTTGAATTTATTTTATAAAATGTGTAAAGTACCTCTTCTCCTCTCGCAATGCGTCGTTTGGCGAAGATAATGATGCGCAGATGTCGGTCGACCTCGACGGTCTCCGCGACACAGTTGGGTTGGCAGGAGTGGTTGATGTACCGCGCCAGCCCGCCCGACAACGTCGCGTCCACCACGCGGCGCTCGTCCAGCCGGAACATGTAGATACCGCGGTTCTACATTGTCGAACATTTTTAAAGTTAATATTAGCGTTTTTGTCAAATCAAACATGTACCTGTTAAAAAATAGGAATTATATTCGAAATTTGGTTTTCTTACCTTAGCCTCGTACTGCTTTTCTCGTATTTCCGACAACTCGGAGCGTATTATTTCTCCGATGTACTCTATGACCATAGTATGCTTCTCCAAGTCCCGAGCAGCGTACAAACCCAATCCTTGAATTTTTGACCTGAGAATATTTTTATATTATAAATAAGTAATGCTATTTTTTTTACAATAAATAATTTGTAATGTACTTGTGTCGTTCTTTATTATTTTGGTATTTAAGTGACAACAATATTTGAAAAGAGTATTTGTGCGATATGGTGTAATGCGTGCGTGCGTGCGTACCGTGCGAGGTAGACGTTGTTCCGCCACTCGCTCTTCATCTTCTTGTACTGCGAGCTCTTGGTGTGCACGAACTGCTTGGAGTAGGGGCAGGTGGGGTGGTCGGCGGCGGGCGGCGGCGCGGGCGCGGCCGGCAGCAGCGAGCGCGCGCCCGCCCGCCGCCACGCGCGCGCGCGGGGCTCCGACCGCGCGCAGCCCGACGGGTTCACGGCCAGCCCGCCCTCCAGCAGCGCAGACCGACCGAACTTGAACCGGTAGTCCGTCAGCGTCTCGATACCTGCACCACCAACCACTCTTAGCCACTCGCCACTACTGCTGCTCATATTAAATAACACTGCTGTGGTCACTTACGCTACTACAGAAAATAATCCATAATATAAAAAATAGAGTAACACATATTTTTAACATTTCAATCAATTGAAGTTCTCACAAAATTATCACATCGTAATAACATTCGTATTTTTTTTTGTATTTGGTATCACTTCACTCACCAGGTAAACTTTCTAATACTCTAACAACGGCAGGTTCAGTGAGACCAAACAAATCTTCGCCAGTAACATAATTGGGCCATAACTTGAGGACACCATCCTCACTTCGACCTTCTCGTAAAGCCGCAACAGCATCCAATACCTACAAAATATAATCAATTTTAATAACTAATTCTAAAAGTTAACAAGTAGAGATACAGGTAATAATCAAACTTTATTTAATTCTTTCGATGATTTATCACATGTATGACATGATTGCATTGCTCATCATCATTCACAGTCTGAGGTGGATTTCCAAATATTTATTTTTAAAATTCTCTGTAAAGGATACCAGAAAATACTTATATTTTATGATATCTAGATCAATTAAATTGTTACACAACAACTTCATACAGTTAATGTAAAACATCGATTTTAATCCAAAAAGTTTGAAGTTTCAGCCATCAGAATTTCAGAAGTGTGGAAAAGTAGTCGGCACATCATCGTGCAGTGTGGACACTTCTGTTAGCACGACTGGGTAATTAAAATGAAGTGGGAAAGTGGGAAGTAGTAAGAAAGTAAGTAATGCGTGGAGGTGGTTACGTTGGCCCAGGCGGCGCGCGGCGTGGGCGCGGCGCACTCCCCGCGCGGCTCGTCCTGCGCGCGGACGTGGAAGCGCGGCCGGCCCGCCTCCTCCGAGATCCAGCACAGGTAGCGGCAGCGGCTGTTGGCGCGGGACATCGACCAGTAGAACCGCACCTGGACATTGTCATTCGCTACATGCTCCACATACACTACTAATACGCAGGCGACACGTCTTCACATGTCTTGTGTTATACAAACTCTAGCGTCTTTATCCGTCGTCAATTATGCATTATTAATAAGGTGACAGTCTTAGTAACTGCGAAGCGATAACTAAATCGTCGTAAATTTCGTGACTGAGAGAAAAAAAATACACCATTTGGAAAAAAACAGCATTTGAACTCTATTCAGAATTTGACTTAATTTCCCAGCATATAAATATTAAAGCAGTAATATTAGGACTATTCCATCTGGTATGATGGAGGAAACTTACGATTTTGTATCCAATTGGGTAGATGTAGTTGGGCGTGTGGAACGCGGCGAGTTGATGAGGCAGCAAGTGGCCGGGGCTGAGGAAGATGAGCCCGCCCACGCGGATGAGGTGGTTGGTGTCCGAGTGGAGCATCACCGACGCCACCTGGCGCTGCTCATCGCGCGCGATGTACACGCGCCGCTGCACGCTCAGAGTCGTCAGCTCGTTGTCCTTTTCATTCTGTTATTTATAATTAAGCATTTATTATTATTTCGTACGTAGGTTGCTAGATGGTCTCTTCAAACTCAATATACATCTACGATGTGAAATGAATGTCCGGTGTGTATGTTACCTTGGGAGCATGCGAGGCGCAGAACGCCGTCTTGTTCTTGTAGAAGACGCAGTTGTCCTTGACGGCGCAGCCGAGATGGTAGACGCTGCCGCAGCGCACCTTGAAGCAGCGCACGGTGGCGCCGAGCCGGCGGCAGACGGCGCAGGTGGCGTTGGAGCCGGCCGCCAGCGCCGTCTCGACGTTCATGAGCGCGCCGCTGACGGTCTCGTAGACTCCCTCGGACCACAGCGCGCAGTTGAGGTGCACCCAGCGGTTGACGTCGCAGTTGAGCAGGCGGGACACGCCGTCGGCGACGCCGTCGCCCTGTATGCCGCAGAGCTCGCAGCGCCGCGAGTCCTCGTTGGTGACCGGCATGATGGCGACGCCGGTGCGGAACACCAGCTCGGTGAGCTCCCTGTCGGTGGGCCGCTTGTACTTCACCGGCGGCCCGATGCAGCCCGGCGACCACGCCTTGTAACGTACCCCTCTATACTTCTCCTTCTCACTGCCCTGGTTACTCTTCTCGTCCTGTTCACTCTTCAAATCTTCGTCGAGAGCACTGACGTCATCGCCTACTTCTTTCATCAACTCATCGTTGTCGAGAGAATCCATGAACGACAAGTCCATCTTTTCATCCTTGATGTCTGGTTTTATATCCAAGTCGTCGGTTTCCATGCTCTCAGTGGACGCGGTGTCAAAGTCGTCCCTATCTTTTGACAAGTTGGTGTCAGCATCTGACTTGTTATCATCTTTTACGGTAGTCTTTGTCTTTCCATCTAGGATAATGTTGGTAGGGCGCCAGGCGAAGCTCTCGTAGCACTGTGTACTACAGAAGTAAAGCTCTGAATCGCTGTCGCACAGAATTTCTTCAGCATTTCCTTTGTTAGCCGATAGTAACGGAAACTCTGAAGCTTTAGCTCTAACGACGGAGTCCAAAATAACAACATCGCAATGGCGACAGAACTTGGCTGCCCCATTTAATATACTTTGAATATCAATAGGTGTCCCTTCTTTTCCGTCCTTGCCTTTAGATCGGTAGAGGCCAAGTTTGTGAGATGGCGGAGTTGCAGTTCTTTCTATAATTTGATAGGATGTGGGTGGAGGTATGTGCAGGATACCGGCGAGCTCTTTTAGTACGCCCAGAATATCTTCAGCTGCACCCGAAGTGAGTGTAAGCGTCACGGTGACATTCTCATTGGTTTCCGTGCTGCCGGGGGAATCTCCACCCTTGACCTTCGCGGCATCGGTGTCAAGAGTCTTCAACGCCTTCATGTTGTCTTCTTCATCCTTTGATTGATACAACGACACCGGCTTCACTCTGATCGGGACAGGTGCAATGATGGGAATTATAGGCGATATTCGACCAGACGCTGAGTCACTATCTTCATCTTCTTCTTCATCATCAATTAATTTAAGACCTGGGAACCTGTTTGGTGGCTCTGTTTCGAGGCATTCAGGACTGGAACAACTGACTATGCTATCAGGAGTGTCTGTGTCGCGTTCCTTACAAATAAAGTCCAGTTTCTTGTCTTCTGGATCATCGTCAAACAAGATAGGTTGGAATTCTTGGTCATAGAATCCTCTTTGTGTAGACGCAGCCGGTTTCTCAGGCAACGGTTCTTCTTCCCCAAATGGTTTTGTATTATAATAATCTCCAACGTTTGGTATTTTAGCATTACCAAACTCGCCAACTAAATCACCTTTTAATAAATCATAGTCCTTGTTTTTTAATTTGGTCAAATCACCAGATCCAAACAATGGGCAAACAGCAAAGTTAGTAGTCAGAGCTGGTTCTTGAATTTGCATTGCAGGCAGTAATCGTAGTTGTGTCATCAGGTTGTCAATAAATGTGTCATAGTCCTCCTCGTAGCGAGACCCTTTTCGCGGTCTCTTCTTAGCGTTGGCTGCAGTCAAGTTATTCTCAGCTGCAGCCTTCATATTCATTTGTAATTGTTTCCTCTTCTTCTGTTGATATTCTCGGCGCTTTCGTTTCTTAGCTTCCGATGGAGTTTCTGGAGCATTTACTTCGGATGACGCATCCATGTTGACGCTCTCCGGAAACTCCTCCTTCATGGGTTGATCAAGTTTTCCCTGATCGGATGCTGTCGAGACGCCAGACGTTGCCGATTGTTGAGAGCTTTCGTCTAGTAGCTCTTTCTTCACATCCATAGGTGTAAACGGTCTGTGAACTGGACTTTGTTGAGGAGGAGCGATTTCTTTCTTAATAGCTTGTTGAAGCTGCTGATTTTCAATACTCATTGGATACATTTGCATCGATTTCATTGTAGGAGAACTTTCAGGGAGAGGTGTAGTTTCTTCTTTGCTCATCATCTTCATAGGTGGCTTGCGCACATCCATCAATGATTGCGTCGAAGTTTGTGTCAAAGATGATATAGTGGAAGTCGGTATAGATTGTATGGGACGAGATGTGAACGGTGAGTTTACTACGCTGCTCGTTATAATATTATGCCGCGGCGAGTTCTTCGCTATTTCTACTTCCTGCGTTAACGACAGAGTGGGTGGTGGTATTGAGGGCCTCGCCAGCTGCGCTTCGAGAGAAGGGATGCTGCCGAGCGCAGGCGCAGTGCGCTGTATGGTCATGGTGCGGGCGGGGACCACGGTGGCCGCGGTCGTCGTAGTCTGCAGCAGTTGCTTCAGCAACACATTCTGGGATTCATCATTCTTCTGGTTCACAGTACTAGGTTGCACATTGGTGTGCTTGCTTCCCGTGTCACTGGTGGTAGTTGTTGATGTATTCGGCTCGTCTGTCTCCATAGGTTCAGATTTTACAACGACGGCCTCCACGCTGTGTCTTTTCGTCGGTTGTATGTGACCCACGATTACTTCACTTTTTGGCTCATCCGTTGATTTAGAGCGTTTTAAAGGCGAAGTCAGTTGAGTGTGAAGAAGTTTGGATGACGTAATGAAATTAATGGAGCCCGGTGGAGCTGGCTTACCTTGTATTTGGTTTATTCCCGAGCTCACAATGCTATGAGGGCGCATATTCGTCGTGGTTTCTTTGTTACCTATCATTGATCTAGACGTCATGACTAAAGCCGGTGGCTGACTAGTACTAATACTCTGTTGGTTGAATGGCAAGTTACTTGTATTTATTTGTCTAGTCGGTTGTAGCAACGTATGCCCTAGTATGCTAGTCGGCAGTGACTGATTCTTTTGGAAGCTACTCATGCTAGTGGTGATAGTGTTATTCGAGTGCATGATAGTAGGCGGTGCAGTAGAACTATGTATTTTCGAGAGAGCTGGCATTTGGATGATTTGAGAGGCGACCGATGTCGGTCCAGATTCATCCATAGGGGAGAACGATGGATTTGAGATCATAGGAGCAGGTGATTTCATTAGAGAGTTCTGTAGGCCAACAGGAGAACTGATGGGTGAGATGGTAGGAGATTTTCTCATTTGTCCCATCGACGAGAGCGTGTTGACCCTGGAGCCAATAGCCTGGGCAGCACTCATGGGTAAACTATCAGACGTCGAGATGGTCGCAATGGGCTTATCAATCCTCTGTATGGGCGAAGGTCTCGACGCAGCCACTTCCACTTTGGAAGAAGGCAACAAATTTTCAAAGTTGACTTGTGTGGGTGTAGTCGCGTCACTGTTCTTGCGCATAACAGGCTGCGTGTCCACTTTGGACGTGTTGGTGTTGAGCGAGGACATGATGGTGCGCAACTGCTGCGAGACGTTGGCCATGTTGGACGTCAGCTCCGCGGGCTGCGACAGCGGGGACAGCTGCGGCACGCTCGCCGACTGCAGCGCTAGTCTCTCTGGCTCACGTTTGGCAAAAGCGGTCTGCTCTTGACTCTCTCTCGGATCTTGCTTAGTGGTATTTACATTTTGATTTTGAATATTAGGGTTTGAAGGTTTCGGGTTTGACTGCTTCATGCCATATGTCTTAGCGTCATCGCCAATGTTCTCCAGTATGCAGAGCATGTCCTCGAAACTCTCAACGTGTTTGTTGCTCTCCGCAGTCTCGTGGTGGTCCTGCATCGTAATGTCGTTCAGGTACCTCTCTTGAGATGGTGTGGGCGACGGGATTGATATTTGCACGGAATCCTGTGCCATATCCGAAGTAATCTGCATATTTGAATCTATTACCATTTCTTTTGTTTGATTGGCGATCGCCTTTATTGTTTTTACAACATTTTCTTCCATTTTGGTGTCCGGTATGGTCGGCTGTGGCGGCGGCTCCGAGATACTTTTACTATACGACAGAAGTAAATTGCTCTGTAAGTTGTCTTCAGGTTTGTCCTCGTCGTCTCCCTCCATAATATTGTCCGGTATTTTCTCAGGTATAGGATCCGGACTCTTTATGTCTGCTTTCCCCAAAAGCAATGGCGTGCGGTCGCTGAGGCATAACGTGTGCGGGAGTTCAGTTTGTTGACTGATTTCACTTTCGATGTCGATGTCTTTCGTAGGTTCCTTAAATATCCCAGGTCGCGGGTCCATTTGTGATGTGCCTTGAGAACTCATTGTTGGCAGCTGTTGAGATGTTGATGACATAGGGTTTATGTTCAGATCCTTATCTGGGTTGTTTTCAGACGACACAGTGCTGTCAGGCGATGCGGCATCGTCCTGAAATATTTTGGCAGGTAATGTCGCGTCATGTGTCACGGACAAACTGGATAGTTTTGAGTTAGAAAGTGCGAGCATCATCGGCTTTTCTATAGTTTTAACAATTTTTTGTTTTACTTGGTGTTGAGTCAATATAGACACAGGTACGCGGGGTGGATTGGTAGTCTTTGGCATGTTTGATGATATCACACTTATAACAGAACTAATAGGTTTGGAGAGCGGTGGCGTAGACATGGCCAAGTTCAATGGCACCTTCTTGATTTGTGGCTTGGCGACTCCAGCCACGTGGCTAGCCACACTAGCGATCGGCACCGACAGATTCTTCAGTACCGGTACTGAGATAGTTTGGTTAGCTATCGAGACGGAGGCCACTGTGGCCTGGGACACGTCGTCCAGGATCTTTGTGTTGGAATGTGGCGAGAGCATGCTGGCGCTGAGCAGAGGCAGGCGAGCACGAGGCCCTCCGCTCGGGCTCAGGATCTTGTACTGCTGCACGCTGGCAGGCTGTTTGCCTGTAGATAGGCTGATGACGGCCACGGTCTTGGTGGTGGTCTCAGTGCGGGTGGGGGCGCGCTCGGCGGTCTCCTCCTCCGCATCGTCGTCCGGCTTGCCGCTGTCGATGAGTTCTTCGAAATCCTCCTCGGTGGCGATGCGCTCTTCGGGAGAGACGGCGTCGGGCTCGACGAGCACGATGTCGTCGTCGTCCAGATGCTCCACCAGGTCTTCCCCGTCGTCCGCATCGCGCGCGTCGGGCGCGTACACGACGTAGCCGCGCGCGTCGGAGGGCGCGGGCTCGGCGTCGACGGAGGGCGCGGCGCGCGGGCGCGGGGGCGTGCGGCGCTTGAGGATGGAGACCTTGGTGACGTGCGGGGAGCGCGGCGGCCAGCCGGGCGCGGGCGCGCCGCCGAGCAGGCCGGGGCGGCAGTAGCGGTAGCCGGGCGGCAGCGGCGCGGCGCCGTGGGCGTGCAGGCCGCCGCCGTGGTCGTGCAGCGCGTGCGGCGCGGGGGACGCGGCGGGCGACGCGTGCGGCGTGGGCGTGCGCGCCACGTGCGGGGACCGCGCCACGGACGGGGACGCCGGCGCGCCGCCCATGGGGCTGTACTGCTGCCGCTGCAACATTTGTTGCCGCTGTACCGACAACGAGCAAGCCGATTATTAAAAAAATCTTATCTGTCAAATGCTCAACTCCCCCTTTTTTGCTTTAAGGTTAATTTTTTTTATAGGTACAATAAGCCGTGTTGGTACGGTCAAGATATCATATTTGCTGGAATCTTGACCGGATTAGGTTAATTACATAAAAATATATGTTCCGATATGTTCACTTACCGCCATCTCATTGGCAGGGTTTCCAGGAGATGGAAGGGGCTGCGGGCTGCCGAGCGGTGAAGTTTGCTGGCGCCCTCCATACGGCCCACCCACTCTTATGCCTATTAAATAAAAAATAGATTAATGACTATTTACTGGGCTGAATGCCTTTAAGTTTTCCACTATTTTGATTCGCTTAATACCTTGCTGATGATGAGGTGGTCTAGCAAATCGCGTCGGCAAAGGCGAACATCCAGGAGCTGGTCGTGAAAAACGCCCAGTTGCATAATCAACCTTAAAACATAATTTTAAGATTAATACGACTTGAAAGACATACCACTGGTGTTAAAAAGTCATGAGCCATCCTTACGTTTTGCATTTGTGGTGAATGTGACGCTACAGGACTCTGAATCTGCGATTGTTGATATATCTGAAATTAAATAAAGAATTATTTTATTTGCTTTCGAGAATATTATTTTTATAATATGGTACATTTTGTTGATAAATGAAGTAAACTCACCTGAGGACTCCGGCTGGGCGTCGGTAGTTGGGGGCTGGTCCTCTGAGCTTGCAGTTGTTGCAAAAAGTGTTGAGGCGACATCGACGTGTGCATGGGAGACTGTTGCGTGTGCATCGGCGACTGTTGCATATGCATTGGAGATTGCTGCGAGTGCATCGGCGACTGCTGGGGCATCGGGGAGTGCTGCGACATCTGAGTTTGTTGCGCGTGCATTGGCGACTGCTGGTGCATCGGGGACTGCTGCGGGTGCATCGGCGACTGCTGGTGCATAGGAGACTGCTGCGGGTGCATGGGAGATTGGTGCATCGGCGACTGCTGCGGGTGCATCGGTGACTGCTGCACCGACTGCTGCGGCATGCCGGTCTGCTGCACGTGCATGGGGGACTGCTGGGAGTGCAGCGGGGACTGCTGCGTATGCAGAGGAGACTGCGTGGAGGGGTGCAGCGGAGACTGCGACGTGTGGTGCAGCGGCGACTGCTGCGAGTGTAGCGGCGACTGCATCGGCGACGTCAGCTGGTGCAGCGGGGACTGCGGCGCCAGCGGGGATTGCACGTGCAGCGGCGACATGGCGGGCCGGGCGCCCGGCTGGCGCGCGCCGGCGGCGGCGGGCCGGCCCGCGAACTGCCCCATGGCGGGCCCGGCCTGGCCGCGCTCCTGCACGCCGGCGCCGCCCAGCTGGCGCACCAGCTGCGGCTGGGGCCCGCCGGCCTGCTCGATCACTAGCGTGCGCCCTCCCTGGGTGACCAGCCGTCCTTGCGCGTTCAGCGGTGACGTCACTAGACCGATCCTTTGTTGGGATATCGGCTGGCCGTCGGCGCCGATTACAGTTTGTTGAGTGCGAATGAGTGTCTGTTGTTGCTGTATGGTGGCTCCTTGCAGGCCCAGCTGCATCGGCCGGTTGATAGTGCCCTGTTGCTGCACCTGCTGGCCCTGCCCAATGTTCTGATTCTGAGCAAACACTGTTTGATTCGAAGTGATCTGCTGCTGGTTTATTACTGATTGCTGAGCGAGTTGGGGATTCTGCTGTCGCTGTTTTGTCTCATATTCCTACGAAAATGAAAATATTCATTAGTTGCAACGAATTAAGAAATTAAACAGTAATCGATCAAAACATTATTTTGTTACCTGTATAAGCATGCTATGTTGACGTGCTTGTTTGCGTGCCGCTTCGAGATGCTTCTGTAACGCCTGTTGCTCAGTAGAGACGCGCTGCAGTTCGGCTGCGTCGTTGGGCAACAGTTCGTTGCCCGACTTCCGCAACTGTCTCTGCTTACTATTCAGCGACTGCAAATGGAAAAGCCTCAAGTGTAAAATCGCGGCTGGAGTGCGCGACAAGCCCCCGAGTTAGTCACAGGTTCGTTGTGTTACCACGAGTCCGGAGACGGCACCTGAAACGATCTACTCGGCGGCCGGGAGGACGGCGCTGCCACTACTAAGCTCACGAACACGAAAGCGCACTACTGCGGCTCACCTTGCGCATCTTGCGAAGCTTCTGAACCTCGACCTCGTAGTAGCGCTGCTGGTCGGCGGCAAAGGCGTTGTACTGCTTGAGCCACTGCTCGTACAGCAGGCGCGCGTGATGGTCCGCCTCGCTGGCGGGCCGCTCGGGCGGCGCGGGCGGCGCGGGCGGGGCCACGCCGCTGTACAGCGGGATGGCGGGCGGCGCCGCGGCCGGCGGGGGCGCGGGGGGCGGCGCGGCGCCCGGCCCCGCCCAGTCTCCGCCCTCGCGCTCCTGCTCGCGCTTCTCCTGCTCCAGGAGCTCCTCGAGAAGCAACGGTTGCTCCTGGTTTACGTTCTGACGGTTAAAGTAAGCCTGTTGACGACGCTGTCGCCCGCCACCGTTAGCTCCGTCACCGCTCGCGATGCTAGTGGCCTACACTTCCTAGTACTTAGCGTCACGTTTCGTGAATCGAGCTCGGTGCGTTCGATGCGGCACTCAGAATATGTTCCAAAGTTACTACAAGTCATTTTTGCTTTACGGTATAAAACTTATGTTACCCGTCTCATCTTGAGTTTTGAGCCGAATGAAACTCGTTCTATAAATACATAAGAAATTGTAATATATTACAAATTAAACATTCTTGGAGATTTTTCGACTACAACTTACAAGAGATAATATACTACATAATTTTCAGTCGGCTCGTCGAGATTACTAGAGAGGAATTAAAATAAAATAAGACTACAATTTTACTTGTGAAGTGAACAAAAATATCATGACAAATAATTTAGAAGTGACTTATAAATAGGAAACCACTAGTAGTTCGGTGCGTCAACTATCGAATAAAAACTGATCATAGAAGTAATATGTGTGAGATATAACGCAGTGCTATAATCTAAGTACATGTATTAACTGTACTTTATATCAGCCACAATCAACTAAAAGAAGTTCACTATAGAAAACATAAACTGATCTAAGATATGTCTGTGTTTGTGTATTTCAACATTAATGTTCCAAGTGTTATACGTCTAAAATAACTTTTAAAATCTTGGGCATTACCTAATAAATACTATGGAGTATGTCATCACCATCACCAACTTTATATGGGAGATCGGTTCACTAAAAGATATGTTTTATGAACTTAATTATGCTCATAGTTTTTCTTTTTAATTGTAACCGGCTACAAGCTAAATGGCCCTCAGACAGGTCGTCATTCGCACATTTCCACCACCATAACAAGATGAGACAGGTAAAAGTCCCTAAGCTCTCTGTACTGTTTACTCTGTGCCAGTTCGTTTAGAACGTTAGTGTTATGTGTTAGGAAGGATGCTGAAAAGGTACAAAGGTTAGTAGTCAGTACGCATGCGTGCAGCGAGCAAGCAAAGTAAAAAGCATTAAAACAGACACGAACAAGGTGGTTAGCGGTGACCAGGCCCTTCTACTCCGACTCGTGGACCCTATATCTAAGGAAAAGGAAGTCTAAAGAGGAAAAGGACAGAGGAAATTTCGTAGAACTGGGTGAAATTGCAATTATTTGCTTTACAAGTATAGGTATCTTGTTTTAACAGGTGAGAACGACTTCTTCACAATAAAATCGACTCCGAAAGGGAAACAATCAAGTGTGTTAGAAAACAAAGTAATAGATATTGGGAAATTGAGAATACAAAGTTCTGTGTTTTGTGTAAATATTGTATCTGTGGTATAATAGGTGCCAACAAAAACCGATAGATAAAACTACGTCCATAGACACAATTGTACAGGCGCCATTGCAATTACATTTCAGGGTATTTTGATTGAGTACCTAAATTGCGTCATTGTACTTCGTTTCCATCGGTTCTAAGAAGTTGCGCTAGGGCATGCGTTCATAATAAACTGGTGTGCCGCGGAAGATTCCTGTTCAATATAATAATATGTTGTAAATAATATTGGGGGAGTTTTATAGGGAGAGTTGGCGTGAATTAGCGTTGGTAGTAGGTGTGGTGGGTGTGGAGAGTGAGGACAAGGCTCTGACCTGCAGCAGTAGCGGGCGGCGGTGCAGCCAGTCGCCCCAGTCCGCCGCCTCATAGGGCGCCGGCCCGCGCCAACAACCATCAACCACCCACATGCAAACAACACGCCTGTACTCCGCCGGCCGCGGCCGCGACTCCATCGCGCAACTCATACGACGCAATGCTTACTTTCGTACTACATACTTCACTTATTCGAGCCAATTATATTTTGTACTACATTATTTTATATGATAAAAAACTTTGAAAGAACTTTTTTTAAACAATAAGTTATTGTTGTATACTACATTAAACTCCACGGTCGTATGAATTGTTAGCGATAGTATACCCATGCAATATTAGTCTTCTAAGCTTGTAACGAATGAAACAAGCGACGTCTTCAATGTCAGCGTATATTTACAGTCGATAAGATCCGCCACCAACGCATAGACAAATTAATATTGCTTTGGATATGATTGCGTTCGTACAACTTGACATTGTCTGCGATGCGATCAAATATCGAAGCGTCTGATGAACATTGTTACTAGTTCACATTTATTGCAACTCGGTGAGACAAACTGACAGTGACTTGTAAATGTGAACCCAAGCTTACTGCATACATTTAAAGCGAATGAATTTACTTCAACACGTCGCCGTGCCGAAACAAATTCATACAAAAATAAAAACACGTAGATAAAAAATATTACTGCATGCACGACAATGTATCCAAAAATCCTCCAAGACTATCAAAATACTCATTATTGTTATTATTAGTAAGATTATGTTTGTAAGTTTTTCTTCATTGCATTATGTTTGGTAAATTATTTTCTGGGATTTATGACGTGACACGTACATTTAATCTATGGTTACTGCTTTTGTATTTTAAAATCAAATATTATTGAGAACAACAATTACAATTTGTGATTAATTTAAGTCATGTAATTACTTTAGGTCATGTGTTTCAAAGTTCTAAGTGTTGGTATATTGTGTTTGTTTAACATGTCAAATAATTGGTGTACATGAATTAAGTGAATGTTTTATGGTGTATTTGTAACGTAATAAGTATATGTAAGGTAGTGTGTGTCACGTCAAGCCGAGTAGACAATGTGGCGAGCTACCTGTGGGTATGGCGGCGGCGGCGGCTGCGGCTGGCGCAGCGTGCCCGGGTACGGCGGCGGCGGAGGGGGGCGCGCCCCCACACCGCCCGTCTGCCCCACGCCGCCCACTGGCCCCGTCTGCACTACCTGCCCGGTCGCAACCTGCCCGCCCGACACTGTAGCTGCGGGAAACAGTATCGTAGTCAATAACTCACAAGTCTTTTTTTTTAAAGAAACATTGCCCCACACTAAGACTTTCTTCTGTGTCGTGGGTGCGTTTACAAACACATATACACATGACACCCAGACCAGGAACCACAATCGTGGATCACACAAAGAGTTGTTGGCCAGGCAGCAGTATAGGTAAGGCAGTAAAGTAGCGCAGTACCGGCGTAGGGCAGATGCGCGAGCGCGACGGTGCGGTCGGGGCGCACGACGCCGACGGAGCCGTCGGCGGCCACGAGGCGGGTGCCGGCCGCGATGCTGCGGCCCGCCGCCAGCGCCGCGTTCACCTGCGCCGTCATCGCGCTCACGATGCTGGCCGCGCTCGCCGCGCTGCCCGCCATGCCCACGCCGCCCGCCGCGCCACCACCGGCGCCGCCCTGGGAACGAAATTGCTTATTATCCAATCAAAGTCAACAAAATTTATTTCAACTAAACCATCAATACGTATATTTTATATATATACGTATATATATATATACGTATAGTTGTGAAACATCAAAATAGAATCATAGTCTGTTAGTCTGTCCGTCAGTGAAGCTAGACGCTCGTCCCAAATTGTATTTACTTAGTAGGGTGGAAAATGATTTCATGACATACTATGACCTGTAATGCCAAAAAAGGTAATCGAGTATGTCTGACAATACTATTATGAAGGCTTCAATCGTATTATTAAATGACCTACCTGTGCGTAGTGCATGTGTTGCGACGCCGTGAACTGAACCTGTGGGCGTTGCACCACTTGCTGGCCCATCACCTGCCCGGGACCGAATTGTGGACCTCGCGCACCCTGCTACAGAAACACACTCTTTATATCACCAGCAACCCGACTAATGACTTTCGAGGCCAATTTTCTTTGATAATTTTTACGTTTATTTTAAGTACTTGCCATAAAACATGCACCGACCAATACGTATGTATATTTCAAATAAATCTTTGTTTACTAGTAAATGTGAATAAAATAAAGGAAACAAAGTCTTTTCTTTAATATCCTCACCATTTAGGACGAGGGGGAAAAGGATATGGTAAGGAATATACATCTAACAAAATCACCACATGCAAAATTATGAGAATCGTCGATCAATAACCATGTATGAAGAGATTAATGAATGCAGATAATGCGATAATGTGTGACAATATCGAGTCTTTTAGTGTTATGAAAGACAAGCGGGACAATATGTATGTATGTATGTATGTATGTGATAATGTAAATTACCTGATGCTGTTGTAGCTGGAGTCGCTGCGGCGCGTTTGTGAACATTTGTGTGAACACTGGCCGCTGGGGCTTGTCATCGTTTTCTAGTTTCACTTCAGACTTTATTGCCTGCATAGCATTCTGTATGGAGGACGAAACACAAAATGAACACATAAGCCAATGAAGGTACATTTACTGATTAGCTAATGAGGATGGTTATGTACTTAGAAAATTAATTAATGAGTGAATTTGATTATCATTAGTCAAATGGACTTGCTGACACCCGAGCGTACGGCGATATGGAAACCACCAGATGAATTGATTGATGCAAACCTTTCCCATATTATGTAGCATGTCTATAAACTATTAAAAATATGGAACTTTGCTAAATGAAATGAAGTAAAGAGAGTTATTGTGATATAACCGCTATTACCTTTTTTGTGTTGTTGGTAAAACAATATAAAACGATTGAAAACATTCAAAAAATTCCATAAAAAGTCTTCTTAACATTGTCCTGGCCTAGTAACCCTGGAAAAGTGGTAATAAATACAATATAGGTACAAACCTGCAATGCTATTTGCTGGTTCTGCGTGATAACTCTCTGTACAGGGTCACTGTACATTGGCTGTGGTGCGGGCGTGGCCGGAGCTTCCAACTTTACATCAGGCTTTACATCTTCCATCTCAGATTTCACTTCAGGCTTACACTCTATATTCTTCACAGCCTTTTGTAAGTCATTGTACATATTCTTGTTCTCTTGAGCTTGATCCTGTTCATCTCTGGAAGTGTTTAGACATTTTTAAGTATTAAAAAGCATACTGAATGAAGATAATGTCTTCGTTAAGATATTGGAGTAGATTAGTTTACATTATGATGGTGCTGCTGTATTTGCTGAAAGATCTCAACTAAATAATAAAAGAGAGGGGAATTTTTCGCCGCGCCGCCAAAAATTACTCCTCTCTCCCAAAGTCAGTAACAAGTTGTGGGTGTCCTTCAGAACCTATTCTAATTAACATTTTTAATCTTAAAATAGGTCTTTTACTAAACGTTAAAAATAGAATATGCTTAATAATTTTCGCTGCGGATCAGGTGCGAACCGATTACTTGCCACTTGATTGGCAAGTAATCGGTTCTACCTCCTGTTGGCTGGCCTGTTTGCTATCCTATAATAAACAAGAGTGATAAGTATATACTGACTCTGGCTCCCTCTTGGCGTGTCTCTCCGGCATCCCGTCGTCAGCGAGCTCGAGTCCGTCCAGTATGTGTTCTGCATCGTTGAGTGCTGCCAGTTCAGGGTCGGCATACTCCAGGATGTTGAATTGCTCTCCTATTTCTGCTGTCAACGTCTCGAATAATTCCTCGTCATCTTCGCCGCCTAGCCCAGTTAAGATGTCGCCAACCTAATAGAAAAGCACCACTTAGTTTAGTTCAGAATTAGAAAGATTACGCGACTTTAATAAGACTCATCTCATATTTATGTTTCATTATTACTGGAGCGCCCTGGCTACTTAGACCTCATTTTTCGATGATCCCGGTAAATAAGCCATATTTTTCTTTCATTTAAATCTCAACAACAATTACGACAAACATTTATTCAATTTGAAAGTTAAGTTCGTACTTCAAAGATAAATTATTTATATATAAAACTATCTTGGTAAGATGCTTATTAAAATTCCATGAATACTGTGTTACTTTACCTCTCCAATATTAGAACCATCTTGTTCAAGTTTGTCCATGTCTCCCATATCCATCTCATCTGTACCTTGCTCCTGGTTCGATTCCTGCTTGTTGTCATTGCTAGGAGCTGCAAAGTACATTCGCATAAAAACGCATACTGTATACAAGTATATTTCCAATAATATAATTTGAAATGTAACTGTAGGTGCTTCAGAATCTAAAACCGTGCCAACAAAGTTACGGGCGCAGTTTTAAAGTATACTGAAGCACCACATACTATACTCCATGATAAAAACAAGTATGATGATGTCTTAAGTCAACTTGTAGAACGAAATGGAGATACACTAGATCAATTAACAAGAATATTAATTAGATTAGACTTTGCTCCTTTGTCGTGGATACAGATGGGCATTTCTATGTATTTATACTGAAATGTAATTTTAATTTTTGACCAAACTTTATGTTTATGTAATAATTAAAATTTTCTTTCACTTTTTTGTTCAAAACTTTAGTAATATTACTACATACTATTATATTTTATACACCATCTACATTGTGTAAGTCATGAATGCAAAGTCCTCATATCCAGCAAATTCCTATATAATTCCTCTAGTCAAGCTTTCTTTAAAAACAAGTATGCTATTTGACGCTATACTATACTAAAGTCATAGACAACTGCCGTTTATGACATTTTATTTTTCAACCAATCCCATTGAGACCCCTAAAATTTGTGATCCCATTTTGTTATTATTTTGTGCAAAGAAAGGGCACGCATGTCTACATAAAAAAAATCAGTATCATAAAAATAATAGCTGAATCCACATTTAATGTAGCTTACCATTATTGGGCACGACATTCTGTTTCTGTTCCACCATCTGTTGCGGTGCGGGACTCTGCACCGCTTGCTGTAACTGGCTGTTGTCTGCCGATATTAGGCGCTGTTGCATTATCACTACGGAAAAAAAACAATAATGAACTACCCACCAGACAAACTCTACGTTTAAATATGATTTTTCGTATTGTTAGACCTGCTTTCCCGGTTAAACTTAGGACCGCGTGTGTCAAATAAATTGGAAAATAGATACGACTAACTTTTTGGGCTAATGATAAAAAATGTATGACGATAAACATACCTTACCTTCTTTGAATGATTTAAATACCTTAATCTATTCCTTCTTCCGATAGATATTAAGCCAGATAGATAATAAGAAAATAAAAGGCACTTACAATGATGGTCAGGCCGGGCAGGGTGCATGAGGGGCGCCCGCGCACGCAGTGCCACAGGTAGCGGCTGACGGAAGGGCTGGCCTTCACCTACACCCGTAGCTGGAGACGAACTTTCATGTTCTACACACAAAACAAAGGCTCATATTTTATTAGGGTAGTTTATTTTAGTAACACCAGTATTTAGTAGAGTATTTTTTTATATACAAAAAGTACCACAGCGTCTATTTTAGTGTTCAGTCCTAACATGAAATTTATTTCTCTCTCTGCAAAGGTTCATATACTGAGTCGACAAATTGCATGAAAAAAACTTGTTTGAATAGTTTATCGACTTTTCCTCTAGTGTTTATACCGCTACACATTTGTACCTATTTCGCGTTTTGATTATTAAGGTGATTTATAACTCGATAAGTACTCACGTCCAGGCCACATTTTCTCGGGATGTCTCTGCAGTAAGTCCCTAAGCTGGCGGTTGATGTCATCGTTATTTCCGTAGTGTTGGAAGCGTTGTGCAGGGAAGGCGCTGCGCGGGGCCTCAGCGGGCGGCGCGGGGGGCGCAGGCGCCGCGGCTCCCGCGCCCGGGGGAGAGCTGCCGTCCGGAGCACGTAACCGCTGCATGGCTGCTTTCGGGTCGGAAGGGAGTCAAAATTAAACGGCAAGTTAAAAGAGTTCCAAAACGTAAAATACTTTAAATGTGGGAGAGCCAAGCTTCGACACGAATGGGTCGGCTCATTACGGTCTTACGGAAAACCGGCGTGAAACAGCCGTGTGTTCCGCCATGTGAGTTAGGTTACCGGAGGCCCAATCCCCTCCGCATCCCCATCCCTTCCTAATCCTTAAATATACGAAACCTTTATCCCCAAAAGGCCGGCAACGCCTTTTGTGTTGCGGGTGTCCATGGGCGGCGCTGATTGCTTACCACCAGGTAATCCGTATGCTCGTTTGTGTAAATGGTAATGGCGTGTGTGAGCGGTACCTTGCATGCGCTGGTCGTGTATGATCTGCTGCTGCTGCTGCGTCTGCTGCTGGCGCTGCTGCTGCAGATGCTTCCACTGGCGCTCCTGCTCGGCCTCGCGCGCGCTGCGCTGCTGGCTGCAGGCGCGCTCCTGCTCCTGCGGCGCCAGGGACACGTCAGTGCGGGCCGCCCGCCACTACACGGCACTACATTGTCATTGTTTCATACTCAATACGAAACCAAACGTATTGCTACTCAAATACCCGATAGATACATGTCTTTAAATTTTTATTCTCAAATTTAATCGGCTTAGAATTGCCATTCAGCTATGTACCTAGCTGAATAGGACACGCAACGTTTGTTTAATTACGTGCGTATTGTATCAGTGAAACATTTCAAATATAGAAATAAGCTGAAGACGTTATATTCGGCACAAAGAACATATTTGAGTGCGGTAAGTTTACTATATATTTGAATCAACGCACGCAGTCCAAATCCGCATGAAACGCATCATCCAATTCCTTCCGCATGGCACCCTCGCGCCAGACTGCGCTCGGTGCGTGAAGCTCCTAAGAGAATACTCAATGTTATTATAAATATTAGTTTCATATAATATCCGCACCACTAAATAATGTATTAATATCTACCTATGATACAATGACAATCAGTTCCGTGTACTTTTGTCGAATACTGTAACATGCTGTATCTACGCAGGCAATTTATTTATTAATAACACTACCTACTAAGTTCTTATCCTAATCCTGACCTACATCAATTTATTATTAAAGCTATTTACATGACTAGATATTTTTATCACTCATTTTGTAATTAATGCTACATTTACTGTCATTTAACCAATATAATAAAAAGGTGTGTTCACTGTAAAGTTCTCAATGTCCTCGTTTACGATATTGTTTTACTTTGAGATTAACAACGGACAAAAGGAGAAATTTTAGTCTAATAGACCAAGTTGGACGTTTCATAATATATATATTGTCTTTTTACGAGCCCCCACGACTATATTTTTTTACAAAATACTTATTTTCGGTATTCGGTGAATTAACTCGTAAACCTAGCGGTAGCTCAGTGTGAATCATTTCCAAAAAACACATACAACTGGAGTTACCATTAATGATGAGATATCTCCAATAATTTTTTTTTTTTTTTTTTTTTTATTGATTATAGGCTCGCGCTTTGAATTTCTAATTTCAAATAGGTCAAATAATTTATTTACGTGATCGACATGTTTTACAATGTACGATTACGAAAATGTGGACGTAAAATATTACAATTTATCTCCCGTTTAGAATCTAACGAAAGTTTATAAACTTCCTAGTAAATTTATAAACTTACTGATCTTGTTATTTTCCGGTGACATATACATAACTTTTATGTATCTTACAATAAAACAAAACACTTTGCTTACAATAAAGAACACACCTTTCTACTACATGGTACATATATAAATTAAATCCACAATTCATCCTTTCACCACAATTTTAATGCTTCACAAATATTGTGGCTCTCATGAACCGACGCAAAAGTCGGCAATTTAGTTGATTAATTGTATACAAATGTTTTATCCTACTTTTTTTGCAATAATTAGTATTATAATGCTTGAAATCAATGTTTATCCATGCGTTTTTGTTAATTTAATACTTTTTTATACATTATGAGATGCACAGTTAGTATACATTAAGTTTAACAGCTGAAGAAACGTCAATAAGTAGTCAGTCGAGATGCAATAAACTTAATGAATATTAATTGATCTCATGGTGATGTTACGTCGTGTTAATATTTTTACTAATACACAATACCAAAATATTGTAACAGCTTTATCTGTAAATAAAACCAGATCCTAATAAATAATACTTGCAGTTCGACATACAATAAAAACAACTTAACATCTATTCCTGTGAACTTACAACTACATCACAAAGCTTTATACAAGAGCTTAAAACGCAAATAAACTGTGAACTACACCGAACTTTGTTAGAATTGTTAGCACACCACAACCAGCCACCAACTGCGTCCAATGTTAAAGCCAACACTACCAAGGCAAAGCGAAAATAATAAAATCAACATTACGGAAACAGGGGACACGAGTCCGGGAGGCTTTCGGGAATCGAGAGGAGGGTAATGGTCATTTATAAAAAAAAGCTAAAAGAAAATTAAAAAAAATAATCACACAGCTTTCAACGCCATTAAACAGCCAAAATTATTGTTGGGTGATAACAAGAATTGAATAAAACAAGAGGAAGTGCTCAGGATCGCGTGGTGCGACGTCGCGCGATCACCCAACAAGACGAGACGTATCTCGCATACACACTGGCGCGGCACCAGTGGAGTCTGAAGTGTAGTGTGTGGTGTGGGGTGTGGAGTGGGCAATGGTGTAAAAGTCAATTTCAATTAGACCGTTACAGGCACTTTTGAAGGTCAAATAAAAATTTAAAAGTGTGTCAGTCTGTCGGTCAGTCCCTCTTAGTGAACGAGCAAAAAAACTCCATGGTTACTGTTTGTAGTCTAGGTCGACTTATTTGTTTTAGTTTTGTAAAATGTATAGTGATACGTGTCAGTTTAGTGCAATGTACGGTGGTGTGTGTAAGTTTAGTAGTGGTGTAGGTCCGTGGGGGTGTGTATGCGAGCGTCGCGGAGCGCGGTACCGTGGGGCGCGGATGCGCGAGGCGCGGCAGCGTGCGCATGATCTCGGAGGGGGTGAGCACGCGGATGTGCGCGTCGGCCTCCAGGAGCCCGCCCGCCGTCACCGTGACGTTGGGCGCGCGCACCCCGCTGGCTGGCAGCCCGGCCGGCGCGGGGCTGGCGGCGGCGGCGGCGGCGGCGCTGCCCGGCGCCGCGCTGCTGTCCGCCTCGCCGGGGCCGCTGCCGGAGCTCTGTCGCGCCGCAACCACTTCTTTATTAGCAATCCACGCTCGGTCGCACGCTCCGCCGAGTCATACTCCCGGGGCATGATCGACCTCGCCGCTCGACACTCGCCGATGAGCACGATACATCGATAATACTACACTGACCGATCTCTCGGACGGTAGAGACACTAACAGACTACACGGTCGACTTGATAGCCACCTTTGATCTACACTCCATCAATGTGAATACTGATAACGACATGGAAGGTGTACCAGAAACTGTAACCGGTGATCATTCACATAAATGATGTAGGCCCTGAACCGACGAGGCAGGTACCGTGTTTAATATAATGCATGCACGATACCTGGATCGTACGAAAACAAAGTGCTAGTCGAACCATGTGCCTATCCCAAGAAGTACAGAAACAAAGTAACAATATACCAACGTATGAAGTATTCAGAAAACTACACAGCAGAGAAAAACAGTAGTAATAACTTTTCTGTCGGCACCAGTATAGAACCAGCACACCAAAACTACGCCCTAGCTATAATAATATTTACCTTTAGCAAAAACTTTAGTTGGCTGTTTTGATTATAACTTTTGTCGATACTAAATTTAATTATTTTGTTTTCGGCTTATTCACGTAATTGTTTTGACGAGATACTCGACTAGTTTCAAGCCATGCTAGAGGCCCATATATTCATGAGCAGCATTCCGCGACACGTGACGCGGGGACTGTCGCGCTGCTCGGCCTATAGCACGGCTTGAAACTAGTTGAGTATCTCGTCAAAACAATTACGTAAGTAAGCCGAAAACAATAATTAATTTGGCTCTTTTGGTTAAATAATGACATCTGTGAATTATATTGACAAAAATAAGTAAAAGAGCTAGACAATAAGTATGATACAGCACTATTAGATATATTTATTTAAATTTTCCATGTGTAATTTACATAGCTGCAGTCCGGATAATACTGATATGGACTGACAGGCGGACAAATGACTTTAGTTTATTGTAGTGCCCCACCTACATGACTTCTACTGTAATTCTCTGTTCTGTGATAAACACCAAAAAATAGCTACCCCAAATCGTTATCACAATGAGTCCACTCAAATAGATAGAAACTAAAATACAAGTAGGAAATACTGTAGATCCTCTCACTTCCTTCTTCTGCTGCTGTGGTTGGCCACTCATATAATAAATTTATATTTGTACAGAACACAAAACTAGTAGGCTGAGTGCTAGGTGTATCCTACAGCCGCGTTATTTACACTTGTGCTAGCATTGAGACAGGCGACAGAATCTACAGCAACCGTGGTATTAACAACAGGTAGCCTCGGACGCGACCGCGAGCGAGACAAACCGGTCTAGATAGTTCTATTTCTAGACATACGCGTTCTAGCGTATACTGAAGAACACAAGGCTCCTTGGTGAACGAGAGCACGTAGTAGGAACACGGTGTGAGTGAGTCGGGTTAGCACACAGCAGAGAGTGCACACAAGCCTACATACCTGCTGGGCCTTCTTCATGCGGATGGCGCTGCGGTTGTCGCGCGCGCGCTGCAGGTACGGCGCCTTCTGGTCCGACGGCAGCGCGCGCCACTTCTTCAGTATCTGTTTGCAGCGGTCCACCCAGTTGGGGAACTCTGTTTTCCACTCTGGGTGGTTCGTGTTGGCGTATAGTACGGCCGATATTGTTGCTGCTGACCCTAGACCTATGTTAAGCGGACAATATTCAGTATTGTAAGCAAAATACAAATTCTCTTTGGTATATATAGTAATGTCAAGGGTTTTCAAATACAAAATATAGTTTGTACGTACTCTCGTCAGCCCGCATCTTGTCAGCACTGCGCTGGTTGTAGGATGGTGGCGGCGCCTGCGCAGGGTCGGGCCAAGTCGCACCGCCGCTACCACTCTCAGAGAATAGCGGGCTCATCGCACTGTTACTGCTACAAAAACGAAAGCATAATTTCATTTATTGACAATCTAATGAATTATATAAGAAATCTTTCTTTTTTAAATTCAAATGCAGTGAAATAAATAAAATGCTTAACTAACCTGCTGCCTCCAAACTCAGGATAAGGCGAGGTGTACTCCATAGGGCTCTGAAGCTGTTGTCTCTGTTGCGAGTACGGCGTACTTGCCATAGAATTGACGTACGACACAGACGACTCTTGCGATTCCTACGAAGAATAAAATATTATTATATGAAACAAATTAAGAAACATTTAAAAACGAACCATAAGACAACAAAACAAGGTAGGAAATAAAAAATACAATATTTATGTACCTGTGAGTCATCAGTAAGCACTCCCTTGAATATTTCGTCCACATCATTGCTGTCCATGTCAGGTAGGCCATCCCTGACCATAGCGTCGAGACTCACACCAAGGAGAGACAAGTCGTCTTTAGGCGATATAGTTGATGCTTGAGATGATCCACCGGTTTCTAGAAAACAAAGACAATAAAAATATTAAATTGTTTCCTAGTCCTGTACTAGATAGACAGTCGATAAGCGCCGATCTACTTCGAAAAAAAAAGGTTCATGTTTTCGAGTGAGTGAGTGTCAGTGTCAGTCATATTTTCATCATTAAAGACAGAAAGAGAGTTAAGCTTATGTCAATCTGGCCAATACAAAGTTGTTTTTGTCTACCTTACTTATATTTATTACATAATACAAGCACTCACCACTGATGGTCTCAGTTTTGGTACTATGCACGGTGGGTATGCTCTCAGTGGCAACAGTAGGCGGCTGCTCAGCTTCAGCCGGCTGCGGACCCAGTATCGCATTCTTCAAGGCAGTAGAATCCTCAGTGTGTTTCAACTGACCATCATCTAACTCAGTCTTGATTTTCAATGTTCCATCTGAATTGGTTGTGTTTGAAGTGTCATCCTTTTCATCTTTTGGTTTCAATGAGTTTAGTATTTCTACTTCATCCTGTGAAAATATTAGCGTCGCTCAGAATTGCTCTTAAACTAACTGGACTGCTATAAAATATGTTTTACTAGCTAACCTCACGCGGTTTCACCCAATGCTCGGCTCTTTCAGATCGTAGCGTGATGTTTTATAGCCTATAGCCGTCCTCGATAAATGGACTAATGAACACAAAAATAATTGTTCAATTCTAACCAGTAGTGCCAGAGATTAGGGCGTTCAAACACGCAAACTCTTTATTTCTAATATTAGTATAGATTTAGTAAAATGAGTTGGACTGTAAAAGGTACTTAAGTGCGAGTATTATGTGTTACCGTGTTGAGTGAGATGAGCACGGAGCAGTCGTGGTCGGAGTAAGAGTGCAGCGCGGCGAGTACGTCCTCGCCCTCACTGTCCGAGTTGTCGAGCTCCCAGCGCGCCCAGCTCGGCTCCGGGGACGCGCGCGCCGCCGGGCTTTCCGCGGGGTTACCTGCTGGACGACCCACGCCATTGTATACAACTCTCTTCAAATGATGCGCAATGTTCACTAAACCGCTATATCACAAAGTCGCTGAATAGCCCAGTTAAATAATGAAATGACCATCACTTGATTAAATTAAAAAGGGGTTGATTTACAAACAACAAAGTTGGACTTATTGTGTTTTTTTTTTCGTTGAGACTTATTGTCCTCCTGTCAGAATGTTTATTAAACAAATAATGTTCTGTTTTCTTACCGGTAGATGAAACCGCTGCTTTGGTAGGCTCCAATAATTCTTTGCCAAAGAAAGCTTCTTGCATATAAGATGGGAACTGCTCCATGAGCTTGGAGCGTGGCTTTCGACGAGGTTTGCGTTTGTTACTGGGAGATTCTGCACAGACAAAGAAGTATTAGTAGTGAACTTTAGTAGGAAAACCATCTCTATTTAGACATGGTTAATCATCAGCCTTTAAGTAGTAATAGTCAATATTCATGTACTAAGAATTCTGAGTTGTATCTTACCTCCAGATGCTTGTGTTCCATCTCCTTCCTTGTCCTCATCAGCCTGCGCCTTAGCAGTAGTTTGTCTCTGTCTAACAACAAACCCACCAATACCGAGTTTGTTCAAGTTTCTCTGTCTCTTTCTCCGCAATACTGTGAGGCCAGAGTCCGTGGTGTAGATGGTGAAGCCCTCAGGAGGTGGGCCGTCATTCGCCACGTTCCATAATATGCCTTCTTTAAAATTCGTGTTGGGTACCCCTGGAGTAAATGTAAAACAGTGAAACTACTTGTTCACCAGTCTTGTTATTGAAGTTAGTATGAGGTATAGAATGTGTTGACTCACCAGGTTCGTCCTTGACTTCAGCTGTGCTGTCAGGCTTGGAGTCGTCACCCATCTCGACGTCAGCGTTCTGAACCACTGTTTCAATAGATGCCATTATTTCTAATCCACAATGCCAGCGTCGAACATACAAAAACTCATGTTAGATACACATCTTACATGTACTAAATATTACATATACATACGACTACATACAGCAATCATAATACGGGCATAGATGTGATATGCAAATATTTTTTTATTGATACCATCCCAAATATAGAGTGCAAGTTTAGAATTTATAAAGCATATAACAACCAAACACTACATACAAGTATGATATACACATAGAGACAAACCATGCAAAGCAGTAATCCGGAGTGCGTATTTACCTGCGTCTTTCTCAGTGTTATCGTTCTTGAAGCGGCGCTTGCGGCGCGTGTGCGTGATGCCCATGTCGGCCTCGAGCTGCTTCATGTGGTGCGCCCCGCGCTGCGACAGGCACACGTCGTCCACGTAGTACTCGCCCGCCAGCCCCAGCGACTGCGGCGTGGGCCGCGCCACGGGCCGCGCCGCGCCCGCGCCCCCGCCGCCGCCCGCGCCCCCCGCGCCCCCGGCCTCCGCCGCGAGAGGCGCGCGCGCCACGTGCGGGGGCGGCACCTCGCGCCCGCGGCACACCACGCACTTGTACCTGACCACGCATTCCGAAACGAGACATTACGGTGGGAACATTTATCTTTACTAGTGCAAAGACAAATCAGACATTCAAAATCCACCTTCACCACAATCAAACAGACATTTAAAAACCACCTTTTAATGGATTGATTCATTTTAAATAAAATACTCTACTTTTGAATTGTCATAATATATTTATTGAAAACAACGACTCGTACGCTGCTCATGAATGTTCCGTTGCGACTTGAAACTAATAGATTTTTTTTGTGTATGGGCTTACCCGGCTCGACAGCAGACCTCAGCGTCGCTCTCGTTCCGTATGGAGTCACAGGAGGCGTGCAGCCAGCGCTGACAGGCCTCGCACTGTATGATGAGCTCTCCGTCCGAGTACGGCTCCGAACACACGCAACACATCACCAGGGACGCGCACGGAGCACATTCTGAAATCACAACATTACATATATTATTAACAGCAATAAACTTAAAGTATCAAAATGACCCATCGGATCGTTAATCCTGTCACTTAAAACATATTTGTCAAGTGGCCAGTTTAAGGTAAGTACCTGTGTAGTTGTCGCACCAGGCGGAGGTGGAGCGCGTGCCGCAGACCCTGCAGCGACGACAGCGCTCGCAGCGCCAGGGCCCGCGCGGCACGTCGGCGAGCGGCGGGCGCGCGCAGTAGGTGTGCCACGTGGTGTCGCAGTCGTCGCACAGCAACAGCAGCGGGTCGTCGCCGCGCGCGCCGCACCCCTCGCACACCGTGCAGTCCAGGCAGCGCCAGCCCTGCGTCACTATCACCGCCGACACCTGCCGGGTAGCACGCTCCATGTAGCGACAGCCCTGCCTCGTCACTCTCACGACAAACATGGACAAGAAATATTGTCTCGCCTTGAGTCTGGATGCTTACAAGAAATAGCAACCTTCATTTAACATCACACAATAACGTTAAATTTCTAACTTGAAATCATGCATCAACACATTTCCGGACACCAGACAATTTGTACCAAATATTACACAACAAAAGTGAAATACATTATTTTTAATGATGTCAAGAATAATTGATTCGTCAACCAACTTACTATCTTACCTTAATATTGACGCAATACGGATGGTATGTTTGCCCGCACTGTGCGCAAGCAATAAGGCATCCTTCGGAGTCGGTACCGATTGCACCGCACATTACACACAAATCTTGAGTTAGGACGAACTTGTCTTTGCTTGAACACAGCACTAATTTATTCTCAACACCTAAAGTACAAAAAGAAGTATTAAAGACTATACATGAAATAACGGCAAATATGGAATTCTAGTACATAGACTCTATATTAGAAAATTATCTTTGATTAAATGATAAAGTTATTGAAATGATTACTAGTGTATACAGACTAGTCTAGTAAAAAAAGATCTAGAGAAACAAATCGATTATTTATTTAATCAAATTGCTTACCAGGATCATCTTCAGGTGCCTTGTTATCAGGTGCTTGAGGTCTCTGTAGCCCCAGCCCAGGCACTCCGAACACACCCCTCATCTTTGGTTTTGATCCCCTCTTCCTTCCAAAGTCCAGAACAGACCTTTGACGCTTCTGGAATCCTAGTTTGCCCGCAGGAGGAAAGCCACCTTTCAGTTTGTAACCACCTATCTTCTTCTTTGCCACTTTTGCTGAGACAGTGAATGGTTTACCCTTGCCAAGACCAACATCAGGCTAAAAGAGACAAAAAATTTAAAGTTGGAAGAAATTGGCTGTGCTTATGTTGATTTAGTGTCGTTAGTGTTTGGCTTTTGTGCAATAAATGCAATTATTATGCCATAGATACTATTACATGCTAAAAGTAATACTCAATACAAAATAATCATTGTAATAAATAGACACTTACCTTAGCTTCTATAGCAAGAGGATCTTGCTCAGTTTGGGAGTTTTCATCACCGAATGATGAGTCTTGGGATGTCGATGCAACAGTATCGTCGTCGAAAGCTGTCAACAGAACATAGTAAGAGTATAAATAACCTCACCTCTATGTTATAAAACCAACATATGGTAATCGATACTTACATGTAGATTTGGAGCCAGTCAGTTGCATCTGAGCTTTGCATATAGGACAGCTGTACTCATAAGATGGATTTTGTTCTTTCTTTTGTCGATATTGTTGTGGTTCCGCATCAGGGTCACACATTCCGTGTACGTATCTGGACAAAAATAATACCATTATAAAAGGCGTACATTTATTAAAATATTTTCATCAGTCAAGGACAAATGTAAATAGTCTTGAAAGAAATAAGTATGTAATCCCATCGATCGATAATGTCCAATAAATTCAAAAGCCAAATTCTTTAGCATTCGTAATCCCTTCCTAATTCCAAAATCTCCAAATCTTTAATACCCAAAATGTTGTTGCGGGTGTCCACAGGCGACGTTGATTATTTAGTATCAGTCTGCTCGTTTACCATACAATCACATAAAAAAATGTAGCATTCACTTATCAACTCATTTGTGGGTCAACCTTTAGTCAAAATCAAAAACTCGAGGAGTAAAAACTATTTTGAAGTACATAAAGAATAGAGATTTAGTAGATTAGTGTCATTTTCTGTTAGTTTATCACAATAAATGCGTACCTCTTGCAGAGTATGCAGCGGATCATGTCGCGGTATGCGGCGGCGCGGTACGCGCGGCGACACAGCGGGCAGCACGAGCCCTTGTTGCGTTGCTGGTAGCACGAGTCGCACACCGTGTAGTGCGCGTGCCAGCGCGACGACGGGCCCGCGCCCGGCGACCGCGACCCGCAGTCCGAGCATACGCGGCAGCACTACCGAACATACATTCTCAGATACAAACATAAAAGGAATAAATAGGTCGGCAGTGCGACGCGACGTCGCCGCGACGCGCGCGCTGCTCATGAATAAGAATCCTGCTATGGTTTGAAACTATTAGAGTTTTTCTCAGTTAATAAACGAAGGTCGCTATTTTCAATAAATTAAGTACACCTCACGATACTTACTATTCCAAAAAATATATAATACGACAACTATTTTAGCTTTCACAAAACTAATTATGGGTATTTTAGTTCATTGCTATACTAAGAAGAGCAATGAGAATAAACTTCATTATACTGACCTTGCATTTCCATCCGTACTTAGGTACGGTAGCCATAACAGGCCTAAGACAGGTAGCATGGTACAGCTTGTCGCAGTGCTCGCAGGTGACGGCGCGTGCCTCGTGGCCTGGCGGCTGCAGGCCTGCGTTGGCCTCGCCGCGACACACCTGGCACACGCGACACGACCGACAGGACCAACCCGATCTTACTCCTGTACAAGCATTACCAACAATGTTGTTCAATATAAAATGTATTCATAACAATCTTTTAAATATACATGTCACACTTTTATCATTAAATAACTGTTCTTTTGTAAAGAGTTTTCGGGATTACTCCCGTATTAAAATATTATATGCTACATACCTGGCAGCTGAGCGAGTCCAACGCATGTGCCGTGGTAGTGAGCGCCACAGGTGACGCATGTCATTAAGTTAGCGATGTCGCCAATAGTTCTACAAGTCCTACAGTCTATATCTGCTGTACCTGCAAATCAAGTCCTTACTATAGCAAATTCTCAAATCTCCACAAGATAATCCTCTTTTGAATATACACACACATTCAATCTATACTGAAAATAATGAACTTACAAATAAGAGGCACTTGATAAAGATGGTCCTTGCAGAAGGAAGATTTGGTGTGAAAGTCCATGAATCCTCCAGAAGCAAGCACACACGGTAGATGAAAATATTTGCTGCAACTCATCTGTAACAACAAATAATTAAACTCCTTTAAGACATATGTCGGAAAACTCTTTACAACATTTAATTTTAATCTGTACATTTGGGGACTTCCCTGGGTAAAAATAAAATGTTTTGACTATTCAATACAATGAATAATGAATAATTTATTCATAATTATAATTACATTCATTGATTTGACGATATAGTTATATTTTTGGTTTTTGTAGTAATTTTTCCGAAATAATATTGTATGTATTGTGTAATGTGATATTTAAAACATAATAACATATTATGAGATAATACATATGTTGCAAGTTCATACAGAATTCATAGTAAAGTATTGAACTTGACTAGTTGGAAACTACCAGATAGTTTTTTAGAAAGCTATTAACTCACTTTACAAGGTATGCTTGCTCCATGTCTGCTGCAAAAGGCACATTTCCTTGACAGGGCAGCGGTCACAATCCCTTTAACCCTGGCTTCCTCTAACTGATCTTTGTCCTCTTCAGAATTCGAGGCTGCAAACACATGATCCTGGAATGGTGGGCTAAACTCAAGACAACACCGATGTACATACAGTGCTCCAGATGAGACAACCCCTGATAATTCCATAACTTCTGTGTAACCAATAATAGATAACTCATCCGTGTGTTCCATGTTGTATAAAGGAGTCCTGTGAAAATAAAACCATAATTAAATTACATATTAAACATACTGATACTGTTTCTTTGTAATAAAATTGTTTGACCAAGGATAAAAAGCTAGTTCTTACAAGTTTCATTGCTGTATCACTGTAATCACTATACTCAACACTTACTCAATAAAATGAATTGGGGGCTTGTTTCATAAAGTGAGTCAGTATTTTATGTCAACCTAGTTCCTAGTACGTACAATCACTTACTTTACTAATAAGTGAATGATAGCCTACTGATAAATTAGAAACTTCAGAAAAAACTTACTTGCACTTATTAAATGCTTTTTGGCGCCTACTCAAAGGCAACGCAAGTGGGTGCTGATTGGGGTCCACAAGTTCTGGCGGTGGTGAAACCAGGCCGGGAGTCACGGGTGTGCTTGGGGTGCTGGATGGTGTAGGGGGATTGGTAGGAGTGGCCCCACCAGAGTTGCATATGGCCGGAGTAGTACTTCCATCCCCCTCTCCAAGCTTACACATAATCTGACGCATCTCACCCTGCCCCAGCTGACTACGCTCACTCAGGTTGCAAAGTGCGCATAGTTTTCCTGGCCTGCACAGATAATGTTTCTTTTCAATTTTGAGACAGCAGTATGAAAAGCAACATAACGTAACAATTGTAAAAGTAGGACATACCACTTCTCTGGCATGTAAGGCGGTTCTTCAGGTATTGGTGGTATAGAGAAATCATCATCATCCATCATATCTTCAAGTGAATCATCTCGGCTCCCTCTGTGTCTCTTGGCTCCTCTGACAGAACCAGCATTGCCTCCTCTATACCTGTTTTTGAAATTATAGTACTAGTACTTAAAAAAATATTTTTGTAAGATTATTTCACAATTTAATGTTATATAGCAATAGCAGTCAAAAAGAACATACAATAAAATTGTTAATAACAATACTAACTTTTGGGGATACTAATAGTACACTACATATGTTCATCACTGTGAATATAACTTTATTATTGTTAATTAGTTGCAAAGAGGAATTGGAAGATTTGAACACCTATTTGTGACATCACAACATTTGTATTATAGGCACATTAGAAATGACAGTAAATAACTTATTTTCTATAAATATATTCTAGCAATTACAATCACAATCAGGTACATGACCATATTAGAAGATGAAGTCAACATTATTTACCTTCTCACTATCTTTCCCTCTCTAACCAGTTTTGGCCCCTCCTTCCGTGGTCGACCTGGTCCCCTACGGCCAGATGTAAAGAATGGCCGAGTGTAGCTTTGATGGTGAAAAAATGCCGGCTGCGATACACCACCATGGGGAGAAGCAGGTTCCTCACCCCGCGGCGATGATGCACATGAAGTTGGTGTTGACCCTGGCCCTGTGTAGAAATCTAAGCAATATTTTTACATTTTTTCTAACTGCAATTTACTAAAACTACAGTTATATTCCCAACATGCACATTGTCATGAAACCGAAAAGATCATTTACACTAAATTAATTGGATTTTTAGCTGAAAATGGGCTATCATCTAACACAGCACTATACTAAATAAACAAACCAAATGTTTATTAGGGACATGTGACACGAATAATACAGACTTTAAGGTGTCATTCGATATTTAAAGCCAAATAAATGTAAATAAGATAAACTGTATACCTGACGACGGCGGGGCTTCGCCTTCTTCTTCAGATCCATCGTCAGCTAGCAAATCGACGTCTAAAACATTATCGTCCTGGACGTCCATCTAAAAATTTGTATATGTTGATTATCCATACAAATACACTTCAGTACACAAATGTTTTGTGGTTATGACGAAATTATTTACAACTAGCATCGAAACGAAATAATGAGACCGCCATAATGAACGAGAACGACAAGTGTATTAAAAACTAAACTTCTAAACTTACCGCAACCCACTGCGATGGACTCAAAACTTGTCAAAATTAGTAAATAAAATTTAAAGATGGTAATAAAATCATTTTTCTATTTAAAATTACATTGAAAACACAAAAACAGAAAAATTATACGACTCGCTGAAACGCGAACGAAACGAAGCGCATAATAGTGATGTCACCCTAAAACCCAAATAAACTAACTTTGAACAAAACCAATGAATCGATTTGATTTAATCGATTTCCAGATTATCAAAGTTTTATTATAATAAATATTTTTCGTGTTATTCTTTAAAATAATTCTGGTAAATTACGTATTTCTTTTACAACTATTTAATGTTTAAGACCATTAAAGTGTTTAAAAAAACTGTGAGAAGTTCATACGTATGCTGAAAACGGAACGTAGGGCCGCGATTTGCTTACGTGTTTGTATGATATTATTATTATTTGTCGAATGTATGATGATCCGCTCGTGAATGTGTGTGTGTGTTATGTTCATACAATACACTACAAGAGTTGCTTGACTGTGAACTTCACTGACTTGTTTGGAGTTATTTGCTTGTTTGCTGGTGGGTGTCTACAATACGTGTCACAGTGTAAATCGTATTTAATACAGCAAATTATAAATCAAAAACAATGAAACACGTACTAGTATCATTTATATTAGTGTTAACATTTAGTAATTCATGTAAATCTTCATTATTCGAAAGTGATTCTTGTTATTCTTTTGGAAGCGGCAATGTTTTTCCTGGTGGTGCGAGAAAAATTGATCACAAATTACAATTTACTAAGGCTATGAGTAAGTACAAGTATAAAGATAATGCCATAAGTGTAATTATAATATGCGACAATCTTTATTTACTAAAAATATTTTTTTCACAATTACAGTTTCTAAGCCGGCGCCGGAATGGGAGGCTACTGCAGTTGTCAATGGAGAAATTACACAACTTTCATTATCAAGTTTCAAAGGGAAATACCTAGTATTTTTCTTCTATCCTCTAGATTTGTAAGTAAATTTAATTTCATAAAACTTTTATACCACAAATAAGTAAATAAAACTAATATTGGTTTTATTTTTTCAGCACATTTGTTTGCCCTACAGAAATATTGGCCTTTTCTGAGAGAGTTGAAGAGTTTAGAAAAATAAACACAGAAGTTGTAGCATGTTCTGTTGATTCTCATTTCACTCATCTTGCTTGGATAAACACCCCACGAAAAGAAGGAGGTCTAGGAAAAATTAATATTCCACTTCTGAGTGATTTGACTCATTCAATTGCTAAGGACTATGGTGTTTACCTGGAGGATGTAGGCCACACTTTGAGAGGCCTGTTCATAATTGATGACAAGGGCATTTTGCGGCAGATCACCATGAATGATTTACCTGTTGGAAGATCAGTTGATGAAACTTTAAGACTTGTACAAGCATTCCAGTATACAGATAAGCATGGTGAAGTGTGTCCTGCAGGGTGGAAACCAGGGCAAGATACGGTATGTACCTATCAGAAAAAATAATTGATAAATTCAGATAACATACCTTATTATCTACCGTTATAATTTAAGTGTTATATGATAACTCATTAATTGATTACATTGTTTTCAATTATTTACAGATTATACCCAACCCAGATGAAAAGAAGAAGTACTTTGAAAAAGTGGCTAAAAATTAACTTTTGCATTTAGTGACACTACCCAAGAAACTGGAAACCAATAATTACTGAAACATAAAAATCACAATTAGTAGTTATCCATATTGAAGATCACAAATGACAATAATTATTTCAGTTAGTTAATTTACACTGTTTCTTAATTAAAAGTTGGTGTTCCTAATAACACATAAATGTGCATATATAAGCCTAACCTAGGTGAATCAACTTAATAGGTAGGAAGTGTACTAAGTCAATTAAATTATTTCTTTATAATACAATTCTAAAATACTCTTTTACAATTATCATTTAACACCTGCATAAACAAACAGGTATTTGCATTACATGTACATTGAATCATTAAAGTAAGCAACAAATAATTTAAAATTTTACTTAATTCATAACTTAATGATTTTGTTACCTACCTAAAATTACTCTACATCACTTAGAGAAGACTGAAATTGAGAGATCATTAAAACTAGTTTGAAAGGCGTGCCAAGTACACTTACAGAATGGTGAAAGGGATTATTTTTGTAAAACTTGTACATTCATTTTGAATAAAAAAACTAATAGTAATATTGTTTTATGTGTATATCTAAGTGTGGGAAAGAGCCATGGGTCGGCTCGACCGGAGAGATACCACGGCCTCACAGAAAATCGACGAGGACCTACCACAGCGTGTTTCGTCGTGTGAGTGAGGTTACCGGAGGCCCAATTTCCCCCCTCCCCCCTCTCCCAAATCTCTCCCGATTGGGGGAATCAATCCCTAATTCCTTACCATCATGCAATCCGTCGGTCAATTTGCAGTCCAGTAGTGTCATACATAAAAAATACGTGATCACTATATACTAGTTAGGGTAATTTAGCAAATGGAAACAAAACAGTAAGTACTTACTTACTGTCATTTATTAAATAGACAAAATTCTATCATTTCCTACCATAGGTTTGCCAATAGGCCACCACAGGATGGGGGCCCTATAGGGCTGATGTTTAGCTGGGGTTGCGGGTCAACCGCAACGGCCTCACCGCGACCTAAGCCCAGAGCAGGAGAAGGAACGGGGGGTTTCTACTCAGTAAGTCTGACCCACTCCCTTCCGACCTTGGGCGGTAGAAGTAATTAGAGGTTTATCCCCTTACAGAAAAAACCTACCATAGATTTTAGAACAATATAATACAACAGACATCTGTTTACAAAATTCGCTGAATTAAACAAATATACACAGGTCTCGTGCCTTTAATACACTACCTACCTAATGAAGAAAACCGCGTACGCACCGTCAAAGAAAGAGTGCCTATATAAACACTACGTTCTACGCAGCGCTACCGGCTCTTACAAACAACAAAATTCAAACTAGGTAACCGTTAACGTAATATTACGGTTAGTTTACATAATTACTTAACGACTTTTACAGTTTAATGATAACTTTTTTTAATTATAGGTAGTTCGAATTCGAATTTTTATTTAAATGATAAGTGTGTAGAAATTTAAAAAAATCTTTTAAACGTTATACCTATTTAAAAATCGATTAACATCAGTTTTATCTCTAATCCATTTAGGTACTTTACCATAACGTTTCAATGTAAGTGAAATAGATCAAGATAAGTGTCAAAAGCAATGATAATTTAAGTAAAATGAACCTTTTTACTTGGTTGATTACTTGCCTCATTGGTCAAAAGTACCTGATTGCACAGATTGTTTGAAGATATCAATCTTTCAAAATAAAAAGCGATAAACGTTTTACAAACTTTCTAAGTCTAGATTGGAAACTGTTAAAACCAAATTAGCTGTACCTACGTTACGAACAGCTGTATACTACAATATACTATCATGGAATGGGCCTTTAATAAAACGTCTTTCGTAAAAGAGACTACGTTATACTCTGAGCGTTATACCTAGGTCGGTAATTCAGTATGCCAAGAAAGCAAAAGAGTTGCCCTAGTATGTTGGCGGAGACGGGATGAGTCACTGGTAAATGCAACATTTCTCAAGCAGACACAGTCCAATTTTTAAATTGCGGCTTTCTAAAAAATACCAGACTAGGCGTCATTTTGTCTCACGTTTCGTTTCATGGGGGCTTGAAATCTATAGGCCGAGGCCCCGCCGTGTTGGCGGTGGAGTCGATACGCTACAGAACATCTTGTAATGCCTTAGAACCGGTTCGTTTCAGGTTTGATTTCCGGACTGAACATTAAAGTGATCTACAAATGATTATTGTTCCGGGTTTGGATGGGATGTGTAGGTATGTCACATATTTTTATCCAGACTTGGCAATCTTTGGCAGACTTGAATGCACTACCGTACCCCCAGATTTATTCAAACTACCAACTGAACCAGACATAGGTAGGATAGGTACTTTTGAAACGTCAAAATATAGATAGTCGTCAATCTGTTCAACAGTAAAGCTCACGAAAGAAGACTTAAAGTTTACTGTAAGTATTAGGTGAAGCTAGATGTGAGAAGAACGAGTATAAAAACTCCATGCCAGCTCCATGCCAGTGAGGCACAGCCAGTATTAAAATCATGTCTATCGCTTCTTTTTCAAATAATTGCAATCTTTTCTTCATAATTAAGTTTATATTTTTATTGCCTATAAACTGACAAGGTACCGTCAAGATATTTGTCGCTTTGGGTATAGTTTCTTAGGTCAAAAATAAATCAATTCGACGTTTCAATACAATAAAATATTGAAAAATAACTATAATTTTATTTATCGATCGATCGATACACTGAATTTTAGATATTGTTTAGGAAATAAGTAAACTATTTGAACAAAAACAAAACTATGACGTCATAACTCAGTTATTCAAACATTCATAGAAAAGTATCGTTTTTGGATTTTGGATAAAAGTATTTGGAATCTACCGTATTCTCTCAGAGATTCGCAACAAGTTGTAGGGATTATATTAATATTGCTCAGATAGCCCGCTTTTGCAGACTCGATCGATGTATTTGTAGGTTGGATCGGAATAAATTCTTCCGCAGCTCGACCCCTCAACAAAATTCCGCATTATTTTCTAATTAAGTAAATGTTAATAGATATCCATCATTATCTATTCCCTGTTTTATCATACAAAAATAAAATAATGTAAATCCGAAAAACTATGTTCCATATTGGCGATGCAAAGATTATCCGCACGCCTCTAGCGGCGAAATTTATAAACTGTCTAAGAAGAATGACACTGTTTAAGTTTATTTATTGAAGTATTGAAGTTATGTTAGATTATTCAGATGGATCACGATTATAAACAGAAACCTGTTGCTAATAAAAGTAGAAATACAAAATATTGTTGCGTTTCTCAATGTAGTACCCACGGAGATACGGGAATAAGTGTTCATTTATTCCCAAAAGACAAAATTATGAAGAAAAATGGAAGACTGCTTTAAGAATACGCAAGCCAATTTCACCATCAATGAGAGTATGTTCTCATCAGATTATTTACACTAAGGCGAGTTACTCGTCAGATAACGAGATTATAGTTATTGTTCCAGATTCTAAAAGGCACAAGTTGTTTCCTTATGCCTTACCGTCTCAGAATATTCCTCAAATAAGCTCAGATAAAGAAGTACCATTAGAAAACAGCACTTAAATAAAGTTTCTTCCTATGCAAGAAGAAGATAGATCAGCTTTAAAGCAATTAACCCTCTCAGATTTACTCAGTAGTGACATGAAGATAGGTATTTATTTACTTTTACGGGTACTCATTCAATAGAACTTTTCGAGCACAGTTCTGTAAGGTTTGCGCCTGGAGAGGCAAGAGACGTCAACTTCAGACCTTGGCGCCCCCCAGAACACGCCCTCCCCCCCCCCCCCTAACGCCGGCACTGGGCTGGACAGATTTTTGTGATGTAAATGTCCACATCTAGTATTTACTCATAATACATTAACCATCATGCCATTATTTTTAGTTTAACTTTTTTGTGAGGGGAAAAATCATCAAAAGTCTGACACTAGACTTTTGCTGTCTAAAAACCTCCTCGTTCCTACTCCTGCTCTAGGCCGAGGGCGCGGTGCCTATTAGAAATTTCTGCTAAGAGTCAAAGTCCGAAATAACAAGAAAATAAATCTAACTAAGTAGGTATCTCATATTGTTCTGGCGTGCGAAAACTACGACAGGCAAAAAATTTAATTCTTAGACCATTTTTATGTTCACTTTTGTCAGACTGAAATCAAAGCCGACTATAGTTTTTATAGTTTAATCAAAGAGTATGTAACCACAACCACTACGTTTAAGTTTAATCTGTTTAATCTGTGAGCCGCCCGTGGTCCTACATGACCATTACATGACATGTAAATTATCATTTAATATTTATTAGTGGAACTTTTATTATTTTTAGTCTTATTTATTCAAAGTACAAAGTAAGTCTTGGATAAACTTATTAAATTCCTGACTAAATTAACCTTGAGTTTATCTAATATGCATACATTTTTTTAGGCGGTGTTTAAGAAGAATGTGTTTTTGATGATAAGTGACCAAAATCATTATGTTTCCGTTTCATAATTCATTTCGCTCTATTATTAAGTCCCAGTTAAATGCATTTCTTCAGTCCAAGCCAGAGTGTACGTTATTTAAAAATATGATATCATGTTATAACACAATAACATCACTTTTCAATAAAAAACATTAATTCAATAATCCATTGTTATTTGTTTACTATGTTTAAACAATTCTTCATTTATCCAGTGGCCTTTGCACGTTACAGTGGTATTATAGCGATTTAGATTTACGATAATACATAAATGTGGTCAGTAATTTTATTAGTGTCATAAAAAACAATTTATATTTACTCTGTTCACATACTTGCACTTGTATAAATTGTCTTCATAAGTTGTGTATAACCATTTCTAGAGAATTTTCATTTGTTGTGTTGTGTTGTGGCTAATACATATTTGTGATAATACTGTTAACACTGATTCAACTCTGAAAGTGTGGGTATCTTGATTAATGTGCCATTACTAGCTACTGAGCTAAGATTTGTTATATAAAAAAACCATGGAAATATTAACTAATAATGAACAATTTTATCATTTTAGGTAATGTCTAATAAAAAATGTAATTGGAAAAAGATAATATTTATTGGGGAAATGCTGCGTTTGTATTGGCACTTTAATTAAAGAGTTGAATTATTTACATTAGTTTTGATATGTAAGATTTAAAAAGTTTTTATTTTTGCAGATATACTCAATGCTAGTAGAACATACTCAGAGAAGGATAATATAAATTCAGATATGGTTGACCCAAAAAGAGTAGTGAGTTATGATGACATGTTGAAGGTGATTCATCAGCCAGAGAAGGTAATCATTGATGTCCGAGAACCTGAGGAAGTACAAAGTACTGGCCAGATACCATCCAGCATCAATATACCATGTAATTATTTGAATATCATATCAATCTCACAGCTACACATCAACCTATATGAAACCAGTGTATCATCTTTCTACATATTTGACAGTCATGTTTCTACTGGTTGATGTGTAGCCAAAAATCATTAGGTGTCGGTACATGTTATAATGTCAGTTTTGAATTGAGTCCTCAGTAATTTTAATGTGTATAAAACTATGTTTTAAGTGATTGAAACTGACATTAATACAAATAGAATATTTGATAATATCAGAGGTAGTTGACCTGTTATGAACTCGCTGATATTTATATTTTTAAAAGAATGTGACATTTGTCATAAACAAATTCCATGAGTAATTGTTAGGCAAGGGAGTAATGACAATGTTTTTCTTCTTGTAGGTATATATGGTCTGTTTATTGTATTACCTACCTGCTTTCTTAAAGTGACCTAAGTACATATTTATAAAGCATTGTTTTTTCAATACCTATTCATTACTAGCTCTTACCCGCGGCGTCGCTCTCGTCATTTGAGTACCTACACAACTGTACCTGCCCTACTCTACCTGTTCTACCTACCCTACCCTACTCTATGTACCATACTCTACCTACCCTACTCTATGTACCCTACACTACCTACCCTACTCTATGTACCCTACACTACCTACCCTACTCTAGCTACTCTACTCTACCTACCCTACTCTACCTAACCTACTCTATCTTATCCGATGTCCTTCTCCTGGCTCTAAACTACCTCCCTGCCGATCTACAGCTAAATTGGTTCAGCCATTCTTGAGTTATAAGTGGAGTAACTAACACGACTTTCTTTTATGTGTATAGATATTGTCATCTACCATCTGTAAACACCACATTTCACCACAAGAAGTATTTCATATCCTTTGTTCTTTGTATGCATGATATTTCTACAATACATAAAGTAAGCAATGTGATTTTATGATGATCATAAAATCACATTGCTTGACTTCACTCAATCCTAGCTCTCTCTCTCTTATACATTGTTAGGTAGGCATTATAAATGTATCAACTTTAAAAATGTTAGATTTAGTACATCTTTGTAACAATTATTCATAATACATTTTTTTCACATGAGTTACGAGTGTGTTGGTGACCTTTTGAGGATTAGGGATGGGGGGAGGGAAAGTATTGGGCCTCTGGTAACGCACTCACATGGCGTAATGCAACGCTGCTGTTGGTTTTGTGAGACCGTGGCATCACTCCGGTCGGGCGGGCCGAAGCATGGTTTCTCCCACACTTAAAAGTTTAACATACTGTTCATATTCATATTATTTATTGCAATTATTATTGTTTACTAGCGGCCCGCCCCCGCTTCGCACGGGTCCCACTATCTCGTTATTAAAGGGCCACATTTTCCTAATCTTCCCCTCCACTTTTCTCATATTTTCTTTGATAAGAACCTTCTCCTGACAATAACAAACACAACAAAAAAAGAATTAGCAAAATTGTTCCAGGCGTTGTTGAGTTATGCGCTTACCAACACATTTTGCGATCCATTTTTATATATAAGAAGATATTCATATTGTTACAGTGAAATCTGTACATGAGGCATTGGTATCTATGTCACACGAAGATTTTAGACGGCAGTACCACCGTGAAAAGCCATCTAACTCTGACGAGCTAATCTTCTATTGTCAATCTGGACGACGTTCTTCTGAAGCTCTAAGCCAAGCCCTGAAGATTGGTTACGTCAAGTATGTATTTTGGTCCGATTCATCTCTAATTATTTTTATTTTTGTATAGGTATAGCTTGCATTGAAACAGCAGCATATTTAATTTAGTAAAAATTAAATTTAAGTTTAATTAACAAATAAATAATATTTCGATCTTTCAATTAGGTTATTTGAGAGGAATATCAAGAATTTTCATTTTATATTTACTTTTCTTGATACATTGTACCTACATACAATGCAAGATTGCATAATTATTTTTATAAATGTACCTAGGTATATAAAATATATGTCAGTTCATTGCCTTTATTATTAACTGCTTACATAAAAACAAACAGTAAGCTTGATTAAAGGATGATTTAATAAAGTGTTTTGATAAGAGATTATTGACTTTGGACAATGTACTTACTGCATATATGTACCTATATTAAATTATGAACTAGCAGCTCGTCTCTGCTTCGCTTGGGTGTCCGGCTACCTCAATAACAAACGACGAAGGGAGTTGTGCGCTTATAAAAGCGAAAATTGCCGTGTTTCATTAAAAAAGAATCTAAGGTTGAAAGCTGCTGCTGCTAATTCTGTCTTAGATTGATTGAAACCCGGTTTCCGAAAGCCCGATCAATGTTAGAATCAATTTAATCTCTCTCTCTGATTGGTTGTTGATAATTCAGACAACCAATCAGATGACTTGACAAGAGATTTGATACCTATAGTTAGTTGATTCTAACATTGATCGGGCTTTCGGAAACCGGGCATGAGTCTCCATCAACTTGCGCAAGCAATCGCCTTTCATTTGTTTAGTAGTAAGAGTAAGCAGTAGTTTGTGAAGTTTTAATTTCATATTAATTTTGTTTTTGTTCACAGTTCTAAAACTTATTTGGGAAGCTGGTCGGAGTGGTCAAAGAAAAGCAAGTGACAGTGAGGCAGTAGGTACATAATAAAAATGTGATTTGTCAAAATGTGCAATAAAATGGTGCTTTGGTTTTAAATTTGGATTTTTAATTAATTGACCGATACTTAATCCTTACAGACTATGTAATATGACATCAATAAAATTCCCATGTGCAGTACTTAAGTGTTAACCACAGGAGTCACTGTATACCTTATCTTACCAAACCACTTTTGTGGTTCTAGGTACCTAAAGATAAGAATTCATACAAATAACAGATAACAAACTCAACAAAATAAATTAAAACGATTTATTAACCACAAGCAAGACACCTACAGAACATCATATTTTTTACAAAGACAATGGTTTCTGCAGACAGCTGCAAGGACAATCTAACTATTATCAGTAACATCACGAGTTTACTTTGTTTTGCTTGCCCAGTCATTCCAACTACCAAGATAATTCTTCGTGCTGAAATATAAAAAAATGTTTTATAAGCAGTCTCTCAATCCCTAAATCTCTAAATCCCTAATCCCTAAAAGGTCGGCAACGCACTCGTAACTCCTCCGTTGCGAGTGTCCATGGGCGGCGCTGATTGCTGAATCCGTCTGCTCGTTTGCCGACTTATTACATAAAAAAAGTCTGCTACGAAAAACATTCTATGGGAACTTGCTAGCTGGTGCCTACATATTATGAACAAAAGTGGTATTCAAAATTATTCATACCAATTTGAAAACAAATATAAGTATATCATAGTTTTTTTGTAACTTACTTTTTATATCCCAAATTAATAGCATTCTGTTGTGCTTTAGCAGATCTCTTGCCAATCATGCAATAGAATATTATCTCTGTATTCTCAGCTGGCTTTGCTCTTTGGTATGTCTCCTGGAAATCTTTCTCAGGCATTGTTCCTAATACAGTTGATACATTGCCCACTAAAATTATAAAAACAACAATAAATTTATAATATGGATAATCCTAAAATTGACAAATTTTCTTTAAACTTCCTAGAATATGCCTACTACTGATAGTCATTAGTGTAAGTGTGATGTCCTGGATACAAAAGACATATTTTGGTAACTTAAAATTTATTTTAAATTATATACTTTCTTAGTATTTTGTAGTAAGGTTTTTAAAATTACAAATTGTCAATATCAAATACACAAGGACATCCAGGGTACTGGTAAAGAAGCTACTAAAACACTAATATGTCACAACCAAAGTGACCATTTCGACAAAAAAAAAGTATTATAAATATTATTACAGTAAAACAATTAATGGTATCCATCACAAATGGTACCCATCATCCAATCCAAAAATATTGAATGCATTATTAGGTATAAACTAGCTTGGTAAGGATAAAAACTGCTAGTATGTAATATAGCATTGTTACCATGCTTTTAATTTAATTGTGAACAACCAAATAAACATTTGTAAAAGTAACACAATTTTATCAACTTCCTGACATAATTTTTATCTGGTTTTCTAATACTTGCAATGCTTTGACAGTTAATTACCAATATTTCAGTATTTTGTTGCTCTCATGTTATTTATTGAGTAGCTTGAATGTTCCTATATATTTGATGTTGATTGAACAAGGAGAATTTTAATGGTGAAGATTGAAGCTGCTGTGTACCGTGTCTACTACGAAAATAAAAGGTAATTGCAATAGCTACTTACATGGGATATTTACACTATTGGGTATCTTGCCATGTTCCTTAATTTCATCAGGTTCTCGAACATCGACAATTAAAATACCATTATTTGTGGTGGCTTTCTTTACATAATCGTAGTCAGCAGTTAATTCGTCGAGATTTACTTGCACTGAGTATGATCGAACCGAATTATCGATTAAAGGAATGTGTGTTACCGGAGGTGCATCTAGAATTAAATAAAAAAAAACACTTAACAAAATAATACTCTTTTAAAATTATGTACAGTTAAAAAAAATTGTGTATTACATAGTGCTTGTAAGTACTTACGACGGACATGAAAATTTCTTAAATATTTTCTTAGATTTGTAGTTCCCGCCGTCCTCTGTATTTGAATAGATGATGGAAGTGACCGACGAATTACTCGTGAGAACATTTTAAATAGTTAATATATTCAATTGACTAAATTAAATATATAAATATTTTGATGAATGTTTGATATACTAATATCCTTTGAATAGTTTTCGCAACTAATTGCACTTTTATGATTTTTTTGTATTTTATACCTTTTTGATGACTTGATTGACTGACAATACAATTTGTAAAAAAATGACATTGACAGTCACATTGTTTTTGTCGTAAGAGATGTGCTCTTATTTACTATTGCTGTTTTTAGTATGATTATGATTTAAATAATGATTTATATGATTTAATTAATGTGAAAATGAATTTCACTGTGCTTTAATATATTAAGCGATTAGAATAAAAACACTTATTCTAAAATTACTATTTTCCCTTTGTGTCATTTTTTTTTTGGTTGCAACTGTATAACTTCATTTTGTTTTGGTCATGGTATGGTATATTCAATTTTGACAGCTGACCCCATCCATCAAAAGCTTTCAAGCTTGTGCAAAAATATTTTTAATTTTTCGTAATCTGTAATATCTCCTTTTAAGTTGTAAGTGTTCGCGTGATAGTTTTATATTCAATCCAAGCCGTAGCTCTGTTTTTTTTGTAGTAAAAGCGAGTGTAGATGTTCAAACTCGACGGATCCCCAATACCTTGTGATTTTTATTGTGTTCTATTTCTATGAGAGTTTGCTGTATCAATAAACATGAGTAACTTATCTTACTTCCAGATGCTAAGTGCATAACACACAGGAGTGAGCGAGTGTTGTTTGTGTGTGGTGTGAAATGGTTTCATGTTGCAATTAGTTGGGTCATTACAATAGCAATATGGGGTCCATGCGACCGACAGGAAGGTTCCTATCGTTTGCGAACAACATCCAACGTACACAGAAACAAGCTGGTAAGTGTGCCACATTAAATTGTCGATAAACTTGAACAAATACCTAGGTTATGAATCATAGTTGTTCATGTCCTTGTTTGTTTTTGCACATACTAATACAGATTAACTATGTCGAATTGTGACATGCATATCCGCAAATAAAAGAAAAAATATTTGTATTGTGAAAATGTGTCCTCATTACACTTCATGGGTTATGTATTTTAAGTATTCACATTGTTGTTAAAAACAAATCAAAATTTTTAACATAAAATATGTCAGAGAATACAGACACAGATACCAAAGGGAAAGAAGAAATTTAACTATTTGTTTATTCTTTGGATTTTTTTTAGTGCCAAGTGGATTTCCACAAAGTTTATCAGGTAGTGAGACAGATGTATCAACATCAAATGAGAATTTATCTCGAGAGGAGCGCTATGTTGTGCGACATACAGCCAGGGTAGAGCCTCAAGGACAGGAGAACCAAACTCAACAAAATAACAATAACAGGAATTCCCTTAAGGTAAGATGCTGAAGAAAATAGAAATTATAAAATATAAAAACATTAACATTATTTTTCATAATTTCTGTGATAATTTTTTGTCTTCATTTTCCATTAATAAAATAATTACTAAAATTATAATTTAAGGAAATTATTAAACCATTTGGTTATTATCAAAAATGAGGTAATTAAAGAAACTTTTAAAGCACTAATGGTAGTTTCTTAAGAACCATTTGTGTTGAATCATAGAAATCCATGTGATTGAAAAAATATCTTATAGGAATAATTATACCTACTATCATCAATAAAATTATTTTATTTACAATTTTGACAGTGATTAAAAAATCACCTGTATAATAGTGTTTTATAACAGTATATTTATAAGTGTTTTGTAATAGTGTCTTCAGTTAGAAATACTAAATAGAATAAAATTCTAGTTTCTTAAAAAACAAGAAAATTATTTCTTTTTTCATTTTGCTAGAGTTGTTCATATTATTGTGTATTATGGTGAGAGATCTTCAATAGACAATCTGGGTTCAGTAGTACAGTTCCACTTTCTAAATGCTAAAGTGTCTAAAATATCTTAATAGATTAGATTCAAAGGTTCCATTATACATTTAAATTGTAGCACAGCATCTATTTCTAGACTTGTGAACTTATAAAATAAATTTTAGATATTGTTGCATTGGTAGAGTGCAACTAATTGATCTAAATTGATCTTCATAGTTTGTTACCTAAATTATGCTTATATATGTTTTTATTTATTTCCTTTTTCAGGACAATGTGACAGGTAGTAACCGTAACTCGCTCAAGGATTCAGTGGGTGGTGGCAACAGCAATAGGAGTTCACTTGATGTGTCCTCCTCCTCATACAATACTCTCATCATACACAACCAGGATGACTCTTGGCCACCAAGGCACACTCCTATTAGGTGAGTATCTTTATACCTTGTCCTTTCAGCCTGAGATCACCCTTGACATAGAAGACTGCCATAAAATAAAACTATAATTATAAATTTAAAAAAACAATGCTGACATCATTGTGTTGCAATAAATTTTGTACTTAACCTCTTTACAATAGATATGACTCAAATTGTGCTTATAACGTCTTTACAATAGATATGTCTGAAATTCAAAATCTTTAAGTGAATTATTTTTTTCATCCTCAGTCACATTATTATTAAATTATATTTAATTTAAAAAAGGAAAACTATTTCGTCTAAAAATACCATCTTGTCTTGTCTTGAACAGGGAACACGAGAGAACAAGCAGTGAAGTAAAACATCCCACTACTCAGTCATCTCCGTACCACACCTTAAAGAAGAATGAAGGTGTAAAGAAACCTAGTGGTATACCTGTACCCAAGCTGCATAAAGAACAAAATGTCACTACCACAGCTAACTACATTGATATTGGAGGCCAGAGGATTTATACTAGCCCACCTGACCATGGTGTTCAGGTACAAAATTTTACTTTTTTTTTTGCTTATAATTTTGTTACGTTTTTTTCTCTTTTTTTTGTCATACGTCGGCAAACGAGCAGAAGGATTGCCTGATGGTAAGCAATCAGCGCCGCCCAAGAAATGGGCCTCCATTAACCTCAATCACACGGCGAAACACAATGCTGTGGTTGTTTTACGTCGGTTTTCTGTGAGGTCGTGGTATCACTCCAGTGTAGCCGACCTATGAAGCATGGCTGTCCCACACTTTTCTTTATCTGTAATCTTTTGTGTTTTACTCAGGAGATAACAGAAATCCCCGATGATTTCCTCAATCAATCGTCAGTACTGAAGCACTTGGCGAAGGAAGTGGCACAGTCTCCCACCCCGCGCGGCCCTACACCTCCTGCCTCGCCCCGCGCCCCTGCTCCTCCTCGGGACGACTCGAGGAAAGCTAAAGGAAAATGTTCGAAGACTAAGCTTAGTAAGGAGAAATTGAATCTATCGAGGTCACAGCCTGATCTTACAAGGTAAGATGCCATTTACGAGCGAAAAAATTGCTGCATCAGGTCTTGCCCCTTTTGTGTGACGTGTGTTATAATAATGATTGGGTCCAAAAACAATATACTATTTAAATAACACTATCCAAAAATACTCAGATTTTTGTGTCCACTTGCGATATCTATGCGTGAATTTTAGTATTTTTCTTGCTAATGGAGAGAAGTGATGAGATGTATGATATATCATTGTTACTTTATGGCAACACAACTAAAAGTCATCTCTTACAAAATTCATAGAAATTATAGTTGCAAAAATAAAACATTGCATATGATTGGTTGTCATGATTCCTATTTAAGCTTATTGTTGTGCGTAGTGTGGGCGTTCGTGCAGTCCCCGGTGGGTCAGAGTCGAGTGGCTGGTGCAGCGGTGGTGAAGGGGAACTAGAAGAGCCTGATGATGCATTCACCGCAGTTCTTGACGCTCTAGCCGCTGAGAATCATCAGCTCAAGAGACAACTCGCTGATGCCTGCGAGAGAGTCGCCAAAACTAATAAGGTAAGTTTGATTGTTTAATGCAGTTTTAGAATTACAAAAGTATAGTCGGTGTTGTGGGAGCAATAATTTAGCGCAGCCCCGGCAAAAGTGAACTAGTGTGGCATGAGCAAACGAGGTGGTTTTTAGTCAGTAAGAGTCTGATATACCTCTTCGCCGAACCCAAGGCAGTAAAAGAAAATTTGATGATCGTACCGGCTCTAAAAAAAAAGTATAAAGTTATTACAATTTTGTCTCAGTTGCGCTACTCAAATCATGTGGCTATCATGTGATGATACCTCATAACTTTTTTTTTATTATGTTCAGATTTGTATATGATATATTTTATAATAATTATGATTAAAATAAGGTGGAGTTGTGTGTAGCAGTTGAGAGGGTCACGTCGTGAAATGATCTTATTATTTATTAGCTGGAAGAAGAAGTAGAGAAGGTTCGCACAGCACACGAAGAGCTGGTCGGTTCGTGCGAGCGCCGAGAGCGGTTGGAGAGAGCTGCGAGGGTACGACTACAGGCTGACTGTCGTCGGTTGCATGACCTCAACCGAGCATTGAAACAGCAGGTAAGTTTCCAATACGATATTAGCCAATAATCAGGTATATTGTACCAGAAAATATAGTATTTCTTAAAGACCTTATCACTCAAGTATTTCTTCTAGCGTCGCGCCAGGCATGTGTCTACAAACGTAAAAGTTTATGTACACATTATACAAAGATTTTTCCACCCACGTTGTCCGGCAGACGGTTGTCCAGTTACCGGGACAACTGTAGAGATAAATTAAAATTTAATAATCTGTATTAAAAGTTTCCTAACATAAGCTGAAAATAGCGCAATTTCTGCAAAAGATTGCGCATTTTAAGGCCAAGCTTGCGCAAAATAATTTCGTTTTGTTTTATTGGTTGTAAAGCTTTTTACAATAAGAACTTTATTTATTGATGAATGACATTTGTATTGTATTTCAGGTGGAGTTGTTATCACAAGGGGTTCGATCTGAAAACGACAGCAATGCCGAGGCGTTGCGCAAAGAGTTGCAGAACAGAGAGATGCTTATTGCGCAACTTATTACACAGAGTAAGAGCATACACAGATCATTATATTATTATTATGAAATAGACGTTTTTTTTTATTATGACGCCCTTCCACTAGGTTCCATATTTAAAACTTAAAACGTTACAACGCACAATAACTAATAATTTCCTACAAAATTCATAAAAAAATATCGTGTTGACGTGTCGAAAGAAGTCTTGAGTTTGACTCGTTGGAATACGCACTTGTAAGTCACATAAATATTCGTTCTATGAAAAAACCAATTCATTGACATTGTCAGTAACCAATTGCTTTTTAACTTACTAACTTACCTATCCTAATAGCTGACAATCAGAATATAATTCACCATACTATAACAACTTAAGCCAAAATAATTATATCAACGAATTCACACACCTTTGAAAAATGAAAAAAGAATTGAATCACTCTTATCTCTCTTCTCTTTTTTTCTCTTCTTCTTCTTCTCTTAACTTTCATTACTCTGTCAAGCGACGTACTCGTTGCTATTTCCTACCTATGTTCTTATCTAATAGGCAGTATAACTATTCCAGATAAGGAGCTGGCCTGCGCTAAAGAGAGACAGGAGATAGAGATGGCGGCACAGCGCGCGACCCTACAGGAGCAGCGCACACACATCGACATACTGGACACCGCGCTCACTAACGCACAAGCCAACGTCGTCCGCCTCGAGGAGGAGGTACATACTTAATTATTTATCTATAGTCGGAACTTGGAATAATTACTCCTACAACGATAGTTCCGTCCAAAATGGTCCGTCCATTGATTTTTATTTAATTTTTGATCATGCAAACGAAAACTAAAATATGGTGCCGGTAGGTAGCGTTACTTTAAAATGCACAAATAAGAACAACAACGAAAATGATATAAATAACACCTTGGATTCATGTGAATAATCTAAAAGGAAACTTAACAAAAACGAAATTAATGCACCTCAAACACCGGCAACGTTTACCTCCACCGATCAATTTGAATGTAAATTATAATAACGCATAAGCCATTAAGAAAAGCATCATTAAATTACCATATGGTACGGCAATTACCGTATCAATATCACTATAGGGGAGGGAATGCATAATAAAAGTCATTATTTTTTTGTAAGTCGGTACACACAGTGTGAGTATAGACAGAAGTCTATACTCACACTCGTTAGTGTGCGAGCGAGAAGTGTCATAATGTGCGAGCAAGAAGTAGATAGTAATAGATGCGCCGCCATTTCTAATCCCATCTTTATCGACACGGGTTATATGTATCGCAAGTAAAGGTTTAATTGTCTTGCAGTGTCGGCACGCGGCCGGGTACGTGGAGCGCGTACTGGGCCTGCAGCGCGCGCTGGCGTCGCTGCAGCAGGCGTCGGACCGCCGCGAGCACACCGAGCGCAAGCTGCGCGCCCAGCTAGAGAAGGAGCTGCAGGCGCTCAGGTACAATGCATGCTCCTACTGTTTCAACCGAAGGGCCTGCAGCGCGCGCTGGCGTCGCTGCAGCAGGCGTCGGACCGCCGCGAGCACACCGAGCGCAAGCTGCGCGCCCAGCTAGAGAAGGAGCTGCAGGCGCTCAGGTACAATGCATGCTCCTACTGTTTCAACCGAAGGGCCTGCAGCGCGCGCTGGCGTCGCTGCAGCAGGCGTCGGACCGCCGCGAGCACACCGAGCGCAAGCTGCGCGCCCAGCTAGAGAAGGAGCTGCAGGCGCTCAGGTACAATGCATGCTCCTACTGTTTCAACCGAAGGGCCTGCAGCGCGCGCTGGCGTCGCTGCAGCAGGCGTCGGACCGCCGCGAGCACACCGAGCGCAAGCTGCGCGCCCAGCTAGAGAAGGAGCTGCAGGCGCTCAGGTACAATGCATGCTCCTACTGTTTCAACCGAAGGGCCTGCAGCGCGCGCTGGCGTCGCTGCAGCAGGCGTCGGACCGCCGCGAGCACACCGAGCGCAAGCTGCGCGCCCAGCTAGAGAAGGAGCTGCAGGCGCTCAGGTACAATGCATGCTCCTACTGTTTCAACCGAAGGGCCTGCAGCGCGCGCTGGCGTCGCTGCAGCAGGCGTCGGACCGCCGCGAGCACACCGAGCGCAAGCTGCGCGCCCAGCTAGAGAAGGAGCTGCAGGCGCTCAGGTACAATGCATGCTCCTACTGTTTCAACCGAAGGGCCTGCAGCGCGCGCTGGCGTCGCTGCAGCAGGCGTCGGACCGCCGCGAGCACACCGAGCGCAAGCTGCGCGCCCAGCTAGAGAAGGAGCTGCAGGCGCTCAGGTACAATGCATGCTCCTACTGTTTCAACCGAAGGGCCTGCAGCGCGCGCTGGCGTCGCTGCAGCAGGCGTCGGACCGCCGCGAGCACACCGAGCGCAAGCTGCGCGCCCAGCTAGAGAAGGAGCTGCAGGCGCTCAGGTACAATGCATGCTCCTACTGTTTCAACCGAAGGGCCTGCAGCGCGCGCTGGCGTCGCTGCAGCAGGCGTCGGACCGCCGCGAGCACACCGAGCGCAAGCTGCGCGCCCAGCTAGAGAAGGAGCTGCAGGCGCTCAGGTACAATGCATGCTCCTACTGTTTCAACCGAAGGGCCTGCAGCGCGCGCTGGCGTCGCTGCAGCAGGCGTCGGACCGCCGCGAGCACACCGAGCGCAAGCTGCGCGCCCAGCTAGAGAAGGAGCTGCAGGCGCTCAGGTACAATGCATGCTCCTACTGTTTCAACCGAAGGGCCTGCAGCGCGCGCTGGCGTCGCTGCAGCAGGCGTCGGACCGCCGCGAGCACACCGAGCGCAAGCTGCGCGCCCAGCTAGAGAAGGAGCTGCAGGCGCTCAGGTACAATGCATGCTCCTACTGTTTCAACCGAAGGGCCTGCAGCGCGCGCTGGCGTCGCTGCAGCAGGCGTCGGACCGCCGCGAGCACACCGAGCGCAAGCTGCGCGCCCAGCTAGAGAAGGAGCTGCAGGCGCTCAGGTACAATGCATGCTCCTACTGTTTCAACCGAAGGGCCTGCAGCGCGCGCTGGCGTCGCTGCAGCAGGCGTCGGACCGCCGCGAGCACACCGAGCGCAAGCTGCGCGCCCAGCTAGAGAAGGAGCTGCAGGCGCTCAGGTACAATGCATGCTCCTACTGTTTCAACCGAAGGGCCTGCAGCGCGCGCTGGCGTCGCTGCAGCAGGCGTCGGACCGCCGCGAGCACACCGAGCGCAAGCTGCGCGCCCAGCTAGAGAAGGAGCTGCAGGCGCTCAGGTACAATGCATGCTCCTACTGTTTCAACCGAAGGGCCTGCAGCGCGCGCTGGCGTCGCTGCAGCAGGCGTCGGACCGCCGCGAGCACACCGAGCGCAAGCTGCGCGCCCAGCTAGAGAAGGAGCTGCAGGCGCTCAGGTACAATGCATGCTCCTACTGTTTCAACCGAAGGGCCTGCAGCGCGCGCTGGCGTCGCTGCAGCAGGCGTCGGACCGCCGCGAGCACACCGAGCGCAAGCTGCGCGCCCAGCTAGAGAAGGAGCTGCAGGCGCTCAGGTACAATGCATGCTCCTACTGTTTCAACCGAAGGGCCTGCAGCGCGCGCTGGCGTCGCTGCAGCAGGCGTCGGACCGCCGCGAGCACACCGAGCGCAAGCTGCGCGCCCAGCTAGAGAAGGAGCTGCAGGCGCTCAGGTACAATGCATGCTCCTACTGTTTCAACCGAAGGGCCTGCAGCGCGCGCTGGCGTCGCTGCAGCAGGCGTCGGACCGCCGCGAGCACACCGAGCGCAAGCTGCGCGCCCAGCTAGAGAAGGAGCTGCAGGCGCTCAGGTACAATGCATGCTCCTACTGTTTCAACCGAAGGGCCTGCAGCGCGCGCTGGCGTCGCTGCAGCAGGCGTCGGACCGCCGCGAGCACACCGAGCGCAAGCTGCGCGCCCAGCTAGAGAAGGAGCTGCAGGCGCTCAGGTACAATGCATGCTCCTACTGTTTCAACCGAAGGGCCTGCAGCGCGCGCTGGCGTCGCTGCAGCAGGCGTCGGACCGCCGCGAGCACACCGAGCGCAAGCTGCGCGCCCAGCTAGAGAAGGAGCTGCAGGCGCTCAGGTACAATGCATGCTCCTACTGTTTCAACCGAAGGGCCTGCAGCGCGCGCTGGCGTCGCTGCAGCAGGCGTCGGACCGCCGCGAGCACACCGAGCGCAAGCTGCGCGCCCAGCTAGAGAAGGAGCTGCAGGCGCTCAGGTACAATGCATGCTCCTACTGTTTCAACCGAACGTTCTACTATATACGAGCAGACGGCGCCCAAAGAAGTAACGAGTGTGTTGCCGGCCTTTTAGTTTTTTTGAATAAAATCTCACCAAAGCGGCGAAAAACAACACTGTGGTTGTTTGACGCCGGTTTGCTGTGAGACCGTGGTATCACTCCGGTCGAGCCGACCTATTTGTGTCGTAGCTGGCTCTTCCACACTTATATTTACACGTATTTATTTTACACATAATTACCCTTTTTATGTTTATATATTTACCTCACTTTAATTTCACCTTCTTAATATAGGGTGACTGGTATTACTATTTATAACAAACTTCGCGCGTCTGTCGAATACAATAATACTAAATGAGTATAGAAAGAGAGTTTATTTGGGAAAGTTGTTTGTTATCATGAGTACAAACACGTTTAAAAATATCGGTCATTAATACCAGTCGCCCTATATGATTCCCATATATTTGACACTGACTGTACATAGCGGTTTTACAGACCTTATGAAATTGACAATGATGTTGAGGCCTAGTGGTTAAGGCACCTGCTTCTCATGTATCGGGTTTGAAACCTGGCTAGTACCAATGTGAGTTGTCTGTAATTTTTATGATTATTTCGACACCACTGACCAACGACAAGGGAAAATATCGTGAAGAGATCTGTACTTATAATTTCTAATTATAATCAATTATACTACTCCGCCTTGAGCAAGCGTAGTGATTAATGAGGGAGGCCTTTGCTCAGAAGTTGGTACTTATAGGCTGTTGATGTGTAATGTGTGATTTATAGTGTGTTTGGAGACATTAAGAAGGTGTTATGGTGGATGTTTCCAGGAAGCGCGAGTGTGCGTGCGGCGGCGAGGGCGCGGGCGGGGGCGCGGGCGGCGGCGAGGCGGAGCTGCGGCGGCAGGTGCGGGAGCGCGACGAGCGGCTGCTGGCGCTGGAGGGCGAGTGCGCCAAGTGGGAGCAGCGCTACCTCGAGGAGGCCGCGCTGCGACAGGCCGCCGTCTCCGCCGCCTCCATACCCAAGTGCGGACCCTACACACACACACACAACACTTATATTACAATTGTGAAATTTTTAGTTTCGTTGTTTTTTTCTCGAATCACGCCAAAACGGCTGGATGAATTTGGACAAAATTTGGCACAGGCATAGGATCCACTCCGGAATAGGACATAGATTACTTTTTATCAAGGTACCATGCGGACGAATTCACAGGTGGAAATAGTTAGGTTATAACATTTAACCGACCTACTTTACTTTTAAATGGCCTTACTTTTTCAAAGTAAAGTCAAAATCCCAACCTAACCTGCACGGTTGACCATTGACTGCTTGGTTGGCGCAGTGGCTGGGCAACTGGCTGCCGCGCAGCAAGTCCCATGACTTGATTGTTGTTCGATTCCCTTACAATGTTTTTTAAACGGCTAAATGTTTTTTTATTAAAAAAAAAACTATAACTAGGTACTTTTGAAACGTCAAAATAGAAGAATGGTCTGTCAGTCTGTTCGTAAGTGAAGCTAGGTGCTCGTTCCAAAATGTAGATTCTAGAGAAGAATGTGTAAGAAACTCAATTGTTAGTCTTTTTAAAAAATATATTTGTTTTACAGTTTTGGCTTGCTTCACGTGCGAAAGAATCGCAACGAGTCTGCGTCTGTATCGTCGAATGATCTCGTAACGAAAACGGCAAACGACAATGTGACTACATGCCAAGTGACATATTCATAGATAATACTAGCGGTCGCCCGCGTCATTGTCGATTTAAAACTTTTCAAGATTTTTTTTTTTTATTTTCTCTACCTATTTCTCTCCTTTTCCGGACTTCCACAAATAATTGAAGGTCAAAATTAGTCAAATCGATAAAGACATTGTTGAGGAATAACATTAAAACGAAAAGTGGCGTTGATTTTTATAAACATAGATTAACTAGCGTTTTTATCCGGGGATTAGCTAGCGTTAAATTCAGGGTAACCCAGTTCCCCTTTACATAGTAAAAACAAAAAAGGGAATTCGAAACATATATGTATATTATGTATAGATTATTAAATAAAATATTAAACACTATTTGAAATTCCATTATAACTTAAAGCAGTTCCGTTTTCAGGGATGCCAAGATCGCGGCGTTGGAGAAGACGTCGGCGGAGTCCGAGCGACTGATGGCTGAGGCTCGCAACGAGAAGATACGGCACATGGATGAACTACACTCTGCTCAGAAGAAACTTGCCGACCTGGAGGGCAGGTGAGAATACACTTGTTATTTATCTATACTAATATTATAAAGAGGTAAAATTTGTTACTTTGTATGTAAGGGGTAACCCTTGGAACCGCTGGTCGGATTTCCAAACTTCCATTTCTTTCACTGAGAGGTAGCTACAATGTTCCTGAGTGCTATATATAGGCTATAAAACATCACGCTACGATCGAATGGAGCCGAGCAGAGGGTGATACTGCGCGAGATTAGCTAGTTCTGAAAATAAAATAAGTAAAAGTGATAGATCTTCGCACAAGATTACCACAGCTATGGGAGAGCCAAGCTTCGGCACGAATGTGCCGGCTCGACCAGAGTAATACCACGGCCTCAAAGAAAACCGGCGTGAAACAACTACAGTGTTGTGTTATGTCGTGTCAGTGAGGTTACCGGAAGCCTATCCCATCCCTATCCAAACCCTAAATCTACGAAATCCTAATTCCCGTAAGGCCGGCAACGCACTCGTAACTACTCTGGTATTGCGGATGTACTTGTGCGGTGCCAACTGCTTACCATCAGGTAATCCGTCTACTCGTTTGCCGACCTATCATATAAAAACAGCTTTAGTGTTGCCAATATAGTCAACTGTTTGTATTTTTTTTTAAATACGTTTCATGTATCAATAATACTGTGACGGAAAACTCTTTGACATCATGACGTCAAGGGATGGTTGTCAAACGTTGCCTAGAGATTGTAAATTTCGTCGTGAATTGTCAACACGAGTTGGTGTAATCGGTAAGGCTTGTGGATTACACCACAGAGACCCCGAGTTCGAGTCCCGCCGTAAACATGAAGTTTTTTAGTTGATGGAAGTTTTGTCGAACTTTCTGGAATTATTTGAGTGAAAGAAATGAAAAATTAAGGAGCGAGAAGGAGAATAAATAAAAATGAATAACGAAATTATTGGAAGGTTCTGGAGGCATGACGATCAAAAAGAATAACGAAATTGAATGTTCTAGAACCTGACCGGGGGTATATAAGCGGAACTGCGGCTCACCGCTGGCAGTTGAGTTCTAAGTCTAAAGCGATTCGGAAGAAAAGGAAGAAGTGGAAAAGAAGAAAAGTGAGTGAAATAGTGAAGTGCAGTGAAATAGTGAAGTGCAGTCAGTTAAGTGAGTTAAGTCAGCGTGAACGGCAAAGTTGTGTCAGTCGGCCGGACTCTGCTGGAGAAGAACGCCGATAACTTAACTCCGTGGACGCTGTAACTTAAGTGCAATAGAAAGTCTGAAAACCGGTATTAGTGTTTCATTTCATCCAATCCCGTAACCCAAGCCCGCATAGTCAGGAACGTGACGTCAGGCACGTAACATTTGGTGTCAGAAGTGGGATTGGAGAAAAATGCCGCTAGTGCCGCAGGACGTAAGAGGAGTGAGTACCCGTGCAATGTCAGAAGCGCAGCGTGTGAGGGAAGAGGGTGCTGCAGCTCAAACCAGCGATGCAGAAGCCAAGCCTGTGCAGGTGGATCTTCTGCTACAGCTGCAGCAAATGATGGCAGAGCAAGCGCGCCGCCAAGAAGAAGAGCAAGCGCGCCGCCAAGAAGAGCAAGCGCGCTGTCAGGCAGAACAGCTGCGGGAGCTGAAAGAAGAGCAAGCGCGTCGCCAAGAGGATCAAGCTCGCCGCCAAGAGGAGCAAGCGCGTCGCTTGGAAGAGATGCATAAGGATTTCATGAAGGGACTGCAAAAGGCTGTCGAACGGGTACAAGAAGTGGAGGAAGGGTTAGGCAAGTTGGAACATCGCGTCATGGCGATAGAGGAGAGAGTGAAAGAAGAGATCTCCAAAATCAAGCAGGAAGTGACAAGCCCAAGCCCTTTGAAGAGCCGAAGCCGTCTTGCAGCCGTTTTTGACGCCCCAAATGTGGCCTCAAGCGCAACGAAAGGACTCAAGATTCCCCATTACGACGGAACAACATCCTGGAACGGAGCTACCGGCCAGTGGATACTGATAAGTGGAAAACTGCACGTAACAATCAAAATTGGGGAACGTGTTTATCGACATGAGGTTATTGTGGCCAAAATTCTGGATGACTGCATCCTGGGACTTGACTTCCTGCAAGGGCACCAGTGTAACATCAACTTAAAATCTGGAGTTTTATTATGTGGAACTGAGGAAATTCCGATGAAGGGTGGAACCCTGGGAAAAGTTTGCTGTTTAAGAAGAACTGTTCTTGAACCAAAATCACAGACTCTCGTACCAATCGCATTACCTAGGAGGAGTGAAGGAAGTTTACCTCGAAGGTGCGCTGTGATTGATAAATCGGAACACGTAAACTCATGGCTACCGGCAAGGACTGTCGTGGGGTCATCTGATGTCAACCGCATTCCGGTATTCAACTTCAGTGATTCAAAAATTACGATTGAAGAAGGAGAGCCTGTGGGCGTTTTGGAAGAAGTGGCCTGGATAAGAAAATGCTCGGAGAATCTTGTGAAGAAGGACAGTACGGGAATAGACTTTGTAACGAAAATCTTAGACGAAAATAAAAGTCTGACAAAAGTGGAGACTATGAAAGCTAGAAATTTACTCCTTCGATTCTCTGATGTGTTTTCAAGAAGCGATGGTGATATTGGCCGAACTGGTTTGGTGAAGCATAAAATAAACACAGGTGATACAATGCCAATTCGTCAAAGGCCCAGACGTATACCATTCGCTCGTGAGAAAGAGGTTGAACAAATGATTGACGATATGAGGAAAAATGACGTGATAGAGCCCTCTTCTAGCCCTTGGTGTTCACCTGTCGTGCTTGTCAAGAAGAAAGATGGTTCAACGAGGTTTTGCGTAGACTATCGACGATTAAACGATGTAACTAAGAAGGATAGCTACCCGTTACCAAGAATCGATGACACACTTGACACACTGAGTGGCATGAAATGGTTTTCAACGCTCGATCTGAAAAGCGGCTATTGGCAGGTGGACTTGGATCCCAAGGACAAGGAAAAGACCGCATTCTCAACTGGGAAGGGACTCTGGCAATTTAAGGTGATGCCATTTGGATTATGCAATGCACCGGCAACCTTTGAACGTTTGATGGAACAGGTGTTGGCGGGACTACTGGGCGAAACCTGCCTAGTTTACCTCGATGACATCATCATTGTTGGACGAGATTTTGACGATCATCTAAGGAAATTGGAAAATGTACTCGAAAAGCTGCGTGGAGCAAATTTAAAGTTAAGTCCAAAGAAATGCTCTTTCTTTAAGCGCGAAGTGAATTATCTAGGACATGTTATTTCTGAGAGAGGAATTGAGACTGATCCAGCCAAGACTGCCGCTGTTAAGGAGTGGCCCACACCTAAAGACAAAACGCAAGTTCGGGCATTTCTTGGATTGTGCTCGTATTATCGGCGGTTTGTGAAAGGATTCTCGGACATTGCCAAGCCTTTGCATCGATTGACAGAGGAGAAACGTGCCTTTATCTGGGACGAGGATTGTGAGCAAGCCTTTCGAGAACTAAAAGAACGGCTTTGTAACACACCAATTCTCGGATACCCCAGCGCGAAAGGAATATTCGTAGTAGATACGGATGCCAGCAATATTGGAATAGGAGGTGTCCTTTCACAACGCGATGGTGAGCAGGAGAAGGTTATTGCTTACTTCAGCAAGTCACTATCCAAGCCCGAGAGGAATTATTGCGTGACCAGGAGGGAATTGCTGGCCGTAGTCAAAACTCTGCACCATTTCAAGAAGTATTTACTGGGACGGAAATTTTTGATTAGAACTGATCACGCTGCTTTGAAATGGCTGCTTCAGTTTAAGGATCCTGAAGGCCAAGTAGCCAGATGGTTGGAACAACTTCAGGAATTTGACTTTGAAATCGAACATCGCGGAGGAAGAATTCATGGCAACGCAGATGCATTATCGAGACGCCCATGCGTGGAAGATTGCAAGCATTGTTCCAAAAAGGAAACTGCTTTTCTTAAGGTGATAAGGACTGATACTGTTGACGAGGCATGGGGAGATGATGCGATGAAATTAGAACAGGAAAGAGATGCAGATATTAAACCAATACTGGAGTGGCTACGAAGTGGTAACAAGCCAAGTTGGAGTGACGTCGCCCAATATAGCGCGGTAACGAAAGGTTTATGGGCACAGTGGAAAAGCCTTACGCTGCATAACGGACTTCTGTGCAGGAAATGGGAATCAACAAACGGCAAGGACGAGCATTTGCAATTGGTGGTACCTCGTTCAAAAATAAGGGATGTATTAAAAGCGTTCCATGATGGATCTTCTGGAGGACATTTGGGAATTAGGAGGACTTTGGTGAAGATCAAGGAGAGGTTTTATTGGTTGCATTGCAAATATGACGTCGAAGATTGGTGCCGGAAATGCACTAGTTGTGCAGCTGTCAAGGGTCCACAAACAAGAAGCAGAGGGGCGATGAAAATCTACAATGTTGGTATGCCTTGGGAGAGAATAGCCTTAGACATCGCTGGACCATTTCCAATCACTGATTCGGGCAATCGCTACGTTTTAGTGGTTATGGATTATTTTACAAAATGGCCGGAGGTCTTTGCCATACCGAATCAAGAGGCAGTAACTGTAGCCACGAAGTTGGTAAACGAGGTATTCACCCGATTCGGAGTGCCCTTGGAGATGCACAGTGATCAAGGACGGAACTTTGAGTCCCAAGTTTTTCAGGAAACTTGTAAACTTTTGGGAATCCATAAGACTCGAACGACTCCTTATCATCCACAGTCAGATGGAATGGTCGAACGTTTCAACCAAACATTGGAACGACACTTAGCAAAGGTGGTTGACAGCCATCAGAGAGATTGGGACACTTACATACCTCTCTTCTTGTTGGCCTATCGGACTGCTGTACATGAAAGTACCGCAAAGACGCCTGCATTTGCAAATTTTGGAAGGGAATTGAGATTACCGGCAGATCTTGTATCGGGCTGTCCACCTGGCGACTCTCGCACCGAATTTAGCGATTACATAAGCGAGTTAAGGGCAAAAATGTTGGACATTTATGAGCAGATCAGGGAGGCCGGTCTTCAAGCTAGTGATCGCGCAAAGACGCGCTATGATCGACGAGCCAATTCTGTTGGGTTTGAAGAAGGGTCATTGGTCTGGCTTCATAATCCAGTCAGAAAGAAGGGAAAATCTCCGAAGCTGCAACCGAGTTGGGAAGGTCCTTATGAGATAGTCACGAAGATCAATGACATTACTTACAGAATTCGGAAGACTTCAAGGAGCCCTTTGAAAGTTGTCCATATAGACAGGTTGGCGAGGTATTACGGCAGCAACGATGCTCGGGACGAGCGAATCTAAGAGGGGGGCAGTGTGACGGAAAACTCTTTGACATCATGACGTCAAGGGATGGTTGTCAAACGTTGCCTAGAGATTGTAAATTTCGTCGTGAATTGTCAACACGAGTTGGTGTAATCGGTAAGGCGTGTGGATTACACCACAGAGACCCCGAGTTCGAGTCCCGCCGTAAACATGAAGTTTTTTAGTTGATGGAAGTTTTGTCGAACTTTCTGGAATTATTTGAGTGAAAGAAATGAAAAATTAAGGAGCGAGAAGGAGAATAAATAAAAATGAATAACGAAATTATTGGAAGGTTCTGGAGGCATGACGATCAAAAAGAATAACGAAATTGAATGTTCTAGAACCTGACCGGGGGTATATAAGCGGAACTGCGGCTCACCGCTGGCAGTTGAGTTCTAAGTCTAAAGCGATTCGGAAGAAAAGGAAGAAGTGGAAAAGAAGAAAAGTGAGTGAAATAGTGAAGTGCAGTGAAATAGTGAAGTGCAGTCAGTTAAGTGAGTTAAGTCAGCGTGAACGGTAAAGTTGTGTCAGTCGGCCGGACTCTGCTGGAGAAGAACGCCGATAACTTAACTCCGTGGACGCTGTAACTTAAGTGCAATAGAAAGTCTGAAAACCGGTATTAGTGTTTCATTTCATCCAATCCCGTAACCCAAGCCCGCATAGTCAGGAACGTGACGTCAGGCACGTAACAATACTAAATGTCAAAATTTCAGTGGTCAACTACTATAACTGTATGAATTTTGTTTTATTCAGGGTAAAAGAACTAGAGTCCAAAGTGGCGGAACGTGACGCGATGATCAAAGTCCTGCAGAAGCACACCAGCGCTGCTTACGACAGTGGCGCTTCGCTGCGGAATAACTCTAGTCGCGAGGAATTAGGTAACTATTCATAATAATAACAACACAAAATCACTCTCTTTATAAATTGATACAAAGTATAAATAGCGAGTATTACTTGTATTGCAATGGCGTGTGTCCAACAAACTATTTGAAACCTCTTTTATCTGATCTTCTACTCTGTTAGGACTTTATAAATGACGCTACATACCTTTTTAGCAATTTTATTAATTCATAATACACGCAGACTACGTTTCGTGTGTTACTTTGTGTGATTGTCTTTGAGGGTTCCCTTAAAAAAATCGATCTGTTTTTTTTTTAATTCAAGATCTGTCATCAAGTCCCTATCTTAGATTGTGAAGGGATTTAGTATTGAGTTTGTTTATTAAATTGAGTTACAAAACATAATGTGTTATGTGTTGTCAGTGGGCCTGTCGTCTGGTGCGTCGTTCTCCAGCGCGGAGGGAGTGGGGGGCGGCAGCGTATCGGGCCGGTACCGACATCTCGCGCGCAGGAACTACTCGCCGCATAATGACAACTCTAGCGGTAAATATTTCCATTTTTCAGCAACAGACATATACATTTTGACGTTTCTTAGACGTGATCATTTGAAACAAAAAGTACTGTTTCCAAAATTTTTTAAGAAAAATATTAATTTCACAATGTTATAAGTTGTACGATTGCCCTTATTCGAACTATACCTAACTTTATTGCTAATTTGTCTGCCAGGATGCGGGTTCGACAGCACGTCCCTGCGGCTGGACGAGCAGTTGGCGGCGCTGGAGTCCCGGCTGGAGCGGCCGCCCGTGCCCGCCGTGAGTTACCTGCCCGACAGACCCGACCGACCCGACAGGACTGATAGACCCGACCCTCGCGCGCATGCCTGTCGCGACTACTACTGATACTCCACACGCGCCAAACGATCACACGACTGCCCTTCATCTTTCAAACTTTGACAAAACCATTCATAAAATAAAAATCGCGTTGACATACCTAATTTTAGTCCTAACGAAATGGGTGTACTCTTGTACCAACGGACACTCGCCAAATAAGTAAAGATTTACCGTATTATTAACTTATTCTTTTGAACGTTAACTTGTATTCGGTCAATGTTTGAAAGTTTGACAAAACACACTCATTCCTGTTCAGTCTTCTGTACTGTTACCAAAAATTAAGTAAATATTAAAATAATGTTTTCTATTGGCACGAAAACCTTCATCGTTTATGATGAAAGAAAAGCGGCTGTCAAAATTCTTTACTTGAACTTAGTTTCAAATTTAATTAAAATTTGTATTCGAAAACGACAAGCATATTAATAAAATGATCGAACATAATATCGAAATAAAAATCGATCGACACCGTTCTCTCGAACTCAGCTTTTTAATAATTATTTTTGCCGACTAATATAGTACATTCCCGAACTCAAAACGATTCCGCTTACTCACACAAACATTCCGGCTATGTACAAATATACGAACAACGCTTCGTTTTTGTGTTCTGTGTGATTTCACGTGTTTTTTATCTAACACTAACATGATCAAAGACTGTAGAAATGAACTAGAACGTGCCTTTAACTGTGTCTCGAAAATCGTGTGATGCACATCACATACGGTCAGTCTCAATTACCTTTATGTATGGAGTTATTTAAACAGAACCGACAAATATATTATATAGTTTGTTTTTTGAAAGAATCCTGGGTGTCTTTAAGGACCGATTGAATAGATTGCTTATGGCGATCGTGGTCCATCGTAGGCTGTATTATCACCTACCACCAGGCAAGATAGAATAGCCAAAAGCTGATATAGTTCGCAATGAGTATAAAGTATTGGTTATTGAGACTGACCGATAGTTGATAAGAATCTCTCATATGTGTACAAGTGTTACTTACACTCCACTAGTAAAAACTTACGACATATACTATAAGGATAAATTGTATAGTAGATTATGGAATGATATCATTGTTATAACATTATTGCCACATCCAAGAAGTATTCTCCATCATTGGAAAATAAATTGGTAATTTCCGTATTCAAGGATAAATTGTTTTGACTTTTCAAAACGATTAAATATTCAAAAGTTATATTCACGATGATTTAACATTATATTAAAGTTTTGTATTTGTCTAGCAATACTTTAAGCAAGATGAGTATGCTTGTTATTTGTCGTAAACGAAGTTATAACATAGTTATTCTATCATTTTTGACAGTTCCAAACTTCGAACTAAGCACTGAATTCGACTAGTTGTAAAGTACACAATTAAAAACATATATAGTACCAGTTCTTGAAAGGTTACTAATAAATCCATACTCTATGCTTGTAAGCACCTGTTAAAAAACAGAAAAGTATGTGTTACAAAAATAAAAATGTACCAAAAGACAGACTTCAAACCTTTCATTCTTCGATTTTAAGTATTTTTGTATTAGGTTTATTGTTATTTTTATTTTTGAGTCATTAATAATAATTAATTGTACTACGGAATACAAATAAAATCGATGCTCGAACGTCTGATAGTAAAAATATAAAAAATATCTAACATGAAAGAAGCTTCTAATGTGTCGCAAATAATGTGATAATAATGCTTATTATTTCTTATATTATCTGATGCTGTTTTTTATAAAGAAATAAAGCAGAGGCATTGGTCACAAAAATATGCCAAAGTTAGTATCTACGATAAAATTTTTCGGCCCATTTGTAAAATGAACTCCTTAAAATGGATATAGATTTAAGAATTTATTATCTTACCTTTATTTATTTTGGGTTAAGTAGATATTTGATATTATTTCATTTTCTAATTATAGGCTAGCTTTTATTTTGTTCCTGTAATCAAACAAAAGAGGCCTTCTTTGTATCTTTATTTATAAGTTATAGTCTCATTAGGTTTTAAGTTAGTGTTCAAAAGTGCCCGGTATCTAAGGGATAAGACCTACCATAATTTTACTTGTGTAAAGCCTTGTTTAGGTAAATCTAAAGTACTGTACTTTGAGGACCATCGCAGCTGTAGATAGAATTATAACTAATTGTAAATCTCATTTTCTTAATTATTCAATAAATATTTTGTTATGAACTATTAAAGAAGATATTAAAACGACAGGTGCTTGTATATGAACTTTTATAATGTAAGGTTCAAGCCATTTAATAGTAAAGTTGTATGAAAAATGCCAAACTTCTAGATTACGAAAATCATTTTGTATGAACTGATTTGACTTATATTATTTTATACTTCAAATGATATTGACAAAATATTTACCACTAAATTTTATAAAATAAATTAAGCTCTAAGACCGCTTTAGTACGATGTCCGATCCGAATTTTTAAAATACGAGTCTAAAAATTTCGGAAATAAAGAAGATGCATAAGAAATAGTTTTCCGACTTGCACGATTTGCACGGATTCGGATCGGACGCAATGCAAAAGCGCTCTAAATAATATATGTTTTTAGAGATTATATAAAGGTATTATACAGTTTATTCACTTGAAACAAGGTGGCCTTATGATAATTTATATAGATAAGCGCTGAGGAATTGTATACATATATATTTTTGTAAGATGTATTCAATGTAATATTAATCATATTTTTAGAAGCATGTTTTAGAATAAACATCATGTTTTGTTTGTTGTGGTTTTACTGAGTGTTCCTAACATTAGCGGCTTGGCTGTTCACATCGAGATAAGTAAACATTACTTAGCATACTTCTCGCTTTTAAAAGGAGAATGGTGTGACAGTGACTGATAACTCACTAAACTGTGTCTATTTGTCTCGACCTGTTTGCCTCAAAAGCGATGAACAAATAAATTATTCGCCTCCGTATTAACATTAATGTATTCGCTTTTGTTTTGGGAGTGTTGCAGTGATAGCCTACTGACACTGTTGTCATAACAAGACTACTCTAAATAGGCCACTTTCAATCTCACGCAAAATGTCGTATTGTACCTACTTTCATTTTTTATCAAGTTTTATTTGACTGATAACTTTGGATTTCATCCCTAGCGTTCCATACAATGTTGCAATTATACATTGCTCTTATCAAAATATCTTTTGACTTTTTCAAAGTCGAGTCAATTTATTTTACCAGTTATTAGTAACAATTTATTTCATTATTCATAGTATATTAATTAATTAGAGTGGTCCTACTAGAGTGGTCGCGTTATGACTTTCTTCGAGCAGCGCCGCTTCCGTAATGAGGTAAGAATAACTAATTTTTTGCTGTATATATTGTGCTCTTGTACAAATACATTAACTATTTCATCAGTGTTGCTACACTTGAGCCAAGTTCATTTTAAATCATAAAGAAGATAAAAAATCCGAGCCCACCCTAATCTGTTTTAAAAAGTCCATGTAAAAAGTTTGATTAAAAGTTTACCGTACTAAGGTTTTAGATATATTTAGATACGCCAAAATTAGAAACTAGGTCACACTTTATATCGCAACTACGCAAAACTTTGAAGTAGTAACTTATAGAAATGGAAAGTCAGGACAAACAAAATAGCTTTATTTTTCTATGCTGTGAGTCGTAGAAATTTAAATAGGCTTAATTGCCTAAATAATACTTGGGAAACTACAGTTGAATCTTACAATTTTACACCTTAGGTGTCAAACTTTGAATGCATAAGCGATGAACTGGTACTCTCTATACGTCACTTTCAAACAAGCGAGATCGAGGTCAAGTACGATCCCATTCTCATTAATTGATAAACCAAGGGGGCGAGAGCGCGTACCCACCTATCTATTGCGGTGCGAGTAGGTGTATGATGTATATATTATAGATATTTAAATTTTTTACAATGACTTTGACCATTAATCAAAATCTTAAAAAAAATACTTACCTATTGCATAGTTTAGTTTTTAATTTAACTTTTAGCATATAAATAATTATAACCATAATTATTGGGCAGCACCTAATAATTATTGGGTGATGACTCATGGCATACATAAATTCAGGTCTTTGTCCTATTGACATTTAGCTATATTTTTTTTAGCATTCAACACTTTGAAATCTCTATTGTGTAAGGCACATAAGTAAGCTACATACATACATAAAATACATGATCATTTTGCACCTATTATTATACAATTTCTGCTATACTAATTTAAACCGATTCACTAGTATAATGTACAATTTGGACACCAACTTGTACAGCGGGGGCTGTGCTGCTTCCCTGGTCTGGGCACTGTCGGTGCTCGAGGTGGTGGAGGGCGGGGTGAAGAAGCCCTGTTACTGGAGCGGCAGGGTCGGGCCTCACAACAGACGCGCTCGTCCAGTCTGCCACCACCACCCTCGGCGCTACCTCGCCCACCCAGGAAACCCTCCGCCAGGAACACCAGATACGACCGCTTGGAACACAGAGATGCTCGCAAGGTAAGTTCTCGCACGTACCATTTTTTATTATTTAAACAAAATTATGTTCAATAATAAGGTTAATTACGGTTATTTATGATATATTTTTCCCTAATGGGGTTACTTGTCAATCTATGTTGACCTTTTTTAGACTACATAGACTATTTTATTACAAAGTTTCACCCGTGTTGTAATTTTTAAATGCAGTAGCTTAATTTTAGAAGGTATATGGTATAAGATTTATCTCGTGAAGCAATGTAGGTGGACGCGGAGTTTCAGAAATCTCGCCATAGGTATACATTGATTTAGTAAATAACTTTACCATGCTACTGTGCCGTTTGCTCTACCCGAGGTAGAGTAGCTCTACCATGGAGAAACTATGTAGAGTAGTTCTACCAAAAAGTCGGGTTGTTTGCTTCATGAGTTCTATCGATAGTTTGTCATGATAACTATCGTGAGACATACTAAATTAACTAAAATTCGCGGGTTACTCACGTGCAAATGTTGAGAAAAGCTCTACTAGTTTCGAACCACAGAGGGGTTCTTCCTCATGAGCAGCGTGCGCGGACGCGGCGACGTCGCCGCGTCCGCGAAACTAGTAGAGCTTTTCTCAACATTTGCACGTGAGTAACCCGCGAATTTTAGTTAGTTTGTCATGAGCCAATTTGAATCAAATTCATCTAATATATTTTTACTGATTTACTGAACTGTTAGTAGTTCCTAGATACAGTAAACATCTTCTAGAAATTCTTACAACTTTTTTGTAATTTAAAAGTTAGCTAACGCTTCGGAAAACCGTACCTATTAGCTGTTTGTGTCGATTTATAACGTGTCTCACTTTAAATATACCGACATTTAAGATTTATAATTGTTGTTTAGCGGCTCATGTCGTTTCGCCAGTTGGCGTCGAGTTGTTCTGTCTTCATAGAGTAGGTAGTCATTAAAGTAGAAGCGATGTTTATAGTTTCCAGCCGGGTGATTAGAGAGTTTACTGTACATAGATACTCCACATAGAAACGATGAACGATTAGGTCAATATCTTCACTCAATTACCAAAGGATGATGAATGTGTTCAAATGAACTGCAATTTCAATCCATTATCTACTTAATTTGTTGTCGTTCTCCTTTCAATAGATACATTTTATGTAATTGGTCGACTTGACGTCATCCGATCTTGTATACTTACCGACTGTATTTTAAGTTCAAAATAATAACCGACTAAGTGCAGAAGCGCAAGCAAACATAAAAGATTTTATGAAACCGTTAAGTATAGGTATGGTATACTTTTAACTTCATCGACTGCGGATATTAGCGGCTTCCATTATCAAGTCCAGGGCTACCAAAATACCCGAACGTAAGGCGCTACGTGTTTCGCTTCTATTTTTTTACGTAATAGTTCGGCAAACGAGCTGGCGCATTACCTGATGGTAAGCAACCAGCGCCGCCCGCCATTACAAGTGCGTTGCCGACCTCTTTTGGGTTATTAGGGATTAAAGGATGAAATGGGATGGGAAGGATTTAGCTTCCGCGGTAACCTCATTCATAAAATACGACGGTATCGTTGTTTCACGCCGGTTTTCTATGAGGCCGTGGTATCACGCCGGTCGATCTGGCACATTAGTGCCGAAGCATGGCTCTTCCAACCTAAAAGAACTATCAGATTACCAGACCATCATTGTGGGTCCCGTTTGTGGTAGTGGGCGGCCCGATGCTGATGATCAGCCGGGGTTGCGTTGGTTGGGGATCTCAGAAATCTATATTTGTAAAGAATTTCGCTTCTTCCAGTTTATTGGACGGTGCCTAATATACCTATATTCTACATTATCCTTGTATTCACTAAGCCGACTAAGTACGTGGCTAAATGTCAATGGCCTGTAGGTACGTACACCAAGGTCGTATTATGGTAACAACATGATCATTATTTTATTTATAGGTACATTATTTAGCATTTAGCAATGACTATTGTTTTTACACTCTGAGATAAAATGTTTGTTTTACTGGTACTGGTAGTACCTACTGAATGTGGAAAATGTTAATAATAACATAAACATTGATATCTATCTGGCTACGACCGTGTTTATTATTTTTATACCTATGGATATTTTGTGGATACACTGCGATATACCTACTTCTCCGTGAGGAAAACTTAAGGTGGAAGGAGGAAAACATAGCTACCTTAGGGCTTAGAAGTTTTATTTATTATTTGGAACCTCCGAAAGTGCATAGGAACATCATTTGAATAAAGCGTAACTTGAAATAAACATATCTTCAAACATTAGTTTATTTATTAATTTTAAAAAAGTCAAATCACTGACGACTGAATAATTCGTACAGTCTGCAGTTTTTCTTAATAGACTGTTTGTTGCAGGACTCTGACGGCTCTGGATCTATTGCATCCAGTGCGTCCCGCAGCTCGCCACTGCCCTACGACACAGTCCGCAAGCTGCCCTCAGTGCCCACATCAGCGTCACTTCCTGCAGCCGAGTCTAGGGAGTCGTTAGTGCGACCTCGCGACTCCAGCCTGCCCTCACCGTCCAAGTTAGCCGTGTACGCAGCCGCCAGAAGACGATCAGCCGAGTCTGCTAAAGACAACAAACGCACACACCATTACAGGATTCAGTTTTAAAAGGTCTCATATACTTAACGAAGACTTGGAGGCCTGACAATATCTGATTTAAGGGTGTTCATCTATTACTCGCTGTTATCAGCGAATTGTCATATAAAATCACTGCCAATAATATGATCATGGTGTAATGAATGTTCTAGGTACACGAAGGCATTTTATAAATAAGTACCTACGCACAATTTTATGTGTCCTAAACACATGCTCGCTCATCCAAGAGTCCTGAACTAATACCCTTCATGAAACCTGATATTGACGTGTTTATTTTCAGCATGAAATAAATAGGTATGCGAAACCTGTGCTAAAACTCATGTTTATAAATTATAAGGCAAGCGAAATAATGAAATATTAAACGATTGTTTTACCTACATAAGAAAGAAACGTCACAATCGAAAGAAAATAGATTGTTCGTTGTACATTTTAAATTATACTTTTGTTTTGTAAACTTATCGAATTGTAAATAATTCGACAGATAGTAAAGTAGGCATTTCATTGACCTACTGATTTATTTTAACATATTTTAACGGTGAAAATACAATAGTTTTGACATTATGAATTCTATTTTGCTAGGAGGTAACTACAACAGTAATTTGAATAGTGAGTCATGTGTCTATTATGTGAGTTCTCGGTGTTTGTAGAAAATGTAAAAAAATCATACCTATTTTTGTTATAAATTGCTTTAAGATAAAGTTTTCAATGTTGAATATCTTTTTCGAAGATGTCTAAATAAATAATTATTTCTGTTACCAGTTGTGGGTTGGTGTCGTTAGCCCACGCTACGCCCAACTTTTTTAAGTAGCCCATGGGCACCGAGAGCCTGAATTTATAAGTAGGTAATGAACACAACTAAATGTCATTGATAGATTAAACCAGTATTTCGCTAAATTAATCTCAGAATATACGAACGCGTTATTAACAATCTGCGTAAAAATGGGGTCTTACTACGACTGTCAAAGATTCTACACAAAAAGCTTTCAGAATCAAGGGACGAAAAATATATGAATTCGAAAATACATACGCACGAATTATTTTTTATTTACGTATTAAATAATATACGACATTGAGAGATATTACGAAGATTTGATGTATGAGTGAATGTAGATATTTTTTGTTTTTGTTAGTGTCTTAATTTTGAGTAACGATAAAAGTACTTTAATATACTTATTAGTAATGGCCACTGTTGACGTTTTTATAACGTGGTTGTTTATGTTTATGTACCTACGTCGTGTTTGCGTGTGTAATTAAGTACTGTTGGAAGTGGTGAGTGGTAGCTAGTCGCGGTAGATATTACTGTTTTTTTATATCAATCTTGTATTTATCTGGTCAAAATTATAGCCAGGCAAATTCGAGCACAATCAAAGTACAAAAAAAATATGTCTGGAATACTTGAAACTTTTCAACGTTTTAATAAGTAATGATTTTACTCTACGTAAGTATTTACCTAAGTACGAACTCGAACGATAAACAATGTACCTAAATCAAATTAAAGATGGAAGTTTCATGAAACTAAATTCTCGTATTGTTTACTGAAACAACTTTGCGATGTGTAAATAAACTAAGACTCAAAGTCAATTAATTCTGAATTGCTAGTCGAAGTTGGCAACAAAAACATTTTTTTTTTGCAAACATCCGAGCAGTCTCATTATACCTAAAACTAGAGGAAGTTACGATTTGAAATATAATGGACGCAATAGAATAAATAACGTTGGCCATTAAGAAACCCGCGGTAATTGGGACTAATTAAAGGTTAGTTTCACTTTATTGCCCGCTGGAACATTCAGCCAACGTCTTACGACGACTTTATATTTCATGTTTCATAATCTGCATTTAAAGTCTGAATATTAAATACTCTACGTATTATTAGCTCAAATAGATTATAATAAAGTGCTTTTTTATAAAAGCTCGATGATCGTTGCAGCTATTTCGGTAAGAAATTGTTTGTATTACGGCAGAGTCGGGTCAGTTGTCAGTTTGGTGGTAAAATCTATTTCACACGTGACTTTTTTATTACGGGAAAATAAGTAGATAAACAATCAAACGTCATTTTTGCACAATGGCGGGAAACCAATGTCTTCAAGTTTTGATTAAGTATGTCTGATTGTCTGGCAGCAAAGGGAAAATGGTTTAAAATTACTTGCGACTTTCTTTAAATAAAGTAATAAGTATACTTATCGCATTGAGTTCTACAGTTTTGTAACTTATTACGAAATGTCGAGGCGGTGTACGTGTGAAGTAGGTTATTACGATTTTGTGAACGATAGATACGCACCGGTAGTTCTGACTGGAATACAATATTATGTCCAACTGTTTTACACTGTTATACTATGCCGAATTATAGAACTTACAGATTGCAATTGATTTAATAAATGAGAGCGTTGCTACATATTTTTCGACTTTTATTTTTATCATAATTATATTATCATTCCTCATATATACCCAAATACCAAGAAAAATAAGCAAAATCAAAGCAGCGAAGTCCAGCAGTGTCCAGTATTGCCTTATACTTATATTTTTTCAAAGATTGGTATGGCCCCAAATTATTGTAATGTCTACCCACCTGTAAGTATAGCTGTGTGTTGAAAATATAAGAATATCTTGGAAATGTTCGTTGCGTACCTACACCGATTGAAATAGCGTATGCTATTTCAATTCATATGATGGATATAGGATGTAGCTATACGATAATGCAATATTGATTGCTCAACAAAGGACATTATTGGGCGCCTCATCCTGTTTTCTTAATAAAGCCACGAATGAGTAACGTAGTGAATGCGAACTTAGCAGAAGGAACGAGTGGGTTGGTTTTTAGTCAGTACTTTCTACTGAAACTTCTCTCTGCTCCCAGGGTGGGAGAAATGTCATTTGAATATTTTGCCTGCAAATAATATTCACATAACAAGTGACTTTTATAGTACCTAACATAAATATTGGTGACATGCCTCTCATCAGGCCAGGAAGAAAATATTAAATACGAAATTGACCGAATATTAGAGGAAGGATATTTATAACGTCAATATTGCCGATAATTTATTGTTTTAATATGTACCTAAGTAAAATAATGTATAAATTCTTGAATGTTCTTAAATCGGCCTTGATCCTGACATTTGCGTACCTAGCGAGAATGAGGCCGAGTGGTGGCCTCGCGCGCCTGACCGCTTGCTCTTGCGCAACCCACCACCGAACGCAGCCGAGCGGCGACCGATAGCCGCGACCCGCAACTACGACAATGTGACAGAGATAAATGTACCACCCTCCATATCGATATCTCGTTCCGACAACGGTCCAATCAGCCCAACCTTCGCAGCAGTGACGTGCCGCACTATCGATACATAATGAGGACAATCGAATTCTGTATTGTTACAAATCGATTTGAATCGATTTATTTTAACCATTTGCTACAGCTCGGTGTGTTGGTTTGTAAGAAATAGATGTAAACATGAATTACGATAATGATATTGTGACGGAAAAGTGGTTCAAACTCTTTGACATCATGACGTCAATGGATGGTTGTCAAACGTTGCCTAGAGATTGTAAATTTCGTCGTAAATTGTCAACACGAGTTGGTGTAATCGGTAAGGCGTGTGGATTACACCACAGAGACCCCGAGTTCGAGTCCCGCCGTAAACATGAAGTTTTTTAGTTGATAGAAGTTTTGTGGAACTTTCTGGAATTATTTGTGTGAAAGAAATGAAAAATTAAAGAGCGAGAAGGAGAATAAATAAAAATGAGTAACGAAATTATTGGAAGGTTCTGGAGTCATGACGATCAAAAAGAATAACGAAATTGAATGTTCCAGAACCTGAACCAGGGGTATATAAGCGGAACTGCGGCTCACCGCTGGCAGTTGAGTTCTAAGTCTAAAGCGATTCGGAAGAAAAGGAAGAAGTGAAAAAGAAGAAAAGTGAGTGAAATAGTGAAGTGTAGTGAAATAGTGAAGTGCAGTCAGTTAAGTGAGTTAAGTCAGCGTGAACGGCAAAGTTGTGTCAGTCGGCCGGACTCTGCTGGAGAGGAACGCCGATAACTTAACTCCGTGGACGCTGTAACTTAAGTGCAATAGAAAGTCTGAAAACGGTATTAGTGTTTCATTTCATCCAATCCCGTAACTCAAGCCCGCATAGTCAGGAACGTGACGTCAGGCACGTAACAATATCTAGATATATGTATCTACATAGGTAATATTTTCATCTCGGCACTTAACTATTGAATTCTTACGCATTCGCATAAAACCAGGGTGCCATGTTAGATTTTGTTCTGATAAATTGCTTAGCATGATGAAGATTTCAAATCATAATCATCAACATCTTTTCAAATATTATATGTACTACTTCGTTCACAGATAGAGTCACAACTTACACTTGTAAGTCTAGATAGGATAAGATAAATGTCAATATTATCCTTATGTTTACTTTATTTTGTCAGATTGTGGGGAACGTTTGTTTGTGTTACAATCAGATAAACAAGTGAAACTCGCCGGCATGTCAACAGAACGCGGTGGTCTCACAAATAATAACACTGGGTTATCTCTTTGACAACTTTTTATGGAAGAGATACCTCCCCCTTCAAAGATATAAAATGTTTATTTTGTCCTGCTAGTGTGAATCACAATTCAAGTCTGTCTATCAGTAATGTAGAAGTACATTTTGAAGCAAGTTGCTCGCTAAACCGGTAAAACGTAAAATTCCTTAATATATGAATTCTCACTTTTTACCAAAAATTAATTTATTCTACAAAATTAATATAATTATTGACTGTAAACATGTGAGCGTTATTAATCGAATACCTTTCTTAAAAAGTCTTATATCCTGTCGATATAATTTAATGGTCAGTGTAATTATGGTTTATTAATCGATATAATGAGCTGAGTTCAGATGTGGGCGGGCCAACTGTAAATCATTCTTACTGCGGCAAATCGGCATTACTACGGCCGTCCACGGTTCGTGAAGTATAACTGAAGTGTAGCCATGGGATCACTGGGTCTTCGGGTTCCGCACTCAGCGGGTAACAACGGGACTCCATTGTCTAGGCTCCGGTTTCTTTGCGTAATAGCTTTGAAGTTTACACAAGTAAAAATATTGCTAGTATGACATCTTTTATGTAATAATAATAGTGAAATACTCGTATAGTTCTTGCTCTTGTACCCTTTACGTAAGATGGAATACAATAAAACTGAATCGACAAAGAATCTGTAACACGGCATTGCCATAAAAAAAACTATTATTCTGTTGTTTAAAAAAGTTATATTTTTAAAAGAAATGTGGCTCAGTAACTTTCGGAGATACGGAAGGAATATAGCCAGCTATTTTTATGAAACCAACGCGTTGTTCTTAATCACAATTCCTACTTAATTCAACTTAAGGCGATTAGTCGGTCTAATATCGATGTCAAATGGTGAATCATAAATGTGGGTTACGGTTACTAGGGTAACCCTACATTATAATTTACGAATGACAGACAGACACACACAGGTAATACAATTATTAACTAACGACTTTGTTAGTTTATTTGATCGCCCTAATACCCAGAACAACTAGTTCCTTTTACGCAATTCTTTTTGTGTTGGATAGTACATTTATAAAAAAAGGCTATAAAATATCATGTTACGAGAAATAGGAGCCGAGTAGCAGATGACTACTGATTTTAGATCATGCCATCGAAGATTAATCTTTTATAACACCTACTAAGCAGTAAAATTAATGCAGGATCTAAAACAAAACAGTGATGTCGGTCATAAAGTCCTGCACTTTAAAATATTATTATTTTGAATGTTACCGAATTATTTCTTAACCGTTTGACTTCTCAGGTCAAAAGATCTGACGGTTAAGAGTTACCTGATGGTAAGCAATTGACGCCACCAATGAACACCAGCAACACCTGAGAAGTTGCCTAGCCGGTGATTTAGGATGGAGAGAGAGGAATTGAGCCACTGATAGTAAATTTGCCCACACGGAGACACTCAACATGTACCTACATGCTAAGATAAAGCTTGTCCATATCTATTTAATTTAATTTAGCATTAGCATTCTCATCTTTAAACGACAGACAACTGACAGATGTTTAATAACATTGACTCTCGAGTGTCCTTTTTAATTTAAAATTGGGGTTGTACTTGTTTTTACACACCATGAATTCAGGCACTTCTCGTAAGTACTAAGAACTCCAGATGAATCAAGAACGATGAAGCCATTATTAGCCAAGCAAACAATCTGAATGTAACTGAGGTTTGACTGACCTGCAGAGAAGCAGGAATGTTGTGGTTTTTAGTCAGTAAGAGTCGAGACAAGTCATTTACCTATTTACCGCCCTCAAAAACCGATAATTTGATTGCAATTACAAAATAGATGCTTTAAATAATTGATGGAAATGGAGAGTGATGGTCATACAGTACAGTGTTTCTGACAGTCGCGTGTGTTCAATGGCGGTACGTGACTGCCGGAGCTTGTATCGGAACCGGTTGCAAGCAGTTTTTGCGATATCCACACGAGCACACGTCAGCCCGCAACGGTGCGGACACGCACTCTCTAATGTTGCCAGCCGACAGTACATAAAATTAGTTTGAGAGTTTATTGCTGCCTGTCTCTATCTTTTGAGTATGAATTAGTGATGTAGTAAGTCTTAATCCTAATCCTACAAACTACTACAAACCATTAACCAAGACCATTCACCAAGAGAACATTTATTGTAGTATAGCATATATTTTGGACTGTTTATTATGGAATATGGCGGCAGCGGATCATCTGATAGTTTTTTTTTGTTTTTTTTTGTGAGGGGAAAATCCGGCCGGGAGGGAGTGTCAGACTCTTACTGACTAAAACCCCCCCTGTTCCTTCTCCCGCTCTGGGCCGAGGTCGCGGTGCCTCATTGCGCTTACCCCGCAACCTCGGCTGAGGGTCATCTGATGGTAAACCTATGCTATCGGAGACACCCATGGACATCCGCAACACCAAAGGTGTGCAAGTCTGTTGCTAGCCTTTTCGAGTTAGGGATTTGGGGATTGGGGAAAATGTTTTGGCCTCCGAAAACCTCATTAATACTGTGAAACAATAACGCAAGCGTTACTTCACACCGGTTTCTACTTATAAATCTGATCGCGTTCCCAATTGCCGTGCATATTAAGTCAATAACAGGACAAACAATACCTAGTATAAAAACTAGGGCAACGTGTTGCAGGGCCGATTCTCGTACTGAACAACTCTCTGATGTGCATGTGATTTTTTATGCATGCATCCACGACAGGAAAAATAAAATATTAAAGAAGAAAACAAAGGCATGTCATAATGTCTATTAGGAGTGTTGAAAAATTTTGCTAAGTAATTTTCATTATTTTTACAGAATACTAATGTAAGTAGAATTAAAAGTGTATGTCGACCACGATG